AAAGCCTAATTCGAAAAGTATAGGTAAAATTTATTCTCGCATAAACTTCAGTACATTTTTTTATTGTAAGTATACTCGTAACTTATTTTTTTTACTAAAAAAAATTGAATTATGTATGTCAAAAATAATCATACATCACATAAATGAAATCATAAAAATCTGTATAATATTCTATAACATTTTATTTAAAGCTCTCTCTCTTTAAAAAGTTGCTAAAAACATCACGTGATTAATGGACGATCCCGTGTGTAGGTACTTTATAAAAAATGCATGATATGATAGAAATTGAAAAAAGATGAAAAATTAGAAACAATAATAATTAAATTAAAAAGTAAATTTTGTTATAATAATGTTCACTTAACACATTGTTACTTATCAGTTGCGACAGCCGAGAAGAAACCCAAGATTTGACTAATGAATTCATTTAGGGCTAATTATAATATTTTTAAGCAATGTGTCTAGTAAAATTGAAGTGTCTATATTTGTAGCCGTTCATCTCAGAAACATCTGAAACTATTTTAACAGGATTATTACTAGCAAATAAACGTATTATACGAGGAAGACATAATAAAATACGTTTTAATTCCATAAAAAAGAGCTCTTCTAGGATCAAACATTATTTTAAATAATACTGCGACTTCATAGGGCTTTCACTGAAGAAGATTTCATTGACAGTAACAAAGGCTTCTTTTAAGGTTACCTACGTATACGGAATGAGACTGAGCATTTTAGCACAAGCTTAACGAGAGCAGAAGACAAGAAAGAGAAGGTTGCAAGTGCTTAGTATTTTGTTCGATTTACAAAAATAAATGTATTATTTTAACAATGGTTCAGTAAGTAGGTATTACGTACGAACAGTCTTTTATTGTTCAATTACAAAAATTAATAGTGTTAATATGTATGCACCATTATGCCTAGAATGTAATCATAAACATGTGATTCCGAGGATAATTACCACGCTCAGATGCCTGACGACTGTCAGCTGTTACGTGTTTATAGCTCGTTAGTCGTTACGTATAAACAAATGTCACGTTATAAAGGTATAAATAATATTATACTATCACTGTACATATTAAGTATTAACTTTGTTGAAGTATAAATAAATTTTGTTTTTATATACCAGATTTTTTTTCATTTGAAAACCGATTGAATGGTAAAATATAGTAAAAAATATTTTATATTGTTGGTTTTATATACTCGTATCTATACCTACATTATTATAATAAAATTGTAACTAAGCCGAATCTGTACATTAGGTACATATTTTTTGGAAAATCTGATTGAAACAGACATTATTATCAATACAGAGTCCGAATCTATAGTTTTTAGAATTTTTGTTTGTCTGTCTTTCTGTCTGTCTGTCTGTTACCGCATCACGAGAAAACCACTGGACAGATTTTGATGAAATTTGGTATAATGATAGCTGGTTATCTGGATCAACATATAAGATACTTTTTCCGCTAGGAAATATCTCATTTTTGAGAAAAAATACAAAAACTTCATTGTAAGAGTGTAACTAATATGTAAAGCCTTTTTTTTTTATGTCGGGAAATGCATTTACGCATACCACCTGATCCCCCAGGTGGTGATGTGGGGCTCACCGGCTAGAAGAGCCGGTACTACCCACTAAAACCCGACATTCCCCTCCCCTCCGCCTTAATGGGACGCCGCAGGATCGCTTGCGCATAACTACTACGGCGCCCCGGCGGCAGGTCTGCCTAAATAGGCAGACCACCAAACCAATGGGGCTGCTCCACAGTCAACTCTGCTACGCCAGAGAGGTACCCGGAGCAGCCCCATTAAACCTAACCACCGCCCACCGAAGTGGGCCACCTCCAATCGGCTGCAGAGGACAGGGAGAGCGGCAACGAAACACCGACACTCCTCTTCCCCTGCAGCCCCACCGCGTCTGCCATCAAACGGTGGCGGCCCCGTCTAGGCCGCGGAAGGTAGGGAGAACGGCGCACCGAAATACCGGCACTCCTCTCCCGCCGCGGCCTACTCCTCCGCCGGATGCGGGCCTGCGACCACAGTCCCGCAACCGGCACCCATCATCCGGTTGTGGGACCAAGCGGTCCCACCACCGGTGGCCGCAACGTCTTCGGCTCGAGTCCTAGACGAGCGGCCCCACCCAAGCCATTTGGTCCGCGCCGGATTTCTCCGGTACCACCCGCCGCCCTAAGCGGGTGGCATTCCCCTATCCGCCACCTGGGGACGCGCCCGGTAGGAGTTGGCTTCTCCCCCGGGAATATGTAAAGCCTAAGAATTTGGTTTTTGGTCATCTGAACGCGGGCGGAGCCGCGGGTAATGCTAGTTATAATATATGAGTACATATTATGTACATAGCTAGATTTAGAGTAGGACACGCAGCGCAGGATTCTTAAACGAGCGGGTCCCCACTCCCCACAATATTTTCTTCTAAATTCAATTTTTATTTTGAGTTTTTGTAAATTAGATAAACTAAAAAATGCCAAGGAACTACCTAAACTACTGAATTGTTTTTGCCTATTTATAAGTATGTATCAAGACTTCACCACAATGTTTGTGTAAAAACTTATTGATTGTAAAAAATGGTAAAATTTACTACATGCACAATTTACTTACTATAATATGTTTATCAGATTAGCTATCGGTTATCGATTATATTAATGCAATTAACTATATATTTTAGATAGCAGGTACCTATTACTAACTATTAACTACCTTTTTTAGTATTTACACGCTTCTTTATATTTATACACTAGCGACTCACCTTCGCTCCGCTCGGGTTCGTCCCTACTTACGCTTCAACGCTTAGTATAGATTTCTCAGAGATGACATATTTTCCCGCGGTAAAAAGTATCCTATGTGTTGACCCGGACAACCAGCTATCATCATATAAAATTCCATCAAAATCCTTCCAGCGGTTTTTTTATGATGCGGTAACAGACAGACAAAAATTTTAAAAGCTATAGATTCGGCCTCTGTGTCGATATTAATGTTTATTTCAATAAGATTTTACCTTACAGATTGGACCCGGTTCAATTTTATTATATGTATAGATATTGCAACATATTGTTTCAGCTAGCAGGTTTATTGCGGTAACTATATTTTTCTTACGTGACTTTAAAAAGTTTATTTATTATTTATATATATTTAGTAAATAATAAAGATAGTAACTTTAAATTTAAAGAATTAAAAACGTATTGTTTATTATTGTATCCTACAAATATATCAAAGTTAATGTTAAGTACATCTATTTATTATTTCTTGGAGAACGAAATGACTTACAGTCAATCAGAATCATATAAAATAAGATATAAACTGTAATTATTATCATTTATTTGATAGTGCTGATAATAGCAGTACATACTCTTTAAGCGTTTAATTAAAAAAAAAATGTATTCTAGGCGGTAATGGGGAAGAGTTTTGCATTTTTCTCCCGCCAGATGTCGCGATCACTATAGCCCTTAGTATATTGAAAAGCGTGGATAGATTTTTTTTCATTTTATTTAAAATTAAATTAAAATAACAAATTGTGCAGTGCTAGGGTGCAAAAAAAATAAATATCATTAGTTCTCAATAGACAAAAACAGAAGAAATTGTGGGCTAAAGTAATAAGACGACCAAAATTGGCAAAATCACAATCTTTATATTTAAGGCTGTGATTGTGTAGACATCATTTTATAGATAGTGATTTAAAAAATTCCTAAATCGTCTACGAATGAATTTTATTTTTTGTACTTTTTTACGAATGAATTAGAGTTTCATACAAACTTTCGTCCCCCATTTTACCCCCTTATGAGATTCAATTTCGAAAAATGCTAGAACATTCATTTATTATCTCCTTTTACCCCTTTAGAAGTGTATTTCCAAAAAAAACAAATATATATTATTTATTTTTTATCTTAAAATATCACTTCTTGTGTATTTCACATTATGAATGACACAGTTTCATACAATCTTTCATCTCCTATTTTACCCACTCAGCGAACGAACTTTGAAAAATTCTTTCTTATCAGATGCCTTCTTATGGGATACGTCCTCCAAATTAAAATAAAGCGGCTTAGGCTGTGTATTGATCCATCAGTCAGTCAGTCAGTCCTTCTCAATTCTTCCTTCAGCTGGTCTATCTTCCAGGTACAATATATTGCACAGGTAAGAAGCAAACACAATAGAAGCAAAAAACTAGGTATAAAAGAGATATCACAATAAATTGCATAACCTCAAGCTGAATGTACATAGGCGATATGTGTGGTGCCCTCCTTTCGAGAAATCTTCCCCATTGTTAGTTATAAGCTGTCAAAAATTTAGCCCTTTGGAAATAACGATTTGTCGTAGGCGAAACATTAATTAAACATAATAAACCGATTAAGATTTTGAGTACCCATATACTAGTATTAGGATAAGAATAAGTTTAATTTGTAAGTTCCGAAATCGCTCATAAAAATTAAAATGCTGTAACTTTTTATTATGTAAATCTTTAGATATATAATAAATGCTTGGTAATCATGTACGCACTATTTTATTGTTATCTAGCGCAGCCACTACCATTTAAATTTACTCACCACAATAAGTGTATAACATAAATCAAATAAAAAAAAATACATGCTACGTTGTAATATTTACTTTATTTATAACTTAAATCAAATATAGTATAAATATCAGGGAAGGCATTTTATGAGTTAAACTCAATAAAAAACCATTAATGATAATATTCAATTTAGATTTTTATAAACTGTTTGAAAAAGTTTTTTTTCTTACTGGCAATATTTTAACCAACAACTTCAGAATTCAGATTGATCATTGACATTTAACTCATGGATGACAAATAAAATTTAACTGTTGACATTTTATGCTGTCAACTTCATACAAAAACACGCAGCTCCATAAATTGAATTTACTATTAATTTAATTATAGTATTTAAATTTTAAGTGTTATTTTACTGAAAAATACTTTCTTACTACTTCTATTTCAACGTAACTACTTCATAGTTTACTGTAACTTATATTATATAAAAATGGCGCGTGGAAAAGACAAGAAAAAGTGAGTATTTACATATTATTATAGGTTATGTCTCGTGTTCTATGAATTGTTCAATATATAATATAATAACTGTAAAGAATAAGAATGTTTTTTGTGTGGAGACAGTTATACGGCTGGAGAGTGATTGATATAGGCTACTTTTTACATTTATTTTTAATACTATTATTATTACTTTTTTCATAGGAAAACAAGTTATATTATAACGCGCAACACTCGTCATAGCATGTATATAATACATATAGCTGTCTTTCTATTCAATACTAACCGTCAAAACGTACTTAGGGACGAAGTCTAGTTTATTATAAATACAAGACAGTATTAAATTTATTAAACAATTATTACCTTCATTTTAATAATTTCTCATTAATCATTTGAAAAAATACTTAACATTTACTTTATTCATATTTTAGACGTAAGCTAGAAAAGAAGCAAGAAGGTGATGATGTACCAAAAAAGATACCTCATACCTTGGAGTCCCTTAGAGAGAAAGATGAAACTATGTTGGTTAATGCTGAAGCTGAGGAGCAAGAGGAGGTAAGAAAAAGTATTCACAATTTGTTATCAATATGAATAGATAAAAAAAAATATTATTTATTTCACATATAGTTCCATATTAAACATTATATAGCTATTATTTTATACAACAATGATAAATGTGTTATTTTACAGGCTCAAAAAGACATGGAATTAGATGAAATGTCTTCATATTTTGAAAATTCCTATGAGCCTAAAGTTTTAATTACTTATTCTGACAATCCACACACAAAAACTAGAATATTTGGAAAGGAACTCTCAAGAATGATACCTAATGCACTATCAAGGTATAGACAAAGGTAAAATATGACTAAATTGTTGATAACATTGTTTTTCACATTAATTTCCTAAGGCCACTACAGAAAGGTATGTTACCTTCCTGGCTATCCAAGGGATCTTATCCCTACAAATTAAATCTCTTCATATGTAATATTGTCTGCTAAAAAAATATATTATATTTTTTCTGACAAACTTGGTTCACTATGGGCAAATCTGGCTCTGTGGACTTGTGGATGTGCACCTGATTTCATACATACATTTATTAAAAGAGAGACCCTTTAAGTGCTATCTTGTTAGCAATGGCAATAAAAAGTACAATAATATTATAAATTGTATTATAAATAAAATTGAGTAAAATACACTATATACTCTTAATAAACATTCACAGTTAACTTTTTTTTCCAATTTTATGAATGTAAAAAAACATGACATATGGTATGAAATTATTAATGGTATAACTTTAAAAAATCATACATAGGTAGAAATGTGTATGTACACACTAAACCACCAAGGCAGTTAAAGTATCCGTATTTAATACTATAAATGTGAAAGTTTGTGAGTATGGATGTTTGTTACTCTTTCACTCCAGAACGGCTGAACATATCTAGATGAAATTTGGCGCAGAGATAGATTATAGTCTGGAATAACACATAGGCTACTTTTTATCCCGGAAAATGTATCGTTTCGTGGGATAGGTTTGTTTTTGTTTTCTTAGAGGTGAACTCGAGCAAAGTGAACTCGAGGGTGAGCCGCTAATATACAATATTCACAATATCTTATTTAAAGCCTAAAACATGACTTTTATTCATTTTATTAATTTTACACAATATGAAATAATTTTCAGATCATCAGTTAAAAGAATAGTACAATCAGCAATTAGGGAGAATATGACAGATGTGATAATAGTTAATGAAAATCAGAAACAACCCAATGGATTTCTTTTAATACATCTACCAAATGGACCAACGGCACATTTTAGACTATCTAGTTGTAAAATAACAAAAGAACTTAGAAAGGATCATAAAGAAATCACTTCTCATAGACCTGAGGTGAGCATCATAATTTTTTTAAATGTTTGTTTTTAGTAGTGCACAATCAAGGTTTTAGTCCAATAGATGTTTTTTTTTTTTAATTTAAAACTAATTATAATTTATGCGTTGAGCTCTACACAATTTATTGCATGCATTTACACAAGCCCTTTTAAAGTGAGGATCTCGTTGATAAGTTTCTGAATAAACATATTTTGCCTAATCTATACAGATAAATAAAATTGAAGTGTCTCCTTGTAATGTCGAAATAACAGCATTTTACTAAATGCATATGAAATATGTACGGAACTTATAAGAAAAACACAATTTTTAACATTTTTTTCTGTCTGTTTCGGCTCATCTCCGAAACGACCGGACTGATTTTAACGGGACTTTCACTGGAAGTAAATAGTTTATGTTATAACCCATATAAGGATTAACTTAGGCTACTTTAATTTTAGAATAAAGGAATAGGGTTCCGCTCAAAAAAATAAAACGTACTAGGGACTATAGATATAATAATACAACTTACATTATTATATCTATGCTAGCGTTCCTAGCCCACCCACCCAAACGAAGCGAGAGTCACTAGTTCCTAGCGCGAGCAGCGAGAGTTACTAGCACATATTAGTATGATATTTAGAACATAATTTACATTATGTTTCAATTTCCAGGTTATTCTGAATAACTTCAGCACACGCCTAGGTATGACAGTGGGACGTATGCTCGGCGCTCTGTTCCACTACGAACCGCAGTTCAAAGGCCGTCGCGTCGTTACTTTCCACAATCAGCGAGATTATATATTTTTTAGACACCACAGGTACGATATATTCAGTTATTATTAATTTATTTACCTTCATAACATTTGGATGCAGCGCAAAAAGAGACGATTTTTTCATTATACCAGTAGATTATCCTAGATAATACCTTTTTACCCGACTGCGCCAGAAGGAGGGTTATATTTTTCGAGTGTAGGTATGTAGGTCTATATATGTATGTCTATTTCTTTGGCACGCTCTGTAGCCAAAACGGCTTTTAATATGGATTTTAGCTAGAGAGGTGTCGTTAGATTCGTCTTAATTGTGAGAGTCACACTGTGTATATCAAATTTATAAAAATTAAAATGGCTGATTTTTGGCACCATATTGTCTTAAAAAAAATATTCTTAAATTCTATCAAGTGGGGTATCAATATAAAGGCTTACGAAAATTATATATACATTTTATACATTTACACATTTTACGTGTTTAAATGTAATTTGGAATGAGAAATGCTATAAAACAACAAATAAAAAAATATTAACATAAAATTAAAATATCGCAAATATCAGACATGCATATGTACACGTTTTATTGTGCACACACACACACGCACACGTACTGATTAACCTATGTATTTTTATTATTATTTTATTTAAAATATCAAATGATCGCGTAAATATTAGAAAATATTATGTCCTTATTATTTTAATAAATTTTATTCCAGATACGAATTTACAACAGACGGCAAACGTGCAAAATTAAGGGAATTAGGACCACGGTTCACTCTGAAACTTATATCTTTGCAACAAGGAACATTCGACTCGAAGACCGGCGAATATGAGTGGATCATTGCCGGGCGCAGACACCAAATGGAGACATCAAGGCGACGATTCTTCTTATAATGTAATATACTTTTGCCTCTTAAACATTTTGTTTATTTTTATAATCGAGACTAGCATTGCCCGCGTTCAGATGACCAAAAACCAAATTCTTAGGTCTTACATATTAGTATACTCTTACATTACAGTTTTTGTATTTTTCCTCAGAAATGAGATATTTTCCCGCGGTAAAAAGTTAACCAGCTATCACTATACCAAATTTCGTCAAACTTCCTCTAGTGGTTTTTCTGTGATGGCGGTAACAGACACAGACAGACCGACAGACAGACAAAAATTCTAAAAACTATAGATTCGGCCTCTGTATTGATAATAATGTTTATTTCAATATGGATTTCCAAAAAATATCTAATGTACAGATTCGGCTTAGTTACAATTTTATTATATGTATAGACTAGCATTTCCCGCAGCTTCACCCGCGTTCAGATGACCAAAAACTAAATTCTTAGGTTTTATATATCAGTATACTCTTGCAATTTTTATATTTTCTGTATAGATGATTACTTTTTAAGTAATTATATCTTTAATATACTTAAGTAGGTAAATAAGAAACCTATATCACTCGAATCATTGCTCAAATGCTGCGCGAAAGAAGACGGACGCACTTTCTCATTTATCTATACATATATTATGTTATATTATAGCAGAACCCGCGGCTTCGCTCGCGCTAAAAGTACAAAAAAATCTCTAAAAAGGTTTCATACAAAATTTCGTCCCCTATTTTATCCCCTAATGGGATAAATTTTGAAAAATACTAAACCACGTATTTATTTGTATTGAAGAGCATTAATACCAAGTTTCAAGTAATTCTGATCATAAATATTTTTTTAGGTTGTATTTTATCGTGTTTTGTCTCCAAATATTTCCACACAAAAAATCATGTCATTCCGTCACTCCGTTTCTACGTGAAATAAAGACAAACAAACATACTTTCACATTTATATTAAGTATGGATATTATAAGAGATCTTTTGGCTATTTCTTATCCAGCACCTACCTTCCGGCAAATTTTATAACTAACGAGTAGCCTACGTATGTTGTAGGTAGTTTGTCTTAATATTACGTAATTTATACCAGAAAGTTATTTTTACTTTATGATATTGATTTCTTACTCCATTATTATCATTCAGTGTTTATTATATAGATTGGGAATAACGGAAATAAAACTTCAAATATTTTATTTAAAAATATTTTATTTTATAGAAGCATCACATTTTAAACTGGAGCTTAGCCCGTGAGCCACCAGTCTCTTGAAACCTTCTGTATACTCGTGAAACAGCTGATTGGCTCATGTTAAGTTCACGAGCGACTTGCCGTTGATTGCAACATGCCCGCTTGCAACAAAGCTACAACTTGGGCCGCTGCTTCTGAGGTAGTGTCCATTGGATCGCGATTAAAATACTGGGAGCTTAACGAGATGTGTACCTGTCAACGTCTGACGAGTGACTGATAAGAAATATGGTTCACGTGAGCTTTAATACATGATTAAGTCTCGCAACTCGTGGGTACCGCAACAAGTAATTTCTTCCAGTTTATTTGAAAATTGCTATATTTATGAAAAAAAAAAATGTCTTTCGAATAAAAAAAACTTTTACAAAAATCGGATAAACCATTTTCCGAAAAATCAAACTTATATACCAATATACGGCTTGAATCGATTCAGTTGCACGCGAGTGTAATACGAGTATGTACACTCGTGAGCAAAAAAATCGACTCAGGGCGCACGCTTGCGGTTAAAAAGCTCTAGCAAAAAATCGGAAGCTTTTATTATATTTCTGATATTAACATCTCGTTCCTTTGTTTTAGCTTTAAAATGAGTGGTCTATGTTGTTATTAAAAAATGTTTTCTGGTAAAGAAAAAATATTGAATGAGATGGAGTCTTAAGCAATGAAAAAAGTGATGGTTGACGGTAAAGAAAATACCACGTAAAATTCGTCAAAACAATAATTTAATTAAAATTATTTTTTTAATATTTAGTGTTGCCCCCCCTGGCCCTAATAACAGCTTCCAATCGCTTTTTCATGGATCGTATAAGTTTCCTTACTCGATCTTGTTCGATGCTATTCCATTCGTCGATTAGCGCTGCTTTGAGGTCCGCCATCGTGTCTGGTGCAGGATTTCTAGCCCGAACTTTTCTTTTAAGATCATCCCACAAATGCTCGATAGGATTTAAGTCCGGGCTACGCGCTGGCCAGTCCATAGCGGCAATTGCGACCTCCTGTAAATACTGCCGGACGGAACTTAAAGTATGTGGACGGGCATTGTCGTGCATTAGGACGAAGTTTTCGCCAATGAAACCGGCGTAGGGAACGACGTGATCCTCTAAAATCTCTTCGATGTATCGGATCGCCGTGAATCCTCCCATTCGACCGCCAGTTTCAATAAAAACCAACTCGGTTTTTGCCTCTCTTGAAATGCCGGCCCACACCATCCAGGAACCTCCTCCAAAAGCAATATTTTCTTTGATACAGCACTGCGCGAATCTTTCCCCAGGTCTTCTGTAGACTCGTCCTCTTCTATCACTACCATGCAAGCACACTATACTTTCGTCTGAGAAGAGAACGGTGCTCCATTGTTCGTCAGTCCAATCAACATGTTCTCTAGCAAAACGTAGGTGGGCTGCTCGGTGGTCTGCGGTTAATTTGGGGCCAAGTAGCTGGCCTTTTTGGCTCAAGCCTAGCTGCCTTAAGTCGTCTTCTGACTGTCCAGCCACTCACAGCTACTCCTCGCGTTTCTCTGAGCTCTTGTTGGACTTGAACGCCAGTGAGGGCCCGATTTCTTAACGATGTGCTGACAATAAATCGGTCATCTCTCTCTAATGTACACCTTTTTCTACCGGAACCGCGTCTTCGATTAAAACCACCAAAGTCTCCTGGTAACAATTGTAAACTCTGGAAACAGCAGACTGGCTCATGTTCAGTGCACGTGCCACTTCACGCTGACTCTGGCCTTGTCGCAATAGGGTGATCGCTTGAGCTGCTAAATCGCTTGTTGTGTCCATTTTCAGGTAGAATTCTTGATTGTTGATAACGGAGATGTGTATCGGTTGACGTTTGACGGCTAACTGATAAGGGTGGGTCAGGTAGATAACCTTTTATATGGGTCAGTAAACCCTTAATTAGCACTATTGTAAACAAGCGTAAAAAGGGTGGTTACTGATCACAACATATTGTTGGGTTGTGTGAGCAATAAACCTTACAATATTTTATATCATTTTGAAGCTAATACTAGCAGCTTTAAGATTTTACTATGAAAAAAATATATTTGCTTTCAGTTTTGTTTCCAGTGACTTGCGACTACAGATGTGTCGTCCGAGTCGATTTTTTTGCTCACGAGTGTATGTACGAGTATACAAAGCTCTTGTAGTATCCCTGCCTTTAGATTCTAAGTTGTACCTGAAAATAAGGAAATAACTTTAATAGGAAGCAATTATTTATATAAAGCAAATAAAAATTCAGTCTTTTAGTGGCTGTCGTATATCTTTATAACCGAAGTAGCGTGATGTCGCAGGCTTCAGCAGTTTTGATAACGTCACTCTCTGTCCAACTTACAAAGAACGCTTACAATACAAGCATGCTCTTATAGGATCGCAGACAGGATTTTATTTACGTATACGGCAAAAAAATTGATTCAATAAATTACGAAGTTTTGCTTTACTTATTCTTAATATTTAACTTGTTCTAAAAGTGTTAACGTTATAGTTAAAATTTAACATTATAAACAAAATGATATCATGAATGAATTATATTTGGTTTAAAATTTATAGTATATACAATGACTATGAAATTAAAAAAAATACAATACTCACTTATTACTTAATTGGAGATTGTTTGACATTGCATCACACTTTTCAACCTGAAAGAAACATTCTGTTAAAATAATATTTTATTACAGAATAAATTAAAAATGAAATAAAAATACAATCAGACATGTGTATGGTCAACATGGTGGTTTGGGTTCGCTCTGTTGAGGGAGACCTGATAGGTCGAATCATCATTATAAAGTAAAAAAATTATAATCAAATTAATTTCAACCTAAATATATTTTTTATTTATTATTCAAGTTCTATAATTACAATTTTGTACAAAAGATAAAATAGCATACCTTAAAATCTTTTTTGAATCAAATCCTCATGTGATCTTTGTTTCTGCAAAAAAAAGTGGCAAATTAAATCTCTCATACAAATTTTAATTGAGTGTATTAGTATAAAATATAATCAGACGCATAGGTGGTCAACATGGTGGTTTGGGTTCGCTCTGTTGAGGGAGACCTGATAGGTCGAATCATCATATTAAGAGAATCTTAAAATAGTAATAATCAAGGGTACATTTGCCTTATCTTTGTATATATAATTAAGTACATATATGTATATTTATTTTCGTTTCTTGTAAATAAAATTTTTTGTTAGAGAATTTGGAAAAATATAATAATATACAAACAATTCAAATTATAAAGCAAAATTTCAAAAAACTCAAAAAAATAATTTATTATGATATAACTAAGTCTATTATTCAGGAAGAAATATCAAATAGCATACCTTCAATCTTCTCTATATTAAATGCCAGATGAGCTTTACTAATGTTCCTGCAAAATAAAAACTTCTTTAAAATACTACTCTTTTAATATACAATTTATGGATATACTAAATTTAAAAACAATCAGACGCATGTATGGTCAACATAGTGGTTTGGGTTCGCTCTGTTGAGGGAGACCTGATAGGTCGAGTCATCATATTAAAAAAGAACAATATCGTTGTTCTTTACTTGTTCTCATTTATATAATATAAAAAAAAAGTTGAACTAAGAAATGTTAATTCATATAATTTCTGATTTCACTATCCTCACCCTATTGAAAAAAAAAATATCTGTATATTTTTACCCACATTAAAAACGTTTTAAAATAAACAAATTAAATTTTACTTACATTTTTTTATGTTCTTATATATTTCCTTTTATTATTATAGCTTTATTGTTCCATATAACAATTCTTTCTAATATACATCCAATTATAATTATTTCCATTCCTTTGTTACGGGGCCCCCCGATGGGTAAAAGCCTCCTCCATTCTTTTCCACCTTTCACTGTCTTTGGCATTATACATCCAGCTTTTTCCTGCTTTTTATTATATAAATTTCCTTAGTGGTACAAATTTAACTTGTTCCTCTACAATAACATTGCGAAGGCTGTCTTTATTTGAAGATAATATACCTGAAAACAAAACAATGTCATTGAAATTGGGATTACAAAACTATGAGCTTTAATACAATGACTAATACAATCAGACGTGTGTATGGTCAACATGGTGGTTTGGGTTCGCTCTGTTGAGGGAGACCTGATAGGTCGAATCATCATATTGTAATACTAGCAACACCTTAGCTTCGCTTCGGGTTTGTCTCTAGACAAAAATGAATCTATCCCATAGGAACCATGCATTTTTCCAGCATGATATATAGCCTATAGCTTCAATAAATGGGCTATCTAATGTAAAAAGAATTTTTCAAATTGATTAATAGTTCTTGAGATTAGCGCTTTCAAACAAACTCTGCCTCTTTATAATATTAGTATAGATGCAGAAGTATATATAAAGTTCACACTCACTTGAAGTCAGGTTCACTTCTTACACTACTAGCTGCCTGGTTATTTTCTGTAAGTAAAGATACAATTTAAAAAATTGAAGTTATAAAATGTTAAATAAAATCTTCAGTCTAAAACTCAGCCAGCGGAACTCGTATGAGGTTGTTCATCAAATTACTCAGGTGAACTATGCAGTCATCATTTACATCCACTATACTATTTATATTATCGATACTAATCCATATCCATCCATACTAATCCATATCCATCCATACTAATCTATACATAATAATAAAATTCTGAGTCAGTACATTAAATAGTTTTTGGAAAATCTTATTGAAATAGTCATTATTATCGATACAGAGACCGATTTTGTAGTTTTTAGAATTTTCGTCTGTCTATCTGGGAACGCAGCACGAGAAAACCGGTAGTTATCTGGGTCAACATGATACTTTTTACTGCAGGAAAATATCTTATCTCTGAGAAATCTATACTAACCGTTAAAACCTACCAAGGGACGAACCCTAGCGGATCGAGGGTGAGTCGCTAGTAATATGTATTATAAATGTGAAAGTTTGTGAGGATAGATGGATGTTTGTTACTGTATCAAGCCAGAACGGCTGAACAGATCTGAATGAAATTTGGCACAAAAGATAGATTATAGTCTGGAATAGTACATAGCTTACTTTTTATCCCGGAAAAATGTACGGTTTTGCTTCTGTCCAAGGACAAACGGGAAGCGAGTACTCTCACTAGTATGTTATGATGTGTCCCTTTTACAGTTCTTACTGAATCTATATCTGTTTAATAGATATAAATTATGTAACAGGATTAAATAATTGAAAACAATAGACTTACATATATAGAATTTTTAATCTTAAGCAATATTTATAATAATTATTATTGAATGCTTACCTATCTAGTTACCAGTTCCACTATTCCTGGCCATATTGGTTACCTGTAAAATAAACTATTATAATATTTTGAAATGAATATTGTATGAAATAAAAACCAATTAAAGGAGTCAGTGTGGATAGTTATGTTAACAGCATCATAATCAGATGTCCCTATCTGAGTTCATCATTTAAGTGATAAGTTCAAAAATATATGCCTGTGATTTAAATAAAGGTGTAATACTATTATTTTTTAATGTAATTTCTTTATTAATAAGAAAATAATTATTAAAAAGTGCAAAAATCAGTAGGAATTTCAAAGGAGTTGAAATGCAATGCCATTGGTCAGACCAGATGTAACGTCAAAGTCTATAATAACAGAGCTAGTGTTGCCAATTTAACTAAAACAAATACGCTAAAATTGCAACACTGTCTTGTTATTAAAGAGTATGACGTGACGTCAAGCGTATCCGTATGGGAATGATCTTTTTTAAGGTTTTATTATATTTTCCCCCCCAACGTGCGTTCACCTTGTCGTGGTGTGGGGGCTCAGTAGTGCCCGGCAATCCAACCGGGCGCGAAGCTAAGAAACGCACAGGGAGGTTGCCCACTTCGGTGGGCGGTGGGAGGTGGCCCTCTTCGGAGGGCGGTGTACCTTGCGGGTTGCTCCTGGTACTTCTCTGATAGCAGAGTGGACCTTGGAGCAACCCCATGGTTGTGGTGGTCTGCTTTGGCAGACCTGCCGTCGGGGCGTAGTAGTTGAATGCGTAAGCGATCCTGCGACGCCCCATTAAGACGGGGGAAGGTTTTGTTGGGTTTTAGTGGGTAGTACTGGCTGTATTACGCCGGTGAGTCCCACACGTCGTGCGTAAATGCATTTCCCAACGTTAAAAAAAAAAAGGTTTTATTATATTTTAGTTTTTTGGACCTGGATATTTTTTTAGTTATAACCAAGTAAGCTATGTATAAAAAAATCACGCATATTCTCTATTATTTAAATATCATAATATAATCAATATAACTTACCTCATTCATTTATGGGCCTGGTAGTACAATAAGGGAAGTTTCACCTGCAAATAAAATCATCTATTACAAAACATCAAAAACACCTTTGAATTTCAATATTTTTTAAAGAAATCAGTGTGGATAGTTATGTTAACAGCATCATAATCAGATGTCCCTATCTGAGTTCATCATTTAAGTTCAATATAAATTAATGTATATATTATTGATAAAGAAAAAATATTTATTATATTTATATTTTTGTAATAATTATTACTTTTACTAATAATTTTATAAATGATATTTTTATTGTGGTATCTATCAGTGTCAAAGAATTACTTCAACCGCGCGTTAAGCTTACTCGAACACATTTTTTTTTCACTTACATTATTCTCCTCGACATGTGCAATTGCTTTTGTCTTCATTTTCTCTCCTTATTTCGAGAAACTTCTCCAATCTGTATAAATAACAAGACTATTAGATACTTGTTTATTATATATTTATTTTTTTGATGTTTATAAAATATCAGATAGGAGCGAAAGACAATGAGTGTTATACATCATAGTACTCAGATGAACTATGAATTCATCACTTAATATAAATATACAATAAAAGATTATATACAAATTAAACATAACCAAAGATTAATTTCATAATATAAGCAATGCCAACCGTTCACATTTACAAATCAACTATAAATAAACATTAATGGGCACAAGTTTAGAATATGGGACATTACCCCTGGCGGAGTGGGTGGTATTTCTGGATAGGGGACGTGATAGGGCGTCGAAAAGTTAAATAAAAAATTTTCCGAAAACGTACGAGTAAAAAGTTATTGAGACTTAAAGTTACAACATTTCCATACATTTTCATATATTTCTTTTCCACCATTCGGAGTGGGTGGTATTTTTAGATAGGGGAGGTGACAGAGAGTCAAAATATATTAAAAATATTTGGAGGAAACGTATGAGTAAAAAGTTATTGAGACTTAAAGTTATAACATATCTAACACATTTCCATACATTTCTTTACCTAAATAAGTGATTACAACAGATAAACATACCTTTAACGAATAGTATGCATCCTTTTTTATGTACAAGACATATTTTCACAACAATTAATGCTTTATTGTATTTAATATTTTAATAATTTCACAACACAAACAAAATGATCTTACATTTTGACAAAAGCAAAACTGACACTTTGTTTTATATTACCGCTTAAATGACAACAGATTATATTTGATTATTTTTGCTTTTTCTGTTGGTAATATTAATAAATAAATAAATAAAAAGAAAAATATTATTTTCGTTTCATAAATACATTTATGATTTTTTATCTGATTTATGTAAAATATATTGTTTTACAATTGTACATTTAGTAAAAAAAATCATTTTTTATCTGTGAATATTTTTAATTATTTATTTATTATTCGTCATATCTGGGTTAGGTTAGGTTAGAACATTTAAGATTATTTATTTATTATTCCTCATATCTGGGTTAGGTTAGGTTAGAACATTTAAGATTATTTATTTATTATTCCTCATATCTGGGTTAGGTTAGGTTAGAACAGTTGCCACAACGCACGAGCCGAGCGAGCGAAGCGAGCGTGCCGCGGTAGCGGCCGGCGAGTGCCATAAATGACTAGAAAACTAGAAAATTCGAATTTCACGCAAGTACAAATAAAGACAATCATCTGGAGATCATTTTGACAATTGAAAGTGACGTTTTGACTCCAAGTGTCTAAATGGTAGTAATGTCAAAATAATGTATGGAGATGTTGTAACTTTAAGTCTCAATAACTTTTTACTCGTACGTTTTCGGAAAATTTTTTATTTAACTTTTCGACGCCCTATCACGTCCCCTATCCAGAAATACCACCCACTCCGCCAGGGGTAATGTCCCATATTCTAAACTGCAGCCCATTAATGTTTTTAAAGAAACTAAAACATTTCATCGCTTTACCTTTATTTTAAATTCAGACGAGTCACTCTTAATTATTCAAATTTTCTTCTTGATGAACTTGTAGAACTCCTTCGTGGTCTCCTTAAAGCTGTAAAAACAACAAGTATGAAAAATTGGTCTATTACAAATATCTTTAATTTTATATAGTTATAAAATATCAGATAGGAGCGAAAGACAATGAGTGATATACATCAAAGTACTCAGATGAACTATGAATTCATCACATTAATTTAAATATATTGTAAGTTCAAGTGGAAGTTATTTTTTTTTATTTCATTTTATGTAAACATAAATAATCTAATATATCCCCAAAACCTTACTTTCATATAGCTAATATAGCTCACCTGTAAACATTATTCCAAACAGATCCCATATGACAACCTGTTAACAAAAAAATTCATTATAGAAACATAGAAAATGTAAAACGGCATCTTATCATTGCTAATAATTCAGTATGCTATTAATAAGCATGTATTTTGCATCAAACCTCACAATCGGCGGGCCCTACTCTAACATGACAAAATAAAACTTTAAAAAGAAAGTTACTTAAAATGTTAATAGCTACATATGAATAATTAATAAATTATTAAATATAAAACCCTATTCTAAAGTTGGCCAAAAGTGAGGCAACAGAAGGTTTTCAGCTGCACTGCGCTGTCATCATGATATTGGAGTTTTAGTATATATCTTAATTATTTTTATAGTTAGTTACCTTATGCTTCAGTCAAGACTCAAGTCACTGACAAGATTCACTTGCTATCATTGGTATTTTCTGAAAAAAGAACAACAGGTTTCTTAAAAACTTAACAAACATTACATATAATTTACTTTAAAATATTCATTCAGATAGAGCTAATATACATGCAAATCATTGTTTACTCAACGGTTAGCATCTTTCATCATATTATTTAAATGGATAGTAGCACTAACTCCATGCAGTAACCCTGAATTGTATAAAAATGAAGTTTACCATCAGGTCTTCTATATTTTCCTTGGACAAATATTCGCGGTACATCTATGCCTTCCTTAAAATTCACAGTTCTACGTTGAACATATGTATTCATAATGATTTCAAAACCAGCTTCAGAAAATAACTTTGCTAGTTCCTCTTCACTAAAATAGTAACTCCTAAAAATGAGACATTATGTTAATATTTATGATAATCATGAAATGGTTTTAAAAGTTAATTTAACCTATCTAATAAATACCTTGTGCCATCTTGTCGCATGTAGAAATTCTCGGCTATTTTATGACCAGGCTTAAATCGTAGTTGCGCCATATCATATCGACCATAGTCTCTAAACAAAAGGAGCCCACCAGGCTTTAGAGCTCGGTAAGCAATTTTTGCTACGTGCAACCACATGGAAGGATGGATAGCTGATAGCACAAAAATCAGGCTTGCTATATCAACACTCTTCTCTTGTATATTATCAAATAAATCCTCTGTTGTAATATCAGCACAAAATGCTTTCATTCTATTCTCATCATACAATTTATTTGCTTTGACGAAATCAACAGCACGTGGTGAAAAATCGCACGCGTAGAAAAAAAAATTTGTAAATCCCTCTTCCACCAAGGGAAATATCATGTTACCAACACCGCAACCCAATTCGAGATATATAATTTCTTGATCAACCTCAAAGTTTATAAGTTCTTGAAACTCACGTGTTGTCCAATGCCGGTCTCGAAAAAATTTAGTTTCATTACGTTTATAAAAAATATCCCAGTGTCTTCTCGCATCTTTTTCTAATCTTGATGCTTTTGATTCAGGTATTATTCTTGAGTTTTGCAATTCCAAGCGCTGTTTTTCCTCATCTGTCAATTCTTTCAATCGATGAATGAAAAGGTCGCCATTTGCACCCAGATATTCATCCGATTCCATCGTATATATTGATGTATATTACATGGTATTAGGACAAAATCTAATATATAAATTCAGCTCTTTTCATTACCTTAGTCTTATTTCAATGTTTCCTATGCAAATTCAAGTAGTTTTATAATCGACACAACCTCCTTTTCCGGCAAGTCAAAAATTAATGAAATAAGAAATTTCAAAACTTCAAAAGTCAAAACTTCTCTATGGCCCAAGCTTCCAAAATCCAAAGTCAAACTGGTCTGCCAAATGTTGCCATAAATAAGAAATTATGCCGTAGATGACCATAAAATATTCTATATCTTTTAAGCCCACTATAGACGTTAAATTTTAAATGTTTATTTTTTAAATATTAACGTGTGTAGAAAAAACTGAATATTGTATAATTTAACTGATAACTATTAATAATCACTAAAAGTAAAGAATTCATGTAGTAAAAACTGTACAGTATTTTTTCCACTGTGTTTCACAATTTATTTTATGCAATATCTACGTTACACATTTTTGTAAACGAATGCAAAATAAAACTCATGGTTTTAAGATAGGCACAATGGGCATCACTTATACAAGTCAGTTAAAACCATTTTTTATTATTAATTTATGGTTAATACTTCATTTAAAACTGTCTGTTGGAACTGAACATGTAACAAGCTGTTTTCTTGTTGTACTTTATTTAAAGGCTAGCACAGACCGGTCTACGCACAGCTTTCGAATATACTAATGCTAGATGGTACATAAATTATTTTTTCTATAATGTCCTATCTATACAGATAAATAAAATTGAAGTGTCTGTTTGTAATGTCAAAATAACTATTTTTACTAAATGCATATTATGGAATTATATACGGTACTTATAAGAAAAATACATTTTTTTTAATTTTGTCTGTCCGTCTGTTTGTTCCGGCTAACCTCCGAAACGGCTGGGCCGATTTCACTTTCACTGGCAGGCAGTTGATGTTATAAGAAGTAACTTAGGCTACTTTTATTTCAATACAAGGAATTAGGGTTCCGCTCAAAAAAATAAAATGTACCTAGGGGAGAACCCGAGCGAAGCGAGGGTGAGTCGCTAGTAAAAAATATACTTCGTGGTGTAAGATGAGTGAACAATGTATTCATACTTGAAAAGTTTGGTCCGATGAGTTCTCATCTTAAATAGGAAATGTATATAAATAAATAAAAATATACAAATGAATGTGTCATCCTGAATAAAAGACGAAGGATAGGAAGCCCTCAAAATTTAAACAATAGTGCAGTTTATCCATGGTTATATTTAATTTATAATAATAGCCATATTATTTTGGATTCCATACTGATAATTAATATTAAATATTTTGGTTTTTTACATTAACATACCTTAAATATTCATAGAAAAAAAGATTAATGAGGTAATTAAGTGAAAAACCGGTATAAATGGAATTATTTATTAACTTAATTAAACTGTACGTCTTGTCGAGCGAGCTCCAACAACATAGGATCGTCGAAGAACTTATTGATAGATACATCTTCACTTAGACCTTTACGTCTACGCGTCTTGATCATGAACTCTCTGGCCAAATGCGTCGCGGGCTGCGGTTCCAGCGGCCTGAGAAAAAAGCAGTTATTGTTTAAAAAATAATATTAAGAAAAAACTGTCAACTCCTACCGCAAACTGCTTTAAGGAGCTTCATTCAACAAACAATCTAACAGCATGATATTTTTCACAAGTGTTTATATAACTGGTGATTGCTCCGTGGTTAAAAATCAATCATAATTCATTAAGTTTGTTCCATATTGAGGTTCTTTTTTCAAAGTTATATAGATAGCTTATAAATACAGATTCAGAGATTTTCTCATACACACTAACAAACTGTTCATCTTTACATTATGTAAGTACTCATATAATATAGATGAAAGATAACTAACATCATGCTACATCTTTTAGCAGTGAATTAATTATATATAAATAAAAAGCGCGAGCGGATTCGCGGGTAACAGAAAGTCAATTAATTTTGACTTTTTACAGTCCTCATACTCCTAAGTACATGCATTATGTTTCAAAAGGGGTTCAAAGTTTTTACGTATTAGTATATAAATGCTCTCCTCTAATATATTATCCTTACCTAATAATAATGCTCTTGTCGAGCGGATCCCCGGGAACTATTTGCCAGTGATGGAACACCTGCAGACAGAAGGCCTGGCCCTGCGTGTGCGTGCGCAGGTCCGTCTCGAAGCCGAACGAGTCTATGGCGGGGACGAAGGCCTTGATCGTGTACAGCGGGGAGCCCGGCACGGGCGCGTCTTGGGTCACGTGACCTGGGGGGTAAAACGAGAAAATATAATAATATAGTATTTAGTGGTAACGCGCACGCTTAGGATGCCGAGTGAAGTCGGTTCAAATCCCGGGTCTCGCACCTCTGATATTCTCATGTGCGTATCATTTCCGACATGATTACCACTTGTGTTACGGTAAAGTATAACATTATGAAGAAACCTGCATGTCTGGGAGAGCCCAACAAGTTTTCGAAAGATATGTAAAGTCCACCAACCCGAACTTGGCCAGCGTGGTGGACAATGGCCAGATCCCCCTCGTATTGAAGGGAGGCCGTATTTATATGTGGGACGCTTAAAAGTATATTATTATAATAATCTATCATCTTTATAAATGTAATATATGATTGAGTGGAATACTATTATAACTGTGAAAGTTTGTACATATGTGTGTGTGTATATGTTTTTTGATCCTAAATAATGATACGGCTGAACGATCTCTGATGTAATTTAGTAGTGTTTATATAATATATATTTTAATAATACAATAATTAACACCTTTAATACAGATTAAAAAAATACTAAACAAATAACATATAATTACCTCTTCGCTTCGCAAGTACAGTGTATACAGCTGACACACAATCAGCAGGCGCTTGAACTTCAACAAATAAATAGGGCTCCATGAGCCTTGGTGTTGCCATCAAGAAAGCTGAATATGCCACCTGAATTAAAATTTAAATGTATTATAGACATAATAATATCAATAATATTGCATGTATATAATTTTTATTTTTGTATTCTACTTTCAAAAGATATAAAATTCTTGTAATGGATATCAAAGGAGTTCTTAATTACAAATAAAATTTATAAAAAGAATATACATATTTGTGCCTACTATATGTTTTCAAACTTTTTAATTATATAAATAACACAATACATACTCGTCTAGCAGTCGGTATGATTTGCCCTCCGCCCCTGTGCAGAGGTTCTTGAGCAATAACGGCATCCAATATTTTGAACTTCACATTACGTATCGGCTCTTCACAGAGCGGCCCCTCCCTAGTACCCCACTGGAAACCTTATAGGGAAATAGAAATAACATATGTATTTAGTGCTTAATTTTAAATTATTTCATGTTAAATATCCTTTTTCTTATGAAAGAAAATATGTATATAATTAATATAATAAATAAATAATAATTGCAAAAATAAATATTTATTATTATTATACGTCACAGAAAACTATCCAAATAATTGAGTTTCAACAATATTTTCTTATCGGTCTCTTTTCCGTAAATATTTTCTATGAAAATCCGTCAAGTAATTTCTGACTTTAGTTCGAACAAACACAAACTACGCCACATAGTACGTAGTGATATTATGGGCACTTTGTTTTGAATATTATTACAAGCTTAGATTACAAAATTATTATCTTTTCCTTTGCGACAGTCAAAAAGTCATATTATTTCTTCACTTAAAAAAAGAAAATTCGAAGGCACGCATCGTTTTATTTCACACATACCTTGTACTATACTATCTTTGACGGAAGCAAGCAAATGCTTATCGACTTCGGAGGGCAATGTATCGTCTACCAGAATATTAGGGCCAGTAGCGTCGGGTCCGAACGCCCAGATAGACCGAGCCGCTAACAAATCCCAATCGTACCTGAAATATTTCATCAATTAAATAATTTATTCCGATGACGGTTTTTTGCATTGTATATAATACTAGCGACTTACCCTCGCTTCGTCCAGGTTTGTCCCTAGGTACGTTTTAACACTTAGTATGGAATAGGTTTTTTTTTCCGTAAATTTTTCCAATGTTTTAATTTTTTAAACAAATCCAACAAATCAAAAACCATGAAAATAGATCCAGCTAATTATAAGTGTTGTAACAAACCCAACTTTTTTTATATATGTATATAGATGGTATAAGTCATGGCTTCCCTCTGAATCAGACCCTTAGTCTGCAACACTCACTGAGCCAGTGACATTAACTTAGTTTATACTCACATACTCTACACCACTCACACACACTCCACCACTCACACACTCCGCGACTCACTTGGTCTGGAAGAACTCTCCGAGCCGCCGCCGGTCCCAGGTGACGCAGACGGCGCCCGCCTCGATGTCCTCGGCCAGGCCGCGCTCCAGCGGCTCCGCTATCATCGTCAGCTTGTTGCGCTTGTTCGGTGTCTCCGCGAAGCACTTCAGCGAGGACGTCTCCACCACCGTCTCGCAGAACGACACCACGGGGTCCGCCACTGCGGGACAGTAACAATTCTTTTTAAATTGTCGCGTTCCATCTATACTAATATTATAAAGAGGAAAGATTTGATTTTCTGTTTTTTTGTACTGAATAGGCTCTGAAACTACGGAACCGATTTAGATGAAATTTGGTAAGAAGATAGTTTGAAACGTTGTGAAGGACATAGGATAGTTTTTATCCCGAAAATCATCCCAACAAAAAATTGTTTTTTGCATGATTCGGCATTAAAAAAATACATACAAACCTAAATTTTCACTAGGGACGATCCCGAACGGTGCGAGGGTGAGTCGCTAGTAATTATATAATAATGACAATATGGGAATAAATGCGTATGTTTGCCAACAAACGGCTGGTGTAATCCAGTTGAAACGTCGGGTAGATATTTAGACACTTACGAATTTACATGTTTAAGTCCCTCTATTGCGTTAAAACTTTAAGAATATACACATAAACGTACAAAAAAAATATAATAAATGCGCAATACCTTTGATATCAATTTCGGAGTACATGTTCCGTAGGTCGTGCATGACGCAGTCGAGGTACAGCTCGCCCGTGCCCAGCACCACGTGCTCGCCGCTCTCCTCCACGCGCGTCGACAGCACCGGGTACGACTTGTTCACCTGCAGACGGACAGACAGACATTAATACTGCCGTCATAAAAAAGAAGGCCGCAAATTCGTCAAAGTTAATTTCGAGATATTTGAAGTTTTGGCTTACAACCAGTGCCGGATTTAACCTTACCGCCGCCCCTGGGCATAGTGAAAAATGTCGCCCTATTATCGAAATTTTGAATAAAATATTGAAAGTTGCAAAAGAAAAATGCAAAAAAAAAATTTATAAACGATTTCAATATTTCCAAAACTGTACTAGTTAATTTTTTGTAATTATTAATTCTTTGAAAAATTAAAAAATAATGACGCGAAAAAAGAACTCCGAAGTTTGCCGTCCCTAAATAAGGCCATCATGTAGACAATAAAAATATATGTATAAACGATACCTTTCTCAAACCGTCCAACATTTTAGGCAGTTCCGAAGGGTTAACAGGTTCCACAGCAATCTTGACAACGGCCTGGGTGTTGAAACGAAGAGGTTTAAAGGTGTGAAGCTCCTCATCTTCATCAGCAGACACAACTGTGCAGGTCTTCACTATGGGCTGGTCGATACCCTCGATGAGCGCCCAGCATCCGGCCGGCACGCGGTTTAATTCCACCTTGATATAGGAATATTAATAGAATCACATTAAAATTATAAATAAAAAAATGTGAGTTAGTATACTTGTTTGTCACTACTGTTGTAACGGCTTAATGGAATTTAGGAATATATATTACTTGGGACAGTTTATACCCTGGATATATACATAAAATGCTTTATGGACACATCTTTAAGCGGTCCCGCTGTAAGAAGAAAACTTTGTTCACTTCCAGTCACGTAGCAACTGATCAAAGAAATACGAACTTTAATCATATTTTTTTTATAATTTTAAATTTTGCTATCCACACAGTATAGCAATTAAAAAAAACAATAACATAAAAGTTAACTTCTTCTATATTAGCTGCTCCAGAAAATCTTTAAAACAACAATAGAGTAAAATTCTTCTAAACAATTCAAAAAAAAACGACAGATTAAAAAAATAGTAAATGCACTTTAAAAACAAACTCCATTCACCTTATACCGAGCTTCATATATCCACAGCCTGCCAACATTCATAATGCGCGAGTCCTCCTCGTCCTGAGTGCTGTAGTTCTCCCCCAGCACGCGCACCGTCTGCCCCGCGTACAGCGTGCCGGACATTACACGCGCCAGCACCTGTTGGAAACAATATAATTTTGATGACACGTTTGGCTCAGTTTGTAGTGACCCTACTTGCTGCGCCAGCGGTCGCGGGTTCGAGTCCCGCTGGGGGCATTCATTTGTGTGCTGAGCACTAATGTTTGTACTCCAGTCATGGGTGTTTATATTTATAATATGTATGTATTTAAAAGTTATATATGTATAATGTATCAACTATCTGGTATCCATAACACAAGCCTCGTAGCTTACCATGGAACTAGATAGTGTTGTGTGTTAATGTCCTGACATGTTTATTTATTATTATTTATTTATTTAATATAATTTTTAAAGTTATACTTCTTTTGGGATGTTTGGAATAAATTATGAGAACTGACAGCCAAAAAGCAACACGATGATGTTAGCTGATAACTGTTTATTACCATGGTAACCGTTGTTATTGTCTGACAAATGATATATAATATTATATTCTTTCCATATATGATATTCTATAAATATATGATAGTAATATGCGTAATATGCCTTATTTAATTAATTTACCATTCCTTTGATGAAATGTTTAGTTGTTTTTGTTCTGTTACGCCAAAGAAGTACAACTTCTTTGCGTACATTAGTACATACACACACGTTTTTCTTTATTTATAATAATAATAGTACTATAATATATGCGAAAGTTTGTATGTTTATTACTGCTTCGTGCTTAGATGTATTTGGATGTTTAGTAGACAAATAGACTTTGAACTGGAATTATGTTAGACACCAAAAGAAGCACCCAAGCAAAGCGAGGGTAAGTCACTAGGATTCAAATATACATATTGTCTATTGATAAAGCTCAAAATATAATCTATACATATAATAAAATTCTGAGTCGAAACTGTACATAAAATATTTTTTGGAAAATCTTATTGAAATAATCATTACTATCGATACACAGGTCGAATCTATAGTTTTAAAAACATTTGTCTATCTGTCTGTTGCCGCATCACGGAAAAACTACTAGAGGGATTTTGATGAAATTTGGTATGATGATAGCTGGTTATCCGGGTCAACATATAGGATACTTTTTACTGCGGGGAAATATCTCATCTCTGAGAAATCTATACTAAACGTTAAAACGGAAGTAGGGCCAAACACGAACGGAGCGAAGGTGAGTCACTAGTAGCATGTAAATACAGTCTAAATAATTCCAAAAAATCTTCAAACCGCCAGAGTTCTATCAATTTTCAGGTACAATTGCTAGTGTACACTGCACATCGCTGTCACGTCGCACTAGCACACCACACGTACGTAGGTAAACTCACCAAAAAGAAAGTGCAGTCATCGGTGGGATACATCTTGGTGGTGTGCGCGACAAGCCGGCCCGCCTGCTCGCAGCGCACCATGTCGCGGTGCAGCGCGCCGGCCGCGCCGCGGTACGCGTGCGCCACCTTGCGCGGCGCCGCCTCCAGCGGGGACGGCACGTGGCGCACTATCATGTCCACTAAACCGCTGCGGGCATATGAAAAAAAAATATTTACACACTAGCAGAACCCACGGCTTCGCTTGCACCGAAACTACAAAAATATCTCTAAAAGGGTAGGTTTTAGACATACTTTTATCCTCTATTTTACTCCCATAAAGGATGAATTTCGAAAAATACTAAAAACGAGATTTTTTAATTGTATTAAAAAGAATTAATATCATGTTTCAAGTAATTCTGATCATACTTATTTTTTTTGGGTTGTATTATAAAGTGTTTTCTTGTGGGAATGAGATAATCTCCCGCGGCAAAAAATAGCTTATGTCACTCCCCATTCCTTTAACTATCTCCACACAAAAAATCACGCCCATCCGTCACTCTGTTTTGACGTGAAAGAAGGACAAACAAACACACTTTCACATTTATAATATTAAAGTATGGAAGTATGGATGCAGATGAATTTTCTCTCACCAAAAGTCGCCAAAGAAGCGACTGCAGACGAGCCGCAACAATGGCCTTACATTCAACTTGGCTTCTTGCTTCGTGAGCTTGATGCCCAGCTCGTTAAGCACGGCCGGCAGTGTGTCGTCTACATCCCCTACAACCTAAAACATAATAATAATTCAAATAATACTATCTTTTCGGATTTTTTCGCGGATTTATTTTAATTTAACAAAAATTATAAAGATTTGCAGATACATGTCCTGGTTTCGGTTCCCAGGTTCGGCCTAGTGTTAGAAGTTTATAGATTATTCAATTCAGAAATTCTCATTAAAGACCGAGCATATGTATACATATGTATGTGTATTCAGCCCTTTTTAATGTCCCACTGCTGGGCACGGGCCTCCCTTCAATACGAGGGGGATATATATAGGTATGTACTGTACTAGCACATACCTCGCACAGGTAATCTCAGTAAGACTGGCCACTATAACCAAAACCAATAAGGACATTACAATTACCTGAGCAAAAATTTTGTACAGAGGTTCCAAAATGAATTCCACAAAGCTTCTTTGCGCAGAAGCATGCGGCTGTTTCTTTGTGAACCTTCTTGTTTTAGCATTGAAGTACACATCCCCCCACAGCCAGGCCGCCATGTCGGACGCGCGCAAGCCGCAGTCATGCGCATTCGCATACATTGCAGCGAAGGACTCCAGTGTGAAGCACACATCGTAAAGAGATGAGGCGAAACAGACATTACCTGAAGGTAATATGGGGATGTAATGTTAAAAGAAAGCGAAAGTATTCACTTCGTAATCTATACATATAATAAAATTCTAACTAAGTCGAATCTGTACATTAAATATTTTTTGCAAAATCTTATTGAAATAGACATTATTATCGATACAGAGTCCGAATCTATAGTTTTTAGAATTTTTGTCTGTCTGTCTGCTAGTGGTTGTATATATTTGGATAAATTTGTGAAAGTTAACTTTTCAAATTTGACTCATTCATACCAGCACTCGATTAAAACATTGGAATTTCTCAGATTTACGCGAATATTGACATTTCAAATAAAACTATATTTTCGGTTTTTTTTTTGCAGATTCATTTTTTTTTCTTTTCGAATGCTTAACAGCAATTTTGGTTACGAGAGAGTGACTCAAAATAAATGCGGGATAAAATTCGAAATGGTAATTTTATTTAAAATAAGCGACTCACTTTCACTTCGTTTGGGTTCATGCCTAGGTACGTTTTGACGGTTAGTAAGGAATGGGTAGAGTATATACTATATGATATATAGCTTATAGCCTTCCTGAAAAAACGGGCTATCTAATGCAAAAAGAATTTTTCAAGTCGGATTAGTAGTTCCCGAGATTACCGCGTTCAAACAATCTCTTTATAATATTAGTTTGGATAACACATAGGTTTTTTTTGTCAACATTCTTACCATACATGTGGAATCATGAGCAAAATTTTATTTATTATTATAAATGATTAATAAAATACTCATGTATTTACCAAGCCAGATAATTCTTTGCCAGTTACAAAAAAACTTAAATTTAATTTAATATCTTAAAAATGTTCAGTAGATGTTAAAGTAAGTAGATGATAAATCTACTTCAAACTATACAGACAATATGAAAGTGCAAATTTTGCAAATTTTCAAAATAATAACAAACCTATTAATGGAGAAAACACTATAGCAGGCTCATCCGGATTATCTTGCGGCTGATTGGTCTCTAACATTGAATTTAATTCATCAATTATGTGACGCAGCTTGTAATATGCATCTGCGGGAGGTAACTTTAGCTCTAAAATCAACCTATCAATTTTGTTGATGCATAAAGTTAGGGGCACTCTTTCTTGAACAGCATGACGCATAAGACGCTCAGTATTCAGCATTATACCTTCTGCAGCATCAACAAATAATACTGCACCTATAATAAAACACAAAAAACTTAATAATAAAATATGTATAGGTATATTCTTAAAGTATTTTACTTACTAAACTCATATTTGTAGTTTACAAATCACTAAGTGATTTTTTATATATTATCTGTTTGGTATAAATTGGTTATGAAACAGATATTTATTTAGCCGGATACTGGATATCTCATTGTTTTCACGTTACATTTTGCGACAAGTTCACATATTATCGGAAGAATTCTAACGTATTCGGGTGTCATCGTGACTTAGTGATTAGTGAAAGTAAATTGTTAATTGTTGACGTTTTGTATTATTTGCTTCATAAATGTTTTTCTCTTGCAGATTTTGTTAGGAATTAATTGTATTTCTTAATATCCATCATGCAGTCGGATATTATGATTCAATACGGTATCCGGCCGAATAGCAAAATGAGCAGACACTAGATAGTTGCCGGACATCCATTTAATCTCTAGTATAAATCACCCAGCAATTTCAATTTGTTTGTTATTTCATATTTACAGATGCTATCAAATAATATATAATTTACAAAACTTCTTACCATCTGAAATTCTTAACGCAGCAGTTACTTCATCACTAAAATTAACATGTCCAGGAGTATCCATTATATTTAGCAAATGAGATTTTCCCTTAATATCCTTCAAAAGAAGAGTCACTGGCATTGACTTGATTGATACTCCTCGTTCTTGCTCTACAAACAATGTGTCTGTGTATCTCATTGGTATTGTTGTTTCATTGTTGATAGTGCCAGGATGAGTTTGACGGATTAAACAATCAACAAAGGAGGTTTTGCCTGCAAAAATATAACATAAAAAATTATAACATATAATATCTAATACCTTTAAATGAGCAATTATTGTATATTTATTTATACCGGCGATGGCGGAAATGGCTCTAACGATTTCACTGAAATTTGGTATGTGGAGGTTTTCCGGGGTTGAAAAATCGATCTAGTCTTATGTCTGAGAAAACGCGTGTTTTCGAATTTTCGTACAAAATATGGTCGCTAATTTCACACGCTCGGGCATAAGCATCGTGGTCAAGCGGCCAAGGCGCAAGATTGACATTCACAGGTATCTGGGTTTGAATTCTGGTCTGATAAAAAAAATTTTGTTTTGTTTTTTTTTTGTATTTATTCAAGTTTTTAGTTTGTTTTTATCTAAAAGAACTATATAACAAAAACACCTCAGAGCGAAGCTCGGTCGCCCAGGAACTAATAATTATAAATTCGAAAATTTGTGAGTATGGATATATGGATGTTTGTTTCTCTTTCACTTAAAAAGTACTGAATGGATTTATTTAAAACTTTGCAATAATATAGCTTATACATCAGAATAACACTTATTATCCTGAAAAAATATATGGTATGCGTGGGATAGTTTTGTTTTTGTCTATCTTTTCTAGTATGAACAAGTAAAAGTGAGCCTATTAAAAATCTTATTAAATATATCTATAATGTTAATTTTTTTTTTTTTTAATAAATTTGCATTCCACGTCCCACCTAAAATACCCCGACATCCGTGCAACTTGTTAGAAGTAGGTGTCTACAGAACTCACTTGGGAAAGAATTCCCCTGTGCCAAGAATGTCGAGATTATACAATAATATCACAAAAAAAATCTTAAGCGTAGACATATGCCATGACAGACTACCTCAATTTAAGCGCAAAGTTATCGAATATTTATCAGAACTGTAACCCTTCGACTTATCGCCAATCGTTACTACGATAAATTATGATATATTTTTTTTATTACTTTGTTTTGTGCGTTGCTATTAATTCTAATCCCAAATTGAATTTACTTGTTTTACTGGACTAACTATTTAAATATTATTAACTTATTTATTCTAATTATATTATGTCTAATTAAGTAATTTTTTATATTTAAATTGTCATGTATTAATTTTATAATTTAATTTTCAACTTTATTCATTAACATATTATTATGATTTAATTTTAAATTTCCATTTCATATTTAACTGTTATTGACGTGATTTAAAAAAAAAGAGCATGCTGTGATAACCTATCACTAAAAGAACATTAATGAAATTGTTAACACATGAATATTATGCCGCTTTTAATGTATCTTTTGTTGGTTGTCCTTTAATAAATAAATAAATAAATAATTCCTATGAATGTTTTATAATATAAAATATATTGTTACAAAACTTTAAAATCAAAATATCAAAACAAAAATTAAAGTTTAGCAAAATTAAAACTTATACAAACCATTATGTAAATGACCCATTAAAGTAACATTCCTCATCAAGTTTGTGTTATCTAACATATCAGCCAAATACTCCATGTCATATGTAGTGTCTGGAAGTTGCTGTTCTTGCATTTGAAATTTTTTATTTTTTAAGGGCTCTATTAAAGGCTTGTCCAAGGCCTGAGTATCTTCCTCTTGCACAACAGTTTCAACATCAGGTCCATATACTTCTACTGCTTGAGGATAGTATCTAAAGACAATAATATTTTAAATAAAAAAAAAATAATTGCCACTGTATAAGTAATGTGCCTTAATCTTATTACAATGTTGTGAATAGAAAAAAAATATACCTATTTAAGTAATTAAACTATGCAGAATATTATTTTACCGTTTGTCTTCATGTAGGACGACCGACATAGGAGCAACTTCAGGTTCAGCGTCAGCATCTTCATCTTCTTCCATGGCATCTTCATCAGCATCACGATTATCTTGCCCGTAAACACTTTGTTCATCATCTGAGTCAGATTCAAGATCCGGCCCTATATAATTACCAAATTCGTCGTATAAATCTCCGTCCATTTTGTAGTAATTACAGTGAGAAAAATCAAAGGATAGGCAAAACGCAATCAAAACAAATGCCGCTTTGGATACTTTGACATTTCTTTAACCTCAAAATAAATATCTTTTGTTTATGGTTTGATTAGTTGCGTTCATTTTAATTAACTCTGTAAAGTTGTAAATTATAACCTTTTTATTAGTTTTGTTTTGAGTAGTCACCAGAAGACTTTGTAGTTATTTTACCAATATTTCACTATGTGTAACTCAGCTCAGAGCCGGTTCAAATATTCAGTTCACAGTAGCTAGAGCCGTTGAGCTGCGGCTCAGTTGCTAGATAATCGGTTCACAGCTCAATATTACTTAATATGGCTCCGTGCATCACTTCAGCGCCACCTAACGTCAGCTATTTCGATGGACCCGAGCCGACGGACCTGTACTATAGTCTATAATCTATATTATTATACTCTGCGACGGACGGTATGACATTTCATCGCGACGTAAATATATAATTGCATGAAATTAGCATTCCCATATAATTGTGTAAGAACGAAAAAATATGACTATAATAACTTTTTTCGAAATGCTGCTTTATTACATACAAATATAATTTAGGTACATCATACACGTCATTTGTTTGAACAGAGTCATAAATTAGCTGTAAATCTATAGTTATAAGTACCCATATAGCATCAATTGAGCTGAACTGTGAGCCGGTTCACAGCTCCGGTTCAAGCATATGACTCATGAGCTGACCTGCAGCTCATAAAAATTCATTGAGTTACCCATGTCTACCAATATTTAATATGTTATACAGAAGATAAAGGAAATTGGTTGGTTTCTTATAGTAGTAAAATTAAAAAACATATTGATTTAAATTACATAATGGTTCATTGCAGTATGTAATTTTTTCCTACATTTTTTGCTTTCATATAAAATGTTGTTGAGTTTAATAATTGTAAGTCTATTTAATAACATCTAACATAATATATTGAACGCACCATAGTATGTATGGCATTGGTAGGGATCACTTTGTTCTTTATAGTTTACTTTGTCTGTGGTCAATGTCTTTTGAATACAAAAATGGCTGCCTTGCAACAAAATTTATCAAAAATGATTTCGGCACAGCTACGCAATAAAGCAAATGAGTTTTTAAACTCAAGAAAACATGCTAATAATCTCGCTGATATCTTGCAAATGTTCGAGGTAAGCATAGAGAATATTAAATATAAATGTAATGTTTACTAAAACTGCGTCTTAGGTTACGTTTATGATATAAAACAATATTTATTCTATTACAGGCCGAAACCGAGAACTATACGCCACTGCTGCTTACCATTGAAGTAATCTTTACGGAGTTGCTGAAAAGGGGAGATTTAATTCAACATATCGTCCCCTTAAAACCAATAGGTAGGTTGAGCGGTAAAGCTCGTTAAATTATTGATTTTGCACAAAAATGTGTTATAGTACTGAAATTTGTTATAATCACTTCACTTAAACTGCCGATGGTAACATATAAGGACTTTTTTTTCTTTACCATTCTTTTCCTAATAAGTTACGTTTTAGCTTATGTAAAGTCTAGGGTCTATATTGTACCTTCATCTTGTGTAACTTGGATTACGAAATTGTCTTTTACATAAATAAAATTTATATAATTTATTAAGTACACTACCTATCGTTGTAGCACAGCATTTGCCTGATTTTATGCCATATATATCGCGAAATTTATTTCTGCTTCTCTTTTTCTGATTTCACCATACAGACATTTTTTGGTTTGAACAACACATCGTGATTTTGATTATTGCAATGCGAGAAGCTTGTAGTGAAAGAATCCAAGAAATATCGCCAAATAAATTAAATATATATATAGCTAGCTACGTTTAAGTTAACTATCAATCTCATTTGCTATTTCTTCTTTTTTATATAAAAAATATTTATTTTGCAATATGTAAGTTTTGAGTCTATGAAATATTAAGTGACTTTTTATCTTTTTCTTAAGATGATTCTTAGCTAGTACCTTTTACTTTATATGTTCTGAAAATTGAGTATTTTAGTTATAATTGTTAACGATAAAATAATAAATTAATAATTGGTCTGTTTTCTATAGATCAAAGTCCTGAAGCAGAATACACTAGGTGGCTATGCGAGTGTTATGAGGCAGCGGTCAACAGAGCACTAGAATGTATAAGGAGAGGCCGCACCAGTTCTCGCCTCCAAGCTCTTGTGACAGCTTGCAAACTAATGCAGGCAGAAGGCAAACATCCTCTCGAAACTTCTTCTGGATATTACTTCCCATCTGTTAGACTTAAAGTATGTGTTTTTATATATCTGTTTATTAATAAACTTTAATATAATTAAAATAATTAATTAATGGCTAAAATCAAGTTAAAAATCTTTTATTTATCAAAATACAAAGAAAATATTTATATAACTTTTTTTTCTGTTCTGCATAAACTACTGATTGTTTCAAGTGTAATCGTAAATTTTTTGTCTCTTTTAAAGTTGTCCTGAAACATTATGAATAGTTGAAAAATGATAATCAATCTGCCAATTTAAATATACTGTTCACAAAAAAAAAACTTTTTTTTATTATATTTATTTTTTTACATATCTCTTCCTTTTTCAGAATATATTTACAGTGCTACTGGACTCTGAAACTCCAATGACGGCACCTATCACACGTTTCCAAGAGTTTACAGAGTACAGGGATGTGCAACAGCATGGTCTTAAAGTACTAGCTGCACTCGCTTATCGCAAGTAAGCATGTAATTTTTTTCCTTATAAATTAAATTTTAATTCCTATACATTTTATTTTTTTATTCCTTGACATAAGAATAGTACTAAAAATGCCTTTTCTAATTTAGTGCACTCTTTTGTAGATCACCTTCTCCCACATACATGCAAAATTTCCTAGAATTGTTGGACAAACTGTTGGCTACAGAAATACCCACTGAAAATAAACCTAAAGCCAAAGAGAGAGACAATGCTGATAAGGAGATGAAAGTGCTATGTGCTGCTGAAGGTCAGTACTTAACGATATATTTTTAAGGAATACAAATGAATTGTACAATAAAGCAGTTAAATCTACTCTAAATCCTGAATTTTTCAATCATATAAATTTCTCCAATTATATCTTTGTATTATTTTATCTGTCTTATATTGATTCTACAAATCACATAAGACAGTGTATATGAAAATGAGTTAGCCATATTGTATAAGTAATGACTGAGAATCACTAGTTCACCCTGCCGGGCTGATCATGGATGGCCTGGGATGGCAGTGCCTCCTTCACTCAAATGCCTGTAGGGCCTCCCGGAAGGGCCTCTTAGGGACGCCTCCATATTAGTTGGCAGCGGTAAAACCCACGGCCAGAGGGCTATGCTCTGATGCTGTTTCCTCACTCCTTGTGAGGGTTGTGAGATGACTCAAGACACTTTAACGATTAACAGGTAATAATAAACACAAGTAATTTTTTTATTAAAATCTAAAAAAAAAATAATTTCTATCCACAGGTAAACCAAACTTCTCCTACAACAACGCTGTGTGCCGTCGCTACGCTAATAGGTGCTGGGGCTTCGCGTGCCAGTGGCCCCTCTGTGAGGACTCGCGCACTCACCGCCGGGCGCTGCTGCTGTTGGTGGAGAGATTGATGCCTCTTCTGAACAGACCACACCTGGCTACGGATATGCTGTGTGACAGTCTTGATGCAGGTGTGTCAATGTTATTTTATTAAGACTTGTTTTTGTTGATATATTTACTTTTGAAAAACATCAACAGTTAATAAACATTAAATAATTCTATTGATTAAACTTAAATTCGTGTTTTAAGTTTAATGATTTGATTGGAGAATGCCTCGTGGTGTTTGTCATATTGTGTAAATAAAAAGAAATTAAAAACATGAACTTAAGTGAGTTTTTTTCGATAATTCTTCTTAGGTCTGATGCTTTTTTTTCTAAACTGGTGGTAAACTCATAATGTTCAGTGAAAAACAAAAATTATAATAATTTAATGAAAAAAATATTTTGAATCTTTGAATTTAAGTGTGTCTAATTTACACATTTTGATCCTTTGATAAGTGAAAAAAGGTAAAAGATATATGCATACTCATTTTATGATTTAAATTGAAATCTCAGGTGGACCTATAAGCATGCTAGCCCTCCAAGGCGTGCTGGAGCTGGTGCGACACCACAACATCGACTACCCGGACATGTACGACCGCCTCTATGCCATGTTCGAGCCAGAAATGTTCGCCACTAGATATAAGAAACGCCTCATGCACCTTGCTGATATATTTCTTAGCTCTACGTGAGTATTATCTTCTTCTTAATGTATAAATTTTTACGATGTTAGTCACTGATAAACTCCGAAAGTACTTATTTCATCTTAACGTATTTTTTTTTTAAATTAATTTGTGATTGGTTCCAAGTTAAAAGATAGGATAGTTTTATTCCGATTATTTTCTTTATTGCCAAATTAACGATTTTCATATCCGGAGAAGGATTCCGGGAAGAACCTGACGGCTAAGCTACATATCCTACCTATAGCTACATATTTTTTTGTTTTTCGACACATCCTGAATGTACAGAAATCCCATGTGATGTTGGTCCGCAATGAACTCCGAAATAACTTATCCGATTTAGATTATATTTAGCACTGTGTGTGTAATTTGGTCCAACTTATTAAATAGGATATTTATCTAATCATCTTAATATATTTTTTTTGCAAATTAATTATTTTTAAAGATTCAATTTTTTTTATTTCAATTCAAATTAAGCTCAAACCAATTTTTTTTTTCAATAATACATTTTATTTATTCCACATTCGAACACAATTTGTCATAAATAATTAACTTGCATAGTTATAAGTGTGCCACAGCAACGCGTGGGCCTGCTAGTTAAATATAAAATATACCAATGTGTTCATATGAAATCCAAAATGTGTGTACTATGTATGTAGAATTCTAAATTTTGAATTACACTCAAACCTATTGGGTTGTTACAGCATGAAGGAAGTAGTAAGTAATAAAGACTGTAATATATATAAATATCCTAAAATAAAAAAAAATTCACAGTAACATATGTTTTGCAGACATTTACCAGAAAGTCTTGTGGCGGCGTTCGCAAAGCGTCTGTCTCGGCTCGCGCTCGTGGCGTCTCCGGAGGACACAAAAGGCTTACTGCAGCTGGTCGCTAATTTACTGCTGAGGCACCCCGCTCTGAAGCGCATGATCTGCTGCGAAGACACACCTGCTATAAGTTAGTATTAGTTTTTTAATAGGTTAGTTAGTATGTGAACACCACAGACATTTTTTCGTACCTCTTTATGAGCTATAGTTATATATAGTTTTATATTGTGTGATTTTCTTTTCCTTTTTTGTTTTCAAAAAAAAAGTTTTATTAGAAATATGTAATAAACGTATCCTCCGTCGCAGTGTCCAACGACCCGTACGTGATGGAGGAGTCGTCTCCGTCGAGAGCGCGCGCGCTGGGCTCGTCGCTGTGGGAGGTGCGCGCGCTGGCGCGGCACTGGGAGCCCGCCGTGTGCGCCGCCGCCGCGCACGCGCTCGCCGCCGCCGACGCCAGCGCCGCGCCCGTCTGGCTGCCGGACGACGCTGTTAGTACATACTGGCTTACTTATCTGATGGCTCACGTGTACGGCTGCAGATCCGCAGGTCCCGGATTCGAGTCCCGGGTCGGGCTAAGTTTAATTACTGAGCTTTTCTGTTAGTGTTTTCTTAGTAGTAGCCCGGAGTTGGTAAATTGATGGTGTTGCACTCTCGTGCCTCAGAGAGTATCTGTCTCATCGGACTGAGAGTAAAAGGAATAGAGAGTGCAATTGTGTTTGCGCGTACATGGACGCACGCGCTGCACTATAATATCTCCTGCGCATTTGGCTAATATCAGTAAGATTGGCCATCGTGGCCTAAATCGGTCAGGAGGACATAATAAACTAGCTTTCCTTCTATACAATATATTAGTTATTAGTATGAATGGCCATTTTGATTATAGATGATTAGATAGGAACACAAAATCGGTCAAGTCATCGGAATTTTTTACCTTAATGCGCGACGCAAAAGAGGGTAATGTGTTAATATATAGAGATTTTTGATATTAGTAAAACAGAGAGAAAATGTATTATACAGAAATATAAACAAATCATTAATCAATATTTTGTTTTTCCACAGTCTTTCGATGCAGAACTAAAGAAAAGGTTCAAAACAATAGAACTGAACTTCATCCGGCCACAGAGCATGGCGTTGCCGGCCGGCGAGCGGCTGCTGCCGTACTGGGAGCTGATGGCTTGAGTGTAATGAGCAGCGAGTGTTGCCAGATGTTGAATTCCCCATTTTCAAGGGTAAATGTTCCGCGAAAAAGTTTACATATTTCTATTTTATTATTCTGTCATGACACCAATTACAGTTGAATATTTAATTGAGCTTACATCTTTTAAGTTTTTCAATTAGTATACAATTTAATCATAAAAGTAGAGATATGTACAAATTAATTATTGAATGCTGTAAATGATTTGTTTAATATTTTCGCTCGTTTATGTTTTTAATTATTGGAATATTTCAATATTTAAATGGCAAGTTAACATATTAGTAAAAATGATTAAAATTTCCCAGTGTAACTAAGTACTGTGGTACATAATCCACTTTATGTCCAGAATATGTATATGAAAGCTAGTACAGATATCTATGAATAATAATATTAAGAAATGTGAATGAAACACAAAAATTATATGTAAATTTATGTATGTACTATTTAATGTACAGAGTTGATGACAGACATTTGACCGGTCGGCTGAGTTGGCTGGTCATGCTTATGAGAATAAGTTACTTAAGAAGTTGACTGAGAAAACTTCGTTTTTGCAATATACTGCAAAACATGCCATGTGTTATTTCCATTCGTGTGTCGAGCCACAAGAATGTAAGGTGTAGTGGTTACTATGTAACAAATTTCTCACCACATGTTTCTTGACTATTATTATTCTTAGTGCGCTGTACAAAATATATATTAAAGGATTCTATTATTATTTAGAGATTGGGCGATATAACTTTATTTAGTGGTTACGAAATATTATAAGCTCGCCCTGGCAACACTGCGGTTTTGTCAAAGATAGACAGTAGGTATAAAAAATATAATTTATTCTGGCAATCTTCTATAAATGTATATGTAGATTTCGATTGAGAGAGAAGTATTAAAACAAAAAAAGTTTGACTCGAATGTCTGTCTGTATACCGTACCACAAAACGATTGAGTTTCAGGTTTTAGCATAGTTCAGTTATTGTAGGAAGATATTGACACATTCAGATTTTAATGTGATTCATAATCAATTTTATATATGAAATCGGTTTATCCACTTTACAACTAATTCTAAAATGCAGATATATTAGATAAGAATTGGTTTTATACAAAGAAAAATAATTTAAAAAGGGAACAAATAGTCATCTTGATCGTTTTAATATCCATAATAACTCAACTCTTCCTACGGTAAATAGATACACTTAATTTTCAGTAATTCTTCAGGTGTATGGTAACATCTAAATTAAATGATCGACGACATTTGATCATATAATTTGGACGTGAACGAAGGATTGAAGTAAATGACCAAATAAACTCGCTGGAAACTGTTAGGCATATTGCAATATAATATTCTAAAGGAGTCTAATATTAATGAACGTGAATTGATTGAATTTGAATAACGTTAATTTTAATCGATTTAAACTTGGAAATTCCAAATCGATTTTCTACCAGTAAAATCACGTTTTTTAATAAATAAGAAATACTACATTGTAATAATCAGTAAGTACTAAATGGATTCAGATAAGTTAGCGAGTAATTTATATTTGAAATATTGATATTTAGTCGTAAGTATTGAATACATTTTTCACTCTAACGTATGGAGGGTGGAGGTAAGGAGAACCATCTTATATGGGAGACAAGTTGAAAAAGTGTCCAGGTGTAATCGATAAATAACAGTTCAAAAACCTACCAGAATGGCGCTAGCGTAGCAACAGGGTATGATATGAATTAGCAGTTGTAAAATTTAATTTAGATAATGAAAATATTTACGTAATTCAAAACAATTTAATAATATATAATGGAAAAACCTGTGGTGATATAAACTTAGAGAATGATTTATGTTTTGTGAACTTTTGTCTTTTAATAATACTTTTGGCGGTTTTTTAAAATGTACACTGGCTACCGTGGCGCCACTCTGATTTGACGCTTTCGACGGGCACTTTTTCATCACAGATAGTTCTCCTTATCTCTTCCCTCCATAATCTAACGTTATTATATAGGTGTTGTAATTGTTTCAATTTTATTTTTTATATAGATGTCGATACAACTGTCTGTGATGGCGGCTGGTATTTCCGCAAGCGTTTGCGCAACATCTTGCCGTTGCTTTTGAAAGACACGTTATGTATCATCACATTGTAATGTTAAATTTATTATTATATAGTCCACATTGGGTAGCGTTAGATATAAATCGATTTTTTAGTGTTGAAATTTTATCGATTTCTAGTGATGTTTTTTTTGTATATTTGACGCAAAATTTGGGTTTAAAGTGCAGTGGCTAACGGTTTTCGTGAATAATAAAGTTCTGTTAAAGTACATTAATTATAAAACGTTGGCAATTGTAAGTTATTGATTCTGATTAGAAATCATTATTAAAAATTATAGTCATAATTTTGAAAGTATCGCAATAGTCCATTGTAAAAATAATTTGACAATTTATTTAGAAAATTATTTAAAGACCACTCACTAAATAAGATCAGACAATTAATTTGAATATCCAAATACAACAACTGTTTGTTCATAGTTTTAAGTTTTCACTTCTGTCGGCAGTCCTCATGATTGCTTTTTGTATTATTATTTATCTAATGTTAAACAATGTGGGACTTAGTAATATAAATGTTGAATTTTCTAAATGTGATATTTAAAAAAGCAGCCAGATACTAAAAAAAATATATTTGTTTTTAGTATATTATGTATACTTTGACTCGGTCGCGCGAGACTATTGTGATTTATTTATTTCATTTAAGTTAGTTATATAGTATGGAATGTCGTGAAACGGTTTAGTATTTAGATTTTTTTTATATTTTTGAACGACTAAAAAAGAGGAGTTACTCAATTCGGTTGGTTTTTTTTTAATGTGTGTTACGCGGTATATTCATTTGTAATTCTTTTTTAATGAATAGATTATACTTTAACGGTGGTCCTGTATGAATTTCAAGAAAAATAATCCAAACCAAAATGATGGTCTTAATTGTTTTTAAGCGGGTTTGGTGTATATTACACAGACTTCAACGTCTCTTTTTTTCTTTAAAGAGTAATGATTACTATTGTTAATATTTATAAATTTATTATCTCTTTAAATAATTTAGTTATTTCTATTACAAACTATATAATACAACCCCCCTCAACTATTAACAAGGGGATGGCACGAGTTAGGAAATTCATTTGGGCACGAGACTTCGAATAATAATAATTATTATACGCGAATTATTAGGAAATTTTATAGGTTTACTTCTCCCGAATCTATTGGCCATTCGCCGCTATTACTTTTAGGCCCGATCCACACTATAGTGCCTATCACGGTTCGTTCTCGGTCCGATATCAGTCTGAAAAAAATATTTTTATACAAGAATTTTGCTAGAGTGGGATTTGACCGGAACTTGAATCTTACTGATAGTTTGAATGCACTCATTGTTTTTTGTACAAAATATCTTTACTAGACCGATATCGGTCCGAGAACGTGACGTGATGGGCACTACAGTGTGGATCCGGCCTAATGGTCCCCCAAAAGAATTTCCCAACTCGTGACGTCCCCTTGTGAGTGGTTATTGTTGCGTGAAACGCTCGCGTGAACGGATGTGTTAAAGTAAATTAATATTTATTGAATTTAAAAAAGTGCATTTAGATCGTAATTAATTCGAAGGTAATAAGAAATTTGTTTTATAGTGTTTTTTTAATGTATGGTAAAAAAAATGTTATAATTTTTGTCATTGTGCACACATTTACGAGATGCCATTATCACTGCGTTTTTAACATTTAAGAGTTGGGCGATTGTAAGTTTCTTTTGACATTGATAGTAATATCATTGTAACGTTTTGAAATTAGGCTTCGAACTTCGTGTATTGGAATTCATTGGCGGTGATTAGATTTCCCTAGTGGTTGCTTTTGGAACTAACGACGGCTATTTATAGCGCTATTAACTGGATAAAAAGTTTTAAATTAATGGGGTAGGGTACCCAAGCGAAACCGGCGAGTGAAGAGAGTTCAAATCCCGGGTCTCGCACCTCTCATTTTTTGCAATATACGCTCAGTCCGCCAACCCGCACTTGGCCAGCGTGGTGGACAATATCCTGATCCTCCTCGTAATAGAGGGAGGCCCATGCCCAGCAGTGGGGTGTTAAATACAACAGTTTTAATTACTTATGCATAATATATATGTATGTTGTTTTGTCTTTAATTAGAAACTAAATTAATTCAGCGAGTTGCCAGTAGGAAATCTAATCACACTCAATAGGAAGTGCTACTATGATGGAGCGCGCCTATAATCGCCCGACACTTAACAGTCAAATCTTCCTTTTCTCAATCTTTTTCTATTAACCGGTTACTTCATTCCAGTATGACCTAACACCACTTTAGTGTTTTTAAGAATGTAAACTAAGTGATTTGTTATAATTCAACGATTAATCCCACAGCTGGTTTACAAACGGCCATATTAATTTTATTATTGTTTATTGAAGCCGCGTTGGGTGCGGCGCTGCCACGAGACACGTACAAACAAACAAACATACATAGATTGTATAGCATCTCCCCCTATTTATTTAAGTTTTTATACTGAAATATACAACAAGATGATAATGTAGCACTTGAAGAATTAAAATTGCATTATATATTTTTCTATAATTTCTTGTTTTAATTTAAATTTTAATATACGATAATGTGATAAGTTTTTAAGTGTTATTTTTTCTAATATTAAAGGCCTATGCATACTGTGACTAACGCACTATCGCGCGCTTGTCACGTGTTAGTATCAATAGTCAATACGAATGCAAATAATGTTCGTTATTTTTTAATTTGCGCTTTATATTATTTACTAGCGACTCACCATCGCTCCGCTCGGGTTCGTCCCTGGGGTGGGGTCTGGGAGGACCTCCCTTATCCTTATCACTTAGGGGTATGGAAAATAGTAGCCAATTCTCAGACCTACTGAATACGCATATAAAATTTGGTAAAAATCGGTAAAGCCGTTTCGGAGGAGTACGGTAACTAACATTGTGACATGGAAATTTTATATATTAGATTATACACATATATAGACGTCCAGCGAACATGATAGTGTGTACAGGCCCTAAGTCCTAACTGATTTAATTCTTCGACTGCAAACGTTAACAACTCGAAATTGTTTTTTTTTTGTAAATGAATCTCACACGTAGCAGTAACCGCGGCAGCGACGTCCGCGCCCAGCGCCCGCCGCAAAATGTGAATATTTCACACAAATATAGTCCCTAGTTAGGTTTAAGACATTATTTTATTATTCATTTAAATGTTATATTATGAATAGAAATCAATGAAAATAGTTCTTATTGTTTTATTTATTTTACCCTCACAAATTCATTTTTTTTATATTACTAATAACATAAAATATTACAGCATAAAACAAGACGTAACAGAATAATATGTACTAACATAAATAAATTTGGCACAATAATTTAAATTTTAAATGTAGTTTGTTCGTATTTTTTATAGGAATAATCTATTTGAGACTGGCTTGTGAGATTTAAAAAAACAAAATTTGTTGAAATCAAATTAATTTTATCTTTATATTCGATATGTAGTTCCAAAGCTGTAATGAATAATATTATTATTTTAAAGTTAATTTCTGTGGTAGGTATATGATAACACTAAAAAATAGTTGACTTTTTAAATAAATCGTAGAACACTAAACTAAGTTTTTGATACATATTTAATGTTATTTTATTGTTTTTTTTTTTTCAAATAAAGTTTTCCACAACAATATTTCTCAGTCTTAACATAAATTAATATTGTCATACAAGCAAGTGAAAGGTGTAATTATTGCTTTAAATAATTATTGTCTAATATACATAATATAGTATCTTTATGTAAAAATATTTATTGAGCGCTAAAATATTAACATAGTAACAATATGAATATTACGTATCAACAGGGCCATGCGGTAGATTTTCTCAGTAGGTATGATGTAAAATTTATTAGGGTTCCGTAGCTAAAAGGCAAAAACGAAATTCTTATAATTTGTCCGTCCCTCCATATGTCACTATAATATTACTCAGACTATTGGAATTATATTGCTGAAAAATAAATATGATGATGATGATGTTCTCCCGACCGATTCCGGCCACGGCGGCCAATCTCATTGAGAATAGCCAACTGCGCAGGAGATATTATAGTGCACAAGTGTACGCGCAGACACAAGTGCACTCTCTATTCCTGTCACTCTCATATTCCGGTGGGACGACTGTTCGACACGACCAGTGAGAGTTAAGGCGCAGGACCGACGGCTTTACGTGCTCTCCGAGGCACGGGGGTGAAACACCGCCAACTTCCCAACTCCGGGCTGTTACTGAGGCTTACTTATACAGAAAGACTCAATAACTAAACTTGGCCCGACCCGGGACTCGAACCCAGGACCTCCGGGTATGCAGCCGTACATGCTAGCCACTACACCACGGAGGCAGTTATAAAAAAAATAAATATATCATGCCAATTACTAAGTGTGTCAAATTACGAAAAAACGGGGTTTTCCTTAAGAAAAAAATGAGTCCACATGAGTTAAGCATGAGAGTCTGGCGTATTTGTAGCTTCTAATACCGCCATCTTTGCATCAAAGCACCGCACGACCCTGCGTATCAAAAATAAAACTAACCTCTATTAAATATTCGTCAAATAATTACATAACTAATAATAAGCCTCTATAAACAAAAACATCACAATTTAATATCTAATAATAATTATATCTATGACGTTTGGGCAAAACTAGATATATTAACCACTATAGGAGATGCGAATATCAAATACATATAATATTTATTCTTTATTGCTACCATTCCTAAGATGTTATGAGATAGTGAAACGATTCGGTCTTTATCCTTAGTACCCGACCCGTTGGTCGATTGCGAAATCTCGAGTCACAGACAGAAAGGCAGTAACAGAATAATACTTTTTTACATTTACACGAATATTTGACTATTTTATTTGATTTTAAATAAAACTATTTTCGGATTTTTCGCGGATTTATTTAGATTTTTGATTCCCGGCGTTTCGAATAAAGCATAGTTTCATGTAACAGATTTAAAATAATTTAGAGAATTAAAATGGTGCTGGTCTGCACCGTGATGACCATCTGTGGGAATCTAATATACATACATACATCTATTTTACAACTTCATCATACAAACTAATGAAAATATCAGTTCTAGTAAAATACATTATCGACCGTTGTGTTAGGAGGCCTCTAATAATATTGCAAATAAATTAAAAAAGGTGTAATTTATTCGTCTCAAAAATATACAACACAACAAACTTATTACATACATAAAACAAGAGCTTTGGGCAAAATTACGTATAATCAAAACAAGTGCTGTTGCGATTTGTAAGTAATCATTTCGCGCCAATTTTTGATAAACTTAATTTTTAACATAAATTGAATAAATTGTGACATTAATTAAAATAATTATTATAAAAAGTTTTAGTAATTTAATTTCCAACTTTTTTCATAATTTCAAAACAATTCTTTATTATTGACTTTCAAGCTTGTTGCGTGAGCATAAACCGACCCTTCAAACGGTTATTTGAAGATTCGACAATACGTATAAAAATATAATATCCCATAACACCTCCATCTATATATTTACAACAAAACAATGCTAACTTGCTAACAATAACCGAATGTTAAACAAATAGCTGGTCACGTAACTATTTGCTCCTGGCTGTCGCTGGACGCTGCCTTCGCGTGACAACAAGATATCTGCGGACTGTTCTCTCTATTCTGCGACTCCTGACTTTCCGAGTCTTTATCCGTTTCATGAACAACTATAGTACTGATCTGACTAGATTTGCAGCATTTCTCTGTCTGAGGTTTCGTACAACACGAGTGTTTTTGAAGCAATTGCGTATCTTCTACACAGGGACTATCTTCTTTTTCGCTTTCCGAATGTTGGCAGTGCGTGTTTGCTTGTTTTTTCGCTCTGGCAACTTTTGATGGGCATTTTTTGGCGCCGTAATAGCATGTGGCACTACTGGGTTCGCCATCTTGTGAGGTGCTCGCGCGGAAATAATGTGAGGGTTGGATGCAGGTACGAGTTTGACATACGAACGTGTCTGAATCTGAGCTGCCGGTCGAGTCTAGGAGCGGCGGCGTTGTGGTGTCAGCTGGAAAGATTAGTTTGGAATTAGTATTATAAATAATATTATAAGCAAGTTTTCTACATTAAGTTTAATCCTACTTATAAAAAACCATCTTTTAATCATACATCTAATGAAGCTCTAAAATCAAAATTGTAGCTACATAAAAATTAGTCATGCAAAGAAAATATAATTAACGCCGCAGCATTGAGCAAATGAGACGTGATATTTACGAATCTGCCAACAATATTTTTACATTGTATGATTGTTACAAATAATTTAATCTACTAACAATGTAATATACTTAATGCCTATAATATAACAACTAAATATAATGTAATGATACGGAAAGCTGTGCTGTACAAAATAAACAATCTACTGAGATACGACGAATGGTGTTGCCTGATTTGCGGGAATTTCCTTTATAAAAATATTGTCTATATTACTAAACAACATTTTTAATTAAAATAGTAGTAAACATTAAAATGCCACTAGAGCCTGGCAACCTCAAAGCAACAATAATGATATAAATGACATAAAGAATCTAACAATAAGTACATTAGTACTTGTGCGGGTAGACGTCCGCGAGCGCGGTGTCGGCCTGCTGCAGCTCGAGCGCGTCGAGCTGCTTGCACAGCTTGCCCTCGCACACCTCCCAGCTACACTTTTCAGTGTTGCAGCGGTCTGGGTTTTATCGTTTCATTGATTTTACAATAAAATCGTGTGTGTGCACTTATGTACACACGTAAGAAGTTATATGTCTTTGGCGTAACAGAACAAAAATAGCTAAAGATTTCATCCCGTATATCACAACTCTGTTTGTAAAAGGAATGCAGCTAACTTCATCATGTCACTTTTTGGCTGTCGGTGTGCGCGCGCATCGTACAAATTTTACTCTCGTTATTTTTTCTGCGTTATTCCAAACGTGCCAAAAGAAGTATAACTTCAATATAAACGAATACACACTTGTTGTGTCGTGTTGTTTGTTACACTTGTCGATGTGCCAACTAACCAATAATAATTTTTGCAACAAAAGGGAATCAAACTTGATACCTCTAACTTAGTAGCACTTACATCACTCCTAATGACTACATATTACGTAGGTAGTGCACTGATTTATGTAAATAAATATTCAATGTCATATGTCAATATATTTTATTTATTTTTAGATACGAACACGTTTATTCTTTAGTGTTCTAAGAATGACGATAATATTTTCTTTATTATAACAATGTACCTCCTTTGTGTTAAGAAATATTTATCACGAATAAACATAAATCTATAATATTTAACCAATATCTAGTTTTAATTCAGAAAACATTCACTTTACAACGCAAACAAATTGAATATATTAATATTATAAACAAAACCAGCAAATAAAACAAAACATCCATTCATGGAAAGAATGCGATATAATATAATCATATAGCATGTATGTATGTATGTAAGTCCACTCACCGGTGTCGTCGCACTCGGGCGTGCAAATCACCACGCGCTTGGTGCCGAAGCATTGCATCTGGAGGCGCGTTAGCTTCGTGCCAAACAGGAAATAGCCTTAGAAAAAAAATAATTTTAAATATCCCCTACTAGTACACTTATACCGATAAATAATAATATAATTGATGTGTCTGTTTGTTATGTCGAAATAAAAGCTTTTTACTAAATGCATATGAAATTATATACGGTACTTATAAGAAAAACACAATTTTTAAAATTTTTGTCTGCCTGTTTGTTCCGGCTAATCTCCGAAACGGCAGGATTAATTTTGACGGGATTTTAACTAGTAGATAGCTGATGTTATAAGGAGTATCTTAGGCTAATTTTATTTAAAAAAGGAATAAGGTTCCGCTCAAAAAAACTAAAACGTACCTAGTTTTAATTATACAAATAAATTATTAATCGAAATATATTAATTCCTTATTTAGAGTTCACTGACCTAGCATCATCCCAAAGACCACAGCTAGTAGCAGATGCACATTGTACACCATGACGGCGAGCATCAGGAGGTAGCCCACCACGTTATGCACCATGAACACTAGAGTCTGGTACGTGTTCACCCATGTTCTAGAACAATTCATATCTTTATATAAAAAGACTTTTTAAATAAAACTATCTTTTCGGATTTTGTCGCGGGAGAGATCAGTCTCTCCCGTGACCATGGATGCTGTAAAGCATTCGAAACGTCGGGAAACAAAAATACAAATAAATCCGCGACAAAATCCGAAAAGATAGTTTTATTTAAAATGTCAAATATTCGCGTAAATCTAAGAAAGTATTATAAAAAGACTTTTTACAAATTGCAAAGTAACTATACCTACGGATTTCATTTTTAAAGGGTTTTCTCTATGCCTTTTATGATTATTTTATTTACTTTAAGATTGTGAGTATATAAGGTTCAAATGAAGATAGCTACTAAGTGAAAAAAGATACTTAGAATCCAACTGGCAGTTCCAGAGATGAGCGCATTCAAACAAACATTAAAAACCAAGCTTTTTAAAGTATAGTATGTATATTTTACAAGTTTTGGTAAAGCTTATAAGTTATAACGTACTACAGATACTAAGTTTTTGTTTAAAAGTTATAGAAATAGATACATAGGATAGCGAGTAATAAAAATAAATTTCATTACTTTATCTGGTGATATACCTTTATTTATGCATGTACATACATTGTACACTGTAAAAGTGTAACATTAATTTTTCACTTATCGCATCTCTCGTTACAATTAGACGGGTCGTATGAATTCATGACAGTTTTTTTTTATTGGAAAAACACTAATTTTTAATCTATACATATAATAAAATTGTAACTAAGCCGAATCTGTACATTAAATATTTTTTGGAAAATCTTATCGAAATAGACATTATTATCGATACAGAGGCCGAATCTATAGTTTTTAGAATTTTTTGTCTGTCTGTTACCGCATCACGCTAAAACCACTAGAGAGATTTTGATGAAATTTGGTATGGTGATAGCTGGTTATCCGGGTCAACATATAGGATACTTTTTACCGCAAGAAAATATCTCATTTCTAAGAAAAAATACAAAAACTACAATGTAAGAGTATAGTAATATGTAAAACCTAAGAATTTGGTTTTTTGTCATCTGAACGCGGGTGGACCGCGGGCAATGCTAGTTCAATTATATAAATCAACTAACACAACACATAAATATTATGACATATGATGATGATGATATCATTTATATGAATATTGATGCGAAATAAAAATATTTATTTAATAGGGCTTATTAATTTATTAATAAAATATTTATTTAATAGGGCTTTTGCACATGACTTTTGAATTTGTTTTTTTTTTCTATATTTAATAACGCAGAATATAATATAATAACGCACGTTCATATATCGCGCATCGTCAGCCTTAAACAACTAAGTGTGCATAGGCCCTTAAACATTATTAATTATATACCTAACACGAAAGGAAGCCCATCGGCTAACTTGCCCCGAGCTGGTGTTGCGACTGGTCGTCGGCTCCATCGGGTTGCCCTGCTCTCTGTAACAAAACATTTTCTAAAACATTTCAAATCATTGTTCCTCATTGCATTGCAATAAAATATCAGGGCCGGATTAAAAATTCCGAATAGTATTACGAAAAAATCAAATGAAGTCCTTTGGCTTACATTAATGTATACATTTAATGTATTAATTTAAAATATTTTAAAAATATCGATTGAAAAAACTTACTACCTGTACTATCATTTATTATGAAAAAACTATTAAATTTTGAAAAATAAATATATTAAGCCTATCTATTTAGGACATGGATTAAAACCATTTTAGAGCTAAAATAAACGTGAACAAAGTTACTAGCACAAAAGTGAAAAGTATTTCTTACTAGGGCTCACCCTCGTTTCGCTTGGGTTCGCTTCTAGAAAAACAAAAACAAATTATCCCACGGGAACCTTACATTTTTCCGGGATAAAAAGTAGCCTTTGTGCTTTTTCAGTAAATTCAGACTATAATCTATCTCTGTGCCAAATTTCATCCAGATCCGTTCAAACGTTCTGGTGTGATTGAGTAACAAACATCCAAACATGTAAACTTTCATATTTATAATATTAGTAAGATTACATGTCAGCCAGGAACCAGTATTTTGTCCGGATCTTACATCATTGAGATTAATTAACCTAGTTTAGTTAAACTATTTGAGACATTCACTGTGAACTCAAGGTCTCACATGGGTAAGAATTTAGATTGTCGATTTAAGGTCAATGCAGTTGGTGTTGCTGGAGTATGTCAATAGTTAAATTCCACTGTTATTTTACTTTAATATATTCTAAAATATATCAATATTTAATATCTTAGCATATTTTCGTCTGGGTGCACTAGATCCCAAACAGTTACCTCTCGTGTTACTCCAGGTTTCTTTCGGCGTATTGAACATCCAAATCCATCCAACCGTTTGGTCAGTGTGTAAGCAAGAATCACACATAACATCAAATTTCTGCACTTATAATATTTTGGTATGTAATATGTAAACTCTCTTAAGAAAATCTTCCACTCGGCGAAAATATTTCGTAACATACAAGAGAAAACCTTATTCCGGATAGACAGAAAGAAGGAAGTATATCTCATTAGGCTAGAGAGGCTAAATCTAAAATAAAAACAAACCCTAATTTTCAATCTACATACAAACAAACGAACATACATACATACATACATACACACACACATGCATACATACATACATACATACATACATACATACATACATACATACATACATACATACATACATACTCGTAGATACTATTGGAATTGTTACTACGCTATCGCGTGAGTATAGCGGTCACCTATTGACCGCTACGTAGGTGGATGTTGTTTCTCTTCATGCATACGGAAATTAGCTAATAGACTACTGATCACACAGTTCTTTGTCGTGGTGTACTTATATCTTGATTCTGTTTCTAACAAAGGCTATCTTGGCGCATGTTCAAATCCATACAGTTATAAATATATATGTAACTCTGTCTATAAATATGTATAGTCACGCTTAAACCATTACACAGATTTCGATAAACGGCAAGAACATACATTTTATCCTGGGACATACAAGGCTACCCTTGATGAAGGAATCCCTGGACACTAAGACACCCTGCTTATCACCTGAGCAAAGCCGCAGGCAAAAAGTAATCATAAATTAAAAAACAGGGAGTCTACACCATGTAATATAACGCGAATGTAGCCAAACATATTTAATTTTAATTATATGTGTCAGCCCAGCCGTAGCTTCGCCCGGTTATACTTTTTTAATTATACCTACTTACATATTTTCAAAACTCTATTTCCTATGTATATAGGCAGGTACTTAATAAAAAAAATCTCTTATATATTTTTCACCTCTTAGTTTTTTTAAAAAGCAGTTAATGTCTTGTTAAGTTTAATTGAATAAAGTTTATTTCATTTCATTACCAAGTTTTATTAAAATCAAGAAATTATTTTGTTGAGAAAATTATGAAAACAGATCGATTTTACTTTCACACTAATACGTCTATTGGTTGAATACTTTTATAGGGTTTAGTATAAATATCTCACAGATGACATATTTTCCAACAGTAAAAAGTATCGTTTAAGTTGACTCGAATATCCAGCTATCAGCATACATCAAAATCCCTCCTGTGGTTTTTCCGTGATGTGGTTGCAGACAGACAAAAATTCTAAAAACTATAGAATCGGCCTCTGTATCGATAATAATGACTATTTCAATAAGATTTTCCAAAAAAATATTTTATGTACAGATTCGACTTAGAATTTTATTTTATTTATAGATAGATATAGGTACTTTTGAAGTCTTAACAAACGAACAATCATTCATTCAAGTACTTTTAGCGTAGGTACTGTAAAGATAAAACATTTTAATTACGTATTAACTTTATATCCTGCTTAGTTGCAATTGCAAACGGAAACAACTTCATAAAACAGCAAAAAGGTATAGTAACAATAAGAATAAACTCAAACGAACCAATAAAATCCAACCGCAACGCGGATACTATAAAAGAGAAACTGATAACCCAGGCATAAGGCCAAACCACGCCTCTAATTAATATATTTAAAAAAAACTATAGGTTTTTTATTATACTAGCGTTTTCTCGCGGCTCCGCCCGCGTCGTGTCATTTAATTTTGTAGAATTACTTAGCTCTTGTAGATCGTAGTGTGATGTAAGATAGCATGTAACTTTCCTCAATAAATCTCATTATTTATATCTATAGATAGGTACATATAATAAAACTGTAGAGGTCGAATGTCTGTACACAGAAAAAAATGCTGAAAACCGAGTCAGAGTGATGTAAGAAGAGAAATACAACAAACCCCGATTTTTTTCATTTTTTTTTGTTTCTTTGTCTGTTTGTACGGGCTAATATCCGAAACTGTTGGACTGATTTAAATAAAATTTTGTATGGTGGTACCTTATATCTCCAACATCAACATTTTAGATAGTTTTCATCTCGGAAAAATGTTCTGTTCCCGAGGGATAGATTCGTTTTTGTTTTAGAGGCGAACCCGAGTGAAGCGAGGGTGAGCCGCTATTATTTGTAAAAAGCAAAATAGAGTTTATAGCAATAGTGCATTTGTTCTTACTAAGTAATAAATATCTCCAGTTCCAGTATCTAGTAAATTGGCACACAGTGCATAAGTATTTCTTTAATCTAAATGTTAATGTCCATGGACTTCCACGTTGATTAATTATTATCATTGATAGAATATCGTACATATAATCCTTCGTGTATCTGTTAAATAGTTACGTCGTACTTGTTGCTTTACACTGACACGTCAAGTATATCTTCCAAAAATTATGGTTCTTAAAAAGAAAAAAAAAGATAATGAAATAATATTAGTCCCGCTGAGTTTCTTTCGCCAGTTCTTCTCAGGTCTGAGGCTTCTTCTTTCCGAACTGGTAGTACTCATGGTCCCATGAGGTGGACAGACCAAGTGAGGGCTGCGGTGAGTGTTCCCTTACACGAATGTACAAGGAAATCAGCTGTTAGGGAGGAGTGGCGAAGAATTGTCTAGCGTGCCACACCGCTCAAGTGATGACCACGATCACTCTGTCAAGAGTGTTACGACTCAGAAGTAGAGTCATGACGTTCAATACAAAATTGTAATAATTTAATGCTAAATAAAATATTTTGAATTTGAATTTGAAACACGTGAAACAAAAAAAGCTTGCGAAATTTGTTTGAACGCATTTTTTTAATCAAGGTCAAACTTTCAAAGTTAATGACCGACATTAGACTAACGTTGTTATAATATGACTAGCGACATCTTCACTGCGCTCGGGTTCGTCCCAACTTACGTTTTAACGTTTAGTATCGATTTCTCAGAGATTAGATATTTTCCTGCAGTAAGAAGTATACTATATGTTGGACCCGGATAAACAAATCATAATACCAAATTTCATCAAAATCTGTCCAGCAGTTTTCTAGCGATGCGTTTCCAGACAGACAAAAATTCTACAAACTATAGCTCCGGCCTCTGTACCGATAATAATTACTATCTCAATAAGATTTTCATAAAAAAAAATTATGTACAGATTCGACTCATTTAGAATTTTATTATATGTATATATTTTATTTTAATATAGAAGATCTTATTCACAGTAAAACTTGTTTAGAATTTAATATGATAGTTCGTTTAATGTAGAGACCCGCTAGGCCTTAGGAAAGATTTTTTTAAAGGTCGGAAGTGTCAAGTGAGGGGGAAGCGGCATCGCAGTTAGTATAAAACATTTTTTTTTTTATAGCTTGACATTACCGGTCAATGCGAACAAAGTCACGGGTACAACTTGTATTTACTACAAAGAACTAGTAAAACAGCCAGAAGTCGTGAAGAGCCTTGACAATTGTACGCAATAATAGATAATACACTTATCACAAAATCAAGAGGTATTGTTATTATCCAAAACAAGTTCGAATTTCCGTAATTTATAAAATAGTAGAGATCCCTAGGTACGTTTTAAATAGATATTTATAGTTAATTAGCCAACGTTAGCCAAATAAATTTTATTTTTATTTTGGTACATTTCTCTGATGTTTTAACAGTTATTCTGATACTCCGAGCGGAGACAAATCCAACAAATCAAAGATCATAGAAATCGGTTCAGCCGTTCTTGAATTATAAGTAGTGTAACTAACCCGACTTTGTTTTATACTAGACCAATATATACATATTATGTATATGTACTTAAAAAAATCCTTGAGAAAGGATTGAAGATGAAGAATGAAGTGAGAATGAGAAGGATTGATTCCCAATTTAACTTCCACCCCCACCCCCCATTCTCATTTTTATCACCTTACGGGATGCTTTCCGGGATAAAAACTATCCTATGTCGTTCCCAGGCTCTCAAACTATCTCTATACCAAATTTTTAGGTTCAGCGGATTAGGCGTGAAAAAGAAACAGACAGACAGAGTTAGTTTCGCATATATCATCATATCTTATAATATTAGTATGGATAATGATAATGTAATCAAATCTCTACAAGTGGTCGTATTAATAATTCGTATTTTTTAATATTATAAATGTGAAAGTTTGTGCGTATGGATGTTTGTTACTCTATAACGCAAGAACGGCTGAACGGATCTGGATGACATTTGGCACAGAGATAGATTATAGTCTGGAATAACACATAGGTTTTTATCCCGGAAAAATGTACGGTTCCCGTGGGATAGGTTTGTTTTTGTTTTCCTATAGGCGAACCTGAGCGAAACGAGGGTGAACCGCTAGTAAATTATACAAACGAAATAATTATCATATACCTAAGTAAATGTGAAGCAGTATAGAAGTAGCCTAGTGGTAACGTGCCAGATTGAAAAACAACGTAAAGCGGGCTCAAATCTCGAATCTGGCACCTGTAATATTTTCATGTGCCAGTTATTGTAATATGATTACCACTTGCCTTACGATGAAGGAAAACATCATGAGGAAACCTGCATGTTGAGAGAACCAAATTTTTTCAAAAGGAAATTTTAAAAAGCTATCTGAAGTTCGCCAAAGCACACTTGGCCAGCGTGGATAGCTAAGGCCTGATCCCCCTCGTATTGAAATAAGGCCCGTGCCCAGTAGTGGGACGTCAAAAAGGGCTGAATTCTAGTAAATAACATTTAGTAACTCACCGGTCACAAAGCAGATTTCGCCTTTCATCAGATCGATATGGATTCAACTTCTTGTGGGCCTCTCTCTGCACTCTGGCGAGATATACCTGGTTGGACCATATTAAAACTATTTAAAAAAATATATTTAACAAAAATAAAAAAAATCCCTACTTATAGATACTAGTATAGATACGAAAATGCACTCATTTAGCTCATCCTTCTAACGTTTGAGTTTAGGTTTTTTACAGAAATTGTTTTTTGATCGGAAAGTTTAGTAGAATACTTTTTATTCCAGTACTTCGGAGTGGTGATCGTGAGAAAAAAAAGTAACTTGGGTCACCCATTTGCAAGTAATAATCGCCGTTATATCTAGAACATATCGCGTTATACTGATATTGCTTTCCTTTACGAAACATATAACGCTTAAGCGTTATTATAACTAAAAACTTTAGCATTAACAAAAAATTTTGCATCTTGAGGAATTTCGAGAAGTAGTTTACAGCTTAATTAGTTAAGTTTAATAAATTATTTCAATAAATAAAATAGTAAATATGTCTCCTAAATAGAAGTCTATTAAATACATACGTATTATAAATATAAACACCCATGACTAGAGTACAAGCATTCGTGCTCATCACACAAATGAATGCCCCCAGCGGGACTCGAACCCGCGACCACTGGCACAGCAACTAGGGTCTCTACAAACTGAGCCAAACGTGTCGTCAAAATCTTCAAAAGATATCGTAACTTAAAATCGTGTATTGAAATTAAATTGTCTTAAAATTCTCCAACAAAAACATAAAACAACAGAGTATTTGTAATATTAGCGATGGTATTTTTATTTTAAAGTTTTAAACAATCACAAGTAACAAAGAATATTGATTAGTCGTGCTTTATTATGAAGCTATATGTAGATCACCGATTGCCAATATGTAGTTCGGGGTTTCGCCAAAAGTACTTACGTTTATATATTCACCAAACACAATCTTAAAACATAATATATTTATGTTATTAAAGGATTATTTATATTAACCAAACAAGTGCCTAAGTACAATAAAAAATATATTTTTACTGGTAACCAGGGCTCGGAAACGCTTTCAAATTTGAACCGGTTTGGTCAATGGCTTCAAACCGAAAGGGTTTTCGGTTTAAGATTCCGGTTAAACGTCGAGAAACAGCTTTTGATAAATTTAGTTTCCATGATCGAAAAGTAAGCTTAGTAGAAAACACGTATGTTACTGGAATTACTCGGTTTATTCCGGTATCAAAACCAGGGCTTGGAACTGGTTTTAAAAAACGGTTAATTTTGGTAATAAACGGTATCCATTATTCAGTAACTAAACCGTTCGTTTTTATTAACGGATAATGAACGAGCGATGAATGAACATTACCGAAATTATCCTTTTTTTTTAAACAGTTCCAAGCCTGTTTATAACTAACTTCCTCGGTGGTGTAGTGGCTAGCATGTACGGCTGCACACCATGAGGTCCTGGGTTCGAGTCCCGGGTCGGGCCAAGTTTAGTTATTGAGTCTTTCTGTATATAGTAAGCTTCAGTAACAGCCCGGAGTTGGGAAGTTGGCGATGTTTCACCCCCGTGTCTCGGAGAGCCCGTTAAGCCGTCGGTGATCTCACCGATCATGTCGAGTATTCGTCGCCGTGGCCGAAATCGGTCAGGAGAACATTAACATTATTCGTACAATCTTCAAGTTTAGGTACCATCATTTCACTATTTTTTACGAGTATTATAATTGATGAAATAGTTTTGTTTTTAGTTTTATAACAATACTAGCAGAACCCGCGGCTTCGCTCGCGCTAAATCTACAAAAAATTAAAAAACCAAAAAGGTAGGTTTCATACAAACTTTCATAGCCTATTTTACTCCCATATAGGATGAATTTCAAAAAATGCTAAAACACGTATTTACGTAATTGTATTAAAGAACATTAATACCAAGTGTCAAGTAATTCTGATCATACATATTTTTTGGTTTGTATTATACCGTGGTTTCCCGTGAGAATAAGATAATCTCCGGCGGTAAAAATTAGCCTGTGTCACTCTCCACCCCTCCAACAATTACCACACAAAAAATTACGCCACTCCGTCATTCCGTTTCCACGTGAAAGACGGACAAACAAACACACTTTCACATTAAAAATATTAGTATGGATAGTCATTAATAGTTACTCTGTTTGGGTTTCGGTACGACATATTACTTTTCATTCGTTTAAATTCAGATAAATTATAATTCGTAAGTATTATTTATCTACTTGAATGGAGCTGTTTGCAAAACAATGCCATATAAAACAAAAGATTAATACACGGTAATGTTATAATATAAACATTACCGTGATTAATATGTTGGCTGCCTATTAATACTAGCAACGTAGTGTATATACTCGTATGGTGTTGTGGTAAAATACTGTCTGCCTTATCTTTTTAAATGTAAATGCAGTTTTATATCAGCAACTTCCCAAGCATCGTGAGTCGCAATTAATTTTTCCAATGTACCTATTACCTACTAATGTCTCACAACTACATCAAGTTTCTAATTCCTATCCTTCAGGGACAAAAACGATGATACTCGATCAGTTTTAAAATTATATTATATTGTAAAGAAGTGATTATTTTACAAATATCTATCTAAACAGTACTAAACCAAAACAATTTTTAAAATTATTAATATTCTAACTGGCAGTGGTAGCCCAGTGGTAACGCGCTCGCTTGGGAAACCGAGTGAAGGGGGTTCAAATCCCGGGTCTCGCACCTCTGATATTTTCATGTGCGAATCATGTTAAACTTGATTACCACTTGTCTTACGGTGAAGAAAAACTTTTTGAGAAAACCTGCATGTCTGAGAAAACCTAGCAAGTTTTCGAAAGACATGTGAAGTCCGCCAACCCGCACTTGGCCAGCGTGGTGGACTATAGCCTGATCAACCTCGTATTGAAGGGAGGCCCGTGCCCAGCAGTGGGACGATAAAAAGAAAACCTTAATAGTTAATACAAATATTCTAAATTACCTTTGAGCCTTCAAATAACAATGCCACGAAGAAAAGCACTATCCATGTGAGGGCGAAAGCCCACCGCGTGTTGATTGTGAGTCCAGAGAAGAGGAACTCGCCCAAGTCATAGCCAAACCACATCCACATATGCATCTTGGTATATTTTCTTCACCTATATCGATAAAATTACTATTTTTAGAAATGTATTAACAAACTTTAAAGCATTTAAATTATATTAGAAAATATCTAATGCTTTATTTCTAACGCTCTGACATTGTATAAGCAAATTATGTGATAGATAGAAGGCACGATACCTCACTAATAGCTGTAAATATTGACAGGACCAACAACTCTAACTTATTTGTCCGAAGAGAAACACGCGAGTCAAACAACATGCCCAACTTCGGAGTATCTAATAGAATTTAACAGACTCGACTTACTTAACCGACTGAATTGAATGCTGGTAACATCCATTTAGATAAGAGTCTAAAGGTATGTTTAGACTACGACGCAAATACGAATTCGCTCCCATTGAAACTCATTTTTAAGTACGTACATCTTCTACGGCCTACGCGGTGCGGTGTATTGAAAATGTCGAGCCTTTTCGAAAACTTTACAAAACACAACATGACGTGTTAACACTGATTATCGTGTCGCAGTAGGTTTCATAATTAGAGACACTCGCGTCCACACAAAGACACTCAGTGTATACACTGAGTGTCCTGTGTAGTATCTTATCTAAACCGGTCTTAAGGCGACATGAGGAGATGTGATCAGCATTAGTTTGGTATATTTGGCGAGAAAACATAATGATAGCTATACCGTACAGACACCTTTCTAGTAGTTTCTATCTCGTAGAAAAATCAACTTTTAAGGGAAAGGGTGTGTAAAACATTTATGTATGTCTATATTAAACACTCAAGTCGCTTCTCACGCAATTTATCTCTTTATCTCGACATGAACTGACACCCAACTTATATTTAATTAGAGTTTTGAATTGAAAATACATATAGATATTGAGAATGGTCCACACACACTGACTTCAGGACCTAAATAATAGAGGTGAGTTCGATTTAAATAAACAAATTTGAACAATGGTCACTGTTAGTTTGATTAGATTATAATATTAGCAAAATATTATTCCAAAATATGTATAAGTCCAAAAATGAACATGCTAGTTTTTACTCCCTGTGTTGCATGATATAAAATTTTAAAAATAGAATATATCAAAGAAGTAAATTTTTTGTGAAGATTAAGGAATTAATCAAATAAAGGTAAAATTTTATGTGACATATTTTATGAACGGCCCTATAATAGTTATCATTTATTATTTGATTGTAACTTCATTTTATGATTATCAGTAAGATAAGAATAATCAAAATTTAAACATGTTTGTATATTGTACAGGTTGTATATTGTGTACACATTGGATTTGTCACACCCATCTCAAAAACAATATCTAACTAACTAGATACATATCTTTATTATTATTGCCAAATTATAATATGATTATTGCAATATAAGCGGTACATTTGTAAAAAGGAACAATGTTTATTATTGTAGATAAAATGATCTGCAGTAAAATAATAATAATAATCATTGACAAAAGTGAAATTGTTCAATAAATAATATAATATGATAGGTTTCTGGGGAAAATCTATAAAAACTATATTCTATTAAATTCATTAGAATGGGAAGCAATAATAGCAGTAATATATGTTGTATTGTGATGTATAATAAGGGAAAACAAGGCTTTGGAGAATGAAGAAAAAAGGTGGCCTAATAAATAGGAGTCATTTATGCACTGTAAAAACATGGTACTGGAAACTTATTGTTTATTTTAGAGTACACAATACAATAAATTTGAGTCTATTTTTCTAAAACAAATGTAATTTAACCAAATATCCAACACTCAGTTTTACAAGAATGATTTAAAAAATATTTCTTACTACTATTGGTTACAACTTATAAAACCTTAATTATAAAAGTTGTGTAGTAGGGGGAATTAAAGACTAACTAAAGATTTAAGATATGGCAATACAAGATTAAATATGATTCTCAGGAAAATATTTAACTTTCATATTATATTATAATCACTCACATGTATAAAACAGGATATAGAAGAAAAAGGGGTGAATGATGAGATTGTGAGTAATAAGTGAGAGTGGAAAAGATAGATTTACTGCACTAAGTATTTTGGGATATGGGAATTCTAAGAATTACAAATACTTCAGAAATTGATAAAGATATTTAAAGCACTAATAATAAATAATTCTATGTTAAAGTATTTCTACTAATCTATTATAACCCACCCATGAAATGGCAAGATTATTATTTTAGCAGTCTCCTTTGGATTAAAATACATTTTAGTTTAAGATCATAATATTTCAGCAGTTGAAAAAATATCTGACACTGTTGATGCCAGGTGCCAGGTAGATTTGATTAATAAAAATGTACTTTGCATACAAATATTATTATAATTATAATCCACGCATTTCTATGTATAGAATATAAATAAATAAAAAATATTTTCCTTATTTAACTTACCTCCCATCTAACAACTCAAACTAACAGCATTCACATATCTATTGCACTTCATTTCTATTTACAACTATGTCCCATTTATTACACGATAAATTCATCGTTATCAAATGACAATTTATCATATAGAAAAGTAAACATATTATAAACCTACTATATTCTAATTGATAACACTGGATGTAAGCTCACTTGTGAAGTTTTATACTTTCAAGTCACAATTATTTAGGTAGCACTTAATTAAAGCTACGATAGTGTTTTAGCATGTTTAACGCAAAAATTATTGCTAGTTACTACGACGTTCAAAGCCTTCAATATTTTAATCAGTAAATGAAAACCGAAAAGTGAAAGAGGTCAACAAAGTGTCGATAAGCTGGCAGCTGATTTCGTATTGACATTTGACAATGACAATTGACAGCAAATTTTTTTTTGAGGGTTTTCACACAGTATTGACAAGGTGTTTACTAAGAAATCCTACCGTGTCCTTTTATATTTAACTACAAATGCGTAGCATTTCTATATAGTTTGTGAACTAAACTAACTAAAAAACCTTATATTTAAAGTGAGAATTTAACATATCAAACTCTTATTAAATTAGTAAGTAACCTTTATGGCACATTAAACCTATTTTAAAATTTTAGTGCTATGGCCAGAACATTTATGTTAATTTAATTAAATAGGATCACGTGTAAATAATATTATCTCTCTGTCTCAACAACAACAAAACTCAACAACAAAACATTGGACATACACATTAATACCCAAATTTTATATGCCACTATTTGATTTTATTTCGTTTTTGAACTTTAGATAACCGATATGATGATGAATTAATTTAATCTCATCGTAGCGCTTGTATTTCTAGTGTTTTTATTATAAGAACAAAAGCATTCAAAATTTTAAATATTAATGGTAAAACTTTAGAAATTATTAATACTATAACTGAATTTATAATAAGGCCACATGTTGTGTGAAACTACGAAATTTATTAGTAAAAATAATGTTGGTACACAATTACAATAAACATATAACTGAGAGGTAAAATAAATCAATTGCTTATGTTTGTAGGGTACCTATTAATAAGTCTATAAAAATGAAGTAGATATGACCCAGTTATGCAAAAAACAGCCATGTGCGTAAAAGTACCAACAGAGTTATATGCATTTTTCTGTCAATAGTTGCACTTGGGTTATCTTTTGTTTTTCTGGTTATTTTAGAATTGAAAAATGTTTATATATGTATAGGTATTGTTTATTTTTTATAATTATTTTATTTTATTATGCTTATAACTCTGTTGGTACTTTTACGCAAATGGCTGTTTTTTTGCATAACTGGGTCCATTTAAGCCATGGATGACAAATTAAAATTTAATAAATAAAGAAAATATTTTATAGTAAATGTTAAAACGTTCGAATAGACTTCAAAAATAGAAGTTAAAAACATTGTATCCCTCCTTTTTACTAATTTTTTAAACGTATTGAAATATTAAAAATAGAGCTTCAAAAATAATGTATAGGTTGAAAATTAACTTTTCTTGGTATCTTTAATAAAAAAATTGAAATATAAACTTATGTTTGCCAACAATGAAATGGATTTTAAGAATGCGTACATATTTTATTTTTCTTAATAACCTAATAAAATGCATTATTTATTGTGCATTATGTAATAAAAACCTTTATTTGTGAGATAAGGAGTTGTTTATGAGGTATCGGTGTACGATTCAAGAATAATAAATAACAACATTATTTTATAAAGTTTTAATTAAATATTTATCTTAAAGATTAAAAAGACGATACATGATTTAATAATGATTATATTTGATCACAAAGGTAATTATTTCATTAATTCTTCACCTAAATTAGGATCAATAAGCGATAAAGTTGCTCCAACTAAATGTAATGAACCGGTAACCAATACAGAAGCTCTCGGACTGTTCTTTTTAATATCGATTAGGACATCAGATACACATTCCGATATACTTGTTTGTGATCTATTGTTTAATTTTTTCCAAATTGGCGCATAGCTTTTACACCTTAATAGTAATTCTTTTTGTTCCATTATGGAGTAATTATCATCTTTCTTATTAACTTCTTTGTTTGCTTTAGGAATAACAAAATAAACACTTTTAAAATCTATATCTTTTAAAGGTTCAAGAAGAACTTCTGCATCTCGATCTCCAGTTGCGCTAAATATCAAAACTCTAACGCAATCTCTGTAAAATAAAAAAACCGTTAAATAAAATATATCAGTAAAAATATTTATAGTATAAAAATTTTGTTTTAACTTCATTTAAAATTTTAGAACACAATGTCTAACCGTCATATTGATGGCTCATGCCAAATGCCAATGCTGCTTCAGACTTATTGTAACAAATGTCAAACATTGATTTTAATTTTTTTATTGACCAAAACTAAAAACTGAATGAAAATTAAACTCGTTTATTTTGTATTTGAAATCTCTTTTCTTATAAATTATTTTATACAGTGTTATAGTTTATTTTTATACAGTATTATAGTATAATAAAATGGAGACCCTCGGGAAGACTACAAAAAGACCGACCAAAGTTGAAGAAATGACTAAAGAGCAAATACGTCAGGCCATTATAAAAAAACGCGAGTGTAATGCGAAAGCACAGAATATTGTAGAAAGTCTACTCGAAAATAGTGTTAATGAGGACTATTTTCTGAAATGCCTCCCCGATATTAATGAATCACACTTTGAAGATGTCATAGAAGAAAGGTCCATTTTGCATCTTTGTGGTTATCCATTATGTCAAAAGACATTGTCTGAGAAAGATATACCTAAGCAAAAGTATAAAATATCCATAAAAACGAATAAAGTGTATGATATTACAGTAAGGAAATGCTTTTGCAGTAATATTTGTTATAAATCTGCAATGTATGTAAAGAAACAAATGTTATCCAGCCCCTTATGGTTTAGAGAGTATGAAGAAATACCCAAATTTCATCTTTTACCTTTTGATTCCTTAGGTAGTTTAGGTCAAGAAGTAGACTTAGGTTTACCAGAAAAGATCACCTTGAAATCTGAAAAGCAATCTTTTACTTCAATTAATGATTTTACCAGTGCCACTCTTCATGAGATAGATAATTTTCAGAATACAAAGGATAATAATGCAGATATTAATAGAAATAGCTCAGAATTTGATCATAAATCAGCTGAATTAGACTCAAATACCGTTCAAGATAATAAAAAATCATGTAATAAAACTAAAGAAAATATGCAAAGTAATTTTTTAACCCAAGAAACTGAGAAAATACAAACTAATATTCCTATACAAGCTGGCAATATTGCTATACAAAAGAAAGAAACGCAAGTGAAAGCAAATCCTTTAAACATAGTTGGAGAAATTGTTGAAAAACCAGAGAAAAAAATTGATCCTATTCTTTTGAACTTGCCACCTAAATTAAGCCGCATGGAAAATGGACAAGTAACTAATATTAATGAAAAACATAAAACACAACAGAAGAAAGAAGCTTCTGTAACAGCAATAACTGCTGAAGTTGAAAAATGTTTAGCAGAATGGTTCACTATAGACACACTTTTGTTTCTTTTTGGTGAAGAAAAAGTTAAAGAAATGGTTACAGATAAGGGGCAATGTATAAAAAAGTACCTTCATAACTATTCCAAAAGCATTTTCTATAATTCAAACACATATGACCAATATCAGGCCCTATGTCGTAAATTGAACATGCTTGAATTAGAGGACAGGAATTATGATACACAAACACTGACTAGGGAGATGAAACCTTTACCAGATTATTCAATACTAAAAGAAGAAAGCAAAAAATTGCAACTTAAAGTAAGAGCATTCCTTACTGGGGAAACTGACATTCCTGAGGTTAAACATACAGAAACGGAAGTCACAAATGACGAGGAATATAAAACACAATTACCATTAGTCGATAAAAATGCACAAAATGCTCTACGACGTAAAATAGTGTGTCAGCATTTAAATAAAGTGTTACCAGATATGTTAAAATCATTAGGACTATTGACATTGACTGTAAGCTCGGATATCAGATTACTCGTTAATACTTTCAAATTAAAAGCCAATAATATAATGTTTAAACCAATTCAATGGATGTTTATTGCTATAGTATTTATAAAGCTACTTTCCATACGAGACCACAAATTAGAGTATTTGCTAGGACAGCCAACTGCATTTCAACACATGCAATTATTACTGTTAAGTTACAAACAAGATGGAGGCTATTTGGAAAGATTGATTTCATGGCTTACAGATGTAGACAGATTGTTAGATAGTAAAGATACTCAGTTAACTATTGAGTAATTGGTTTGTGTTTTAAATAATATGTTGCCAGGACATTATATATATTTATTGAGTAACTATAAATAAATGAATTTATATTGTTGTTCCTTATGAATACATGTTATGCAAGAAAGGTTTAAGAATGTCTGAAGAATATTTATTGAAGTTTATATTAAGCAAAATTGTGTGTATAATAAGCGAAATAAGATTAAATTTAATATTCTCATAAACTTTAGAAAGCAGGGAATTAACTCTTAATTATAAAAATATATAGATATACTTAGAATATATATACTTTCAACTTTATTATATTTAATATTTTTTATTATTAGATTAGAAAAAAAACAAAAATTGGCTAAAGTTGAGTATGTATCAATATCCAATGCAATGCAATTGTTCTTTAATATTCATTAGATAATTATATTCATAGTGGTAAATACAAACGTTTCTTTTTAAACAAATGAATAATTAGAAGCAGAACAAAATCCCAATTGTAAAAATTAAAAAAAATCCATAAAAAACTTGCATAATTAAATATGTAATAGAAAAATTACCTGTCGTTTTCTTTAAACCACTTGGCACAAACATCCATAGATTCCTGAGTGTGTGCACCATCTAAGAAGAACTCAGCATAATCTAACTTTATAACTTGGTATCTTCCCGGCCATTTACACTTCTTTAATCCCAAAATTGTGTCTTTTAATAATGTGTCTATCATAATATTTTGATTGTTTTTCTCGGATGAAGTTGTGGTTACAACATTACTTTGTTGTTCTTTACAATTTTGTGAATTTTGTCTGTTAATTCTCATCCAAGCATGAGCCAATTGTATAGCGAGAGATGCATTTGTTCTGTACGCTTCTAATTCATTAGATAGTCTGTATCCATTTTCAAATTTATATGTACTAAATTCAGGAACTGTGTTAAGAGAGCACTAAAAAAAGATTACCCTTAATATTATAAACTAATTCTGGCATTTGTCACTTAGTTTCTCCCGAGTAAGAACCTAATGCTGTTTTAAAGTTCTCATAAGATTTTACATAGTTTTTTAAGGTATTAAGGAGCAGAGTACAAGCAGAAACAATACATTTAACTTAACACTTTAAAATGTTTATACATACTGATTTTGAACATACATTTGAGCGCCTATTACATGAGTTAAGAAAAATTTAGTAGGTACTTCTCTATTGAAAATATCATGTAATCCTCTTGTACTTAAAGATCTAATGCAATAATTGCCTCAATATAGTTTGTGTATCTGGTATGAGGATTATCGATTTCAACAAAGAAAAAAATAGTGGAAATTCATTTAAGCTTGATTAAATTAATTAAGTATATCAGTTCAAGCACTAATCCAAATTACCTTAACATTTTCAGCTACACTTTTAAGCACTTCCATAGCCTCTGGTGGTTGCTGCACTGTAAAGGCAACACAACCGGGCTTCATTATTCCCGCTTTAGCAGCAGCTATTGCGGGAAGCGTTTTACCCAATATGGCGGTGTGGTCGAACCCCAGAGCTGTAATACCTACTACTGGTACTTTCCTAGATGAAATAATCATTAATAATCATTATAGAAATGTTTTTGTTTGCATTTGTTTCATTAATCATTATTTATTGCCATTATAATATCGATATTGAAGGTACTTTTTTCTTTTTAATTCTTTCGTAAGTATTTTTCTTTTTAAGTGATAATATGTAGATATCTCCATAAATCAGTCTCCGCTTTTGATGATGTGGTTATTCAATAGAGATTTACAACACCGAACTTTGTCTTAACCTTATGGGAAAAACGATTCCTCTTATCACAAATATTATTTCACTGTGATAATCGAACCTGTAACCTTTTATGTGGACTTTTTAAAGATAACGCCAATTAGTCCCACATGAAGGATACATAACACTATGATAGTAATTGAAATATACATACCTATTATGTACCTACAATAAAATTTCTTACATAATTGTTTACCTTAAAACATTAGTATAATCTACTATTCCACCGATGCCCACCTCTACAATAGCTACGTCGATTGCTTCTTTCAGAAACACATTGAAAGCTAATACTGTTAGGAAGGCAAAGTATTTCGGCATGTCACCTTTAAACTCCTGAAACATAAAATTATTATTTCGGCAAATGTAAACTAAATCTCATAACTATCTTTTCGTTGAGGTTCTAATGTAAAGGAACTGAATGGTGGTTTTAGTACAACATAATAACAAAATAACAAACAATCAAACCTGAAACTTCCTTTTTTTGAAGGTGGTTAAAATTAATAGTTAAGCAGATAATTATATATGTAATATCTAATTTAAGCAAGCATTCTATAGTTACAGCGACATAAACAACCTGCGTATTATAAAGAGCATCATACACTTGATGAAAATGCTCAGCAAATTTGTCTTTCGATACTATGCGTCCATGGAGGCGTATTCTTTCACGTACAGCGACCAAGTGCGGTGATGAATAAAATCCTGTGCGAAATCCGTGGGAGCGAAGTATGGATTCGCACATAGCGCTTGTTGAACCCTAAAAATTATCATCATATTAAAGTTAAAATATTACATAATTTTGACCTTCCCGCTTTTTTGTGTCGTTAATTTTTTTTAATTAGTACCATTGGACAAGGTATCTTATCTCTCTCTATCAAGGAGATATCGATATACCGAATAAATATGGGCTTCTTTGGCGTGCATATGCATACAAAAACAAATATCGTCCTTTGATGGTAGAAGAAATTAAAAATTAACCAAGTGCGTGTTGGACCACGCACAATGTAGGTTCCGTAGATGCCTATCACAATAATGGAGACTAAGTAGAGGGCTATAGGTTGTTTCATTCTATAAACATTTAACTTCAACGGTTTGGGCGGCTCATATTATCAAGAACATAAGTTGGTCGACTATAACTCGTAAGTATGTAAAGCCTACTTAGCTGTGATAGTTTCCCCTTTAACTTCAAATCAAAAGGAGGTTTTGAGGTGGACACTTGACTCTCAACAAATTTATCATGTAAAGCTTAATATTTCACAAACGGACCTCTTAATCGAAAGATTGTTTTCACAAACCCGCAATATTTTTGAAAGATCTATCCAACGACACCCCACACAATGAGATAGACGAAAAAAAAAACATCCACACTTTACGTTTACCTCAACTAAAATATTTTTTTCAAGATTTTATTTTACCACTTTCTTTTTCACTTCACATCTATGCCAAATTACAGCTTTCTAGTACTAAGAGTCTCTGAGCTGCAGATAGACAGACAAACAGACGGACATGGCGAAACTATAAGGGTTCCTTGTTGACTACGGAATCCTAAAAACGGTATTTATAATAGATAGTGCTGCACAACATTAATTTAATCTTTTTTTTTTATTTTTCAACAGTAGCATCAACAGAAAATATTGAGATTATTTAGTAAAAGTTAATACAAACATAATAAACATATTAATTAAAATTTTATGTAACTTCATAGACCTAGTGGATTATTATAAATATCACTTGATGAAATAAAAATAGCCTCAACAATATAATAATTATATTTATTACCTTTCCTTTTGTGCCAGCAACATGGATAATAGAAAGCTTGTCCAACATGTTCATAGTCACCCCTGTTCGCTTTAGGTATTTTTCCATATCCTCTATATTGGTGCATCTCTGAAATATTGTAGTATAAATAATATTATGGAAAAGAATTAATATCTACACAAAAACTTCTTTTTTAAAAGCATTTTGAGTCATCAAAATAAACTCAATATTTTTAATTTAGCCATAATATAAGCTACTGATTATTAATATGTTACTTACATTTAATATGTTTAAAAGTTTATAAATAAATGGCACATGACTCAGAATAAAATATTAATATACTTAATAAATTTATATATATTAGAAGAGTACTTTGTTGCTTACTTGACCAGCCTTAATATCTTTCCGTATCTGCTCAATTGTTGATTTATTTGATTGTAACAAGTTGAGTTTCTGAACTGCATCCTAAAGTAAAATTTAAATTTTGAATAATATAAGCATGCTTTGATAGGTTATTCTTTTTAGATTTTATAGGAAATCCACATTTGCATCATAATATGCATAAAGTACACAAGTTTTCATTTTACATAATATGGTGACTTAAACATATTACTATTCTAAGAGTATTAGGATGAAAAGATAAATAATAAATAAAAATGAATAAATGTTAAAGTAAAATATGAGTTTGTACCTCATAAGTGACCTTAGTAGAAGACATTCTTAAAGCTAACTTAAACACTAGGGGCACACGACACAATACGATGCTAGGCATCGACGAACTAACATCACAAACAAACCAGTTAAAGAGTCGGATTCTATATTCATATGAACGTAATTATCTTGCACTTATGGCAAAAAAATGACCTTGCTCTACACCGCACGCGTCTGAACCCTATGATATTTAGTAATAAGTCTCAAAAGACCTAATAGCTAATATTCATTACTTATCAATTAATTGTTATGACATTTGACCCCAGTTTACGATCCATTTTAATCTGATCAGGCAATCAATTGAACATGAATCATGATCAAAAGGAATATAAAAAACCTAACCTATAAAACATGTTTGTTTTGAAATTTTGACAATCAGCTGTTTACTGTGTAGTGTTTGCACAGTGCACTTCGCAGATTATTGGTTGATGGAGTTAAAGACAAATAAAATTATTTAAAATATACTTATGTATTATAATAATGCTTCGAATAGTAAATATTATAATATTATTTTGAAGATAGTTTTAAATATTACGTCATTAATTAATTAGGTAAACAATTGTTGAATAAACGTTGTTATATTTTTTTTGGTACGTCACCTATTTGATTTGTCAATATAATAATAAATTTCGTTTCAAAGAATATACGTAATATTAATTAGAATAAAAATGACTGAAACTGATGCGACGAACCGCCCACTCCATATGCCCGATACATTTCTTCCTTACTTAGAAAAACATCGCATTTATAAACTTTTTAAGGTAATTATTTGGCAAGTATTTCTTTACGCACGATATAAATTACCTACTAGAGCTTAAGATTAGAATTCGTTAACTTTATTATAAATACAAAAATGTGTTTAGTCGTTTTTAAGCAGTAATAGAACGACAAGTTGCGTATTTTTTTAACATAAATATGAACATATTCAGATATTAGATTAGATTCAGGTATTCGGATGTTACAACTTACAAGACTTTTTGCCACATAAATCAGGGGGTTCCCAATATGGGCCATGGCACATTTGTAACAAAAAGTCATTAGGGGCACGAGCAAAGTAAAGTACTGTAAAATACTACTAAATAATAACTGTAATTTCTATGTCTATGTAGGATATGATTCAGGACCTCGTGATTAACCTCCCCAAAGATCATCTGAAACATATGAAGATATTTCTGGGTCGACAGCGCCACTGTTCAAAGGATGTTGATAGAGTCATTATATTGATTTCACCAGAATTAAATATAGGTAACTATATTATGCACCGAAAAACTTGTTTAATATTTTTGTATTTTTTTTTGTGAAATGATCATTAAAATCAATCTTTAAAAACATTAAGAAATGAAAATATTGTGAAGCATTCACACAAAAAAAACGAAATGCGCGAAATAACGCTAGACGTTATATATACGACACGCTATATATTATATATATACGACACGCTACAAGGTTTTATCTTACGTATGTACCCTTGGTACCAAATATATTGCAGATGTGAAGAAATTAGCAAAAGAAATGATAAAAGATCTCGGCTGTTTCGTAATCACTCGTCGATGCGTGATGGATCGTTATGAAAAGGTTGTATTATTATTAGTTTTTATATATTATTAGTTTGTTGATAGTAATTTTTCTTTAGTAAACCTCGATCGCTAATAAAGAACGAGATACACAATCCATGGAAAAGTTCTCTAAAAACTGTCACCAATTGTTTTTAATTCTAGTTGACATAAATTTACATTAATGTAAATTCAACCTTAAATGCAATTATTAAAGTTGTTTTCACAAAAATATGTACAAAAACCAATTTGCGACCGAGACTCGTGACTGGTCAACGTTCATCAAAACAAATTCAACCTTACAAGCATGCTTAATAAAGTCAGAATTACAAAGTGCCAAAAAAATCAATATTTTGCGAGCGAATCTCGCCGCTAGGACAAGGAATGAGTGCAGTCGAATTGTCCAATATTTTTTTGTTTATACTGTAATTATAAATGGTATTTTTTTTTTAATTTTGTTAAGTTTATGTATAAAAAATTATAGCTAAGTACTTACACTTTATTCTATTGTAAGGTGTAGGTATATGTGCAATGATCATAATTTATTAATGAAACCAATATAATATAGTAGGTGGTCATAATTATTTATTTGTGTCAAACATTTAAAGATATTGCTTGACAAACAAATTATATAAAAAATCTATAGTTACTAAATATTCCCTCCACGACCGCGGACACGCCGGCGTTACAGTTAACAACGATTTCTTAGAAATTTAATTAATTTCTTAGAAATTTACCTGGAGGTGATATTAAATATAAGTACAGAAATTTCCTATAAACTCTAAATGTCGTCCTTTTCCTTCTTCGCTTCACCTGTTTTTTCTTTCTCTTCTTTTTCCTTTTTCGCTTCACCTGTTTCTTCTTTCAATTTGTCAAATGCTTCTCCTGTTAAACCAGGTTCTGCATTTGTACTTCTATACCAGTTGCATAAAGTATTCGGGTGAGGTAGGCAAGTATCAAACATTTTTCGCATGTACTTATACGCAGCTGGTGAATATAAGTGTAGTGTGATGGCGAATTTTCTCGCACCTGGTGGATATTGAGAAAATGGCCGTTTTCTACCTTTTATGTTCTTTAAATATATAGCATTAACTGTGTCTTTAACTTCTATATGTTTAGATAGATCATGAAGCAGTGATGTATCTACTGTTTGACGTTTATTTAGTTTAGACAGAGCATCCTTCAAATTTTTGCATTTTTTCTTCAGTCTGGCAATTTTTTTTCGGAAATTAGATAGTTTGTTGTTTTTCAATTTTATAAGATTTTTCCAAGCAAGAAGTTTCTTTTTCATAACAATTTCCTTTGGCGTATCCGGAATTGGACCAATGCTAAATGATGAAGTTGGGCTTTTGAGATCATCAGGATCTATTGGTTCAATTTTTATCTGAAATGATACAACAATAATAAATTATGAGATAAAATATTTTGTAATTACACAGCATACCACATTTTAAAATAACCAAAAAATAGCATGTAAAAAAAATAAAACAAAAAAGACAAATTAATTTAAAGGTTTTGGCATCAAGCCCGTGAAATGAATTTTATTTACATAACGAATTGAAGCTTACATTCATCAAAGTACAATGTGAAACTATTAATTAATAAAAATACCATTGTTATATTTACAACTATGTAAGTACTTACTTCTGCTTTCAAGCAACATTGTTCATTCGTTTTTTTATCAAAAGAAGGCTCATCTTTTATATAATGATTTTTTGCTTCCTATAAAACAAAAAAAACACATTAATAATAATTCATGTACTGCACAAATAACTGATATATTAAATATACTACACTAATATATTAAAATACCACTTACTATTTGAGGTACAGCTGTTTTGCGTAGCCTTTTGATGCCTTTTGGAGTCTCATATTCATCATTTTCTAAAAAATGCTTTGAACATACAACGCTTGCTTGGTTCGGCTTGAAAAATTCTTCGCGTCTTTGACGTGCTATAATTGATATCCATTCTGCACACCTCACTGGATCTCGAGGAAAGCTAAAAAAACAAAAATAAAATCTCTTATCTATAATTTTAAAATTTAAAATGTTACTATAATATTTATAGAAACAGCAAAGTCTCATAAAAACAAAAAAAAAACTATATTTAATAATAAAAAAAAAGAATCAATAGCGTCTCCAACAAGTGGAACAGAATCAACGCATATAACCCGAACAAATTAAGTAGGCATGCGATAGTATGAATAATACGAATAAAAAGAATCTCTTTAAAACTCCTGCTGTTTATCACGACATAATTTAAAAACTGTTTTACGACGATTTCTTTACAAAATATATAATTCAGTGTTTACAATACAGTGATAACAATTATGTAATGATAATATTAATACTTACCGAAAATATGAAACTCCATCCTTTTTTAGTGTCCTAGATGTGTGATTTTTGCAATTTTTAAACGAACACCGAGGCATGTTTACCGTCACATCGGAGTGTTCGAATGCTACTAAATTAAAAACGCCAAAATGGCGCTCATTCAGTAAGGGCATTTTTTGTCGCTGATTGTGTATTTATGTTTTTTATTAGTGATCGATGTTAGGTAGTAGGAGATATTAAATGTTATTACTGTACACGTTTTAGCATGATAAATACGTGCCTGGTTGCATATCCCCTGTGTTATTATCAGAAGTGACGAAAATGATGACGTCGAAAGATCCTGTGCCACAGGCGGGATGGCTCATGTTCGGTACGGTTGGATATCAAACATAATATTGTATATATTTTAAGTGACGTAAATAAGCAGAGACCACCTTTTATGCACCTTTTGTCTACTTATTTACCGTTTCGATGTCTGGCAATTGTTGGATAGTGAATGTTAGTGGACTAAATACAAATTCTGCTCGAGTTTTGAGTATAGTACTTATCCACACTTGACTAGTATAATAATTGAGTAGGACATAGCACAACTTGTGAACTTAGCTTTTTAATGTCCACTAAAATTGTTCCAATAATGCATTATTGATAACTATCGGCTCACTCTCGCTACGCTCGGATTTGCCTCTAGGAAAATAAAAACAAACCCATGGGAACTGTACATTTTTCCAGGATAAATTCCATGGAATAAAAGTATCTATTTACTGGCTGTATGTGCTAGTGCACATTAACAGGAGATACTTACTTCGTCGGCGTTTGTAATTCTATTTGTAATCTTCAATCTACTACGGTACAGTATAACCTCACCTCAATAAGAACATGGACGTAAAGCGAAGAACTAAAGCTGGACCACAGTCTGGTTTACACTTAAACTTAGCTATACTTTTATTTCTGTATATTATCTGTTTAAACCGACTTACCCGATTGAAATCATCAATGAATAAACAGTTTTTACATTTTTTCTTAAAAAACTTACTTAATAAGGCTTCTGTAACATTTTGCATTAACCTTTTCCATTAGATATTGAGTTCTATTGTATAGAGTAATTTACTTGTCTGGCTTTTATTCAGACCATCCCTGCACTTTACAAGAGGCTCGATGCCTTCAACAAGACGGCGTCCTTCCGACAGTCACGATGGTCCTGTCACCGCCGCCACAGACCGCGCCCCAAACATTTGACCCTTTGACTCCCGCAAGAACTTTTTTTCAGCAAGACTTTGAGGGATTAAAGTTGGCTTACAAAGCTTCATTGAAGGTTATTAATCATACCACAAAATTCGTTCTTTACTTATATAAAGATGAGATATTTTCCCGCAATAAAAATATCCTATATGTTGACCCGGATAACCATCTATCATCATACGAAATGTTATCAAAATCTGTCCAGTAGTTTTTTTGTGATGTGGTCACAGACAGACAGACAAAACTTCTAAAAACTATAGATTCGGCTTCTGTATCGATAATAATGACTATTTCAATAAGATTTTCCAAAAAATATTTAATGTAGAGATTCGAGATTGAGTCCGGATGTAATCTATCTTTGTCAGTAGTGTAATTAACTAATTAGCATAGCATAGAAATGAAAGAAGAACCTTTTTGTTTTAATTTCCAAATATCACAGACAGACATCTATCCCGGGTGTCGTCGGAATGGGGGGTGACTCCCGGGGCAGATCGTGCCACCCGCGCATGACACATGTTATCGCACTAAGAAATTATAACAGAAAAATAGCTTGTAAAAAGGCCAAATACCTATATTGATTTTTTAACCTACGGCTATCAAGATATAAGTCAGTTTTAAAAATATTGATAATCCTTTTTTATTTCTCGACAAATCCTTGAAGGAGGTTTACATAGAACCTGAAGATGATTTAGAGAAGGCAGCAACAAAGTGCTTTAATGCTATCCGTGCAGCGGCGGCGGGCGCGCAGGGGCCGGGCCAGGGGCTACATGTGGTCGGAGCTCCGGGGGTCTACCGTGTAGTGCTCATAGGCCCTCGGGGCTCCGGGAAAAGGACTCAAGGGATTACCACCGCTAAGCACTTTAATCTTATATATTGTGAGAAATCTAGTTTATTACTTATCAATTTCTATGAAATGTAATTAAAAAATTTATGCCTTGGCTAGAGTTTAGCTAGTGTGCTGGACTTTATACTTCATATTGTAATGTATCATGTTACGTTGTTACTTATTAGTAAGTTGTTAGTAAATTAAATCTAAGCAATCAACTGTGACAGTATAATGGATTCCATCTTAAATTTGTAGAACTTCTTCTACAGGTGAATTTTGTTTCATTTCTGTAGTTTTAATATTATGCTTTAACTTTGGTACTTTAAGTTCTGTTGATTGATACATGTCTAGGATATTACGTTTATAATATACTCGTAGCAAAATTTAATTCATGTCAAAAACAATTTGCAAATTTGCAATTTTTATTTGTGATTTTAGCCTTGAGGTGTCTACTACGTCTATGACAATTTTCTTAAATTATAATTTGATTACCCTCTATGTATTTGACTATATGTAGGACTTTTTTTTTAATACGTTGGGACATTAACACACAGCGCCATCTAGTTCCATGGTAAGCTACGAGGCATGTGTTATGGATACCAGATAGTTGATTCATTATACATATATAACTTTTAAATACATAAATAGTATAAATATAAACACCCATGACTGGAGTACAAACATTCGTCATCACACAAATGAATGTCCCCAGCGGGACTCGAACCCGCGACCGCTGGCACAGAAAGTAGGGTCACTACAAACTGAGCTAAGCGTGTCGTCAAGGACTTATTGGGATTCTATTTTTTACTAGTACATTTTGAAGATCTATTTAAAGAAGCAGAAGTAAGACACGACGAGTTAGGTGAAAAGATACGAAAATTCGGTTCAAGCGTGCGTTTAAGGGCGGAAATCATAAAACGTCGTTTAGCTCAAAAGGTATATTGAGATTATTTTTATTTAAGTATATAATGTATTATTTATTCTTTATCAAGTTAAATAATACATCTGATAATATTTACGAACCCAAGTGGCCCCAATTTAGTATTATAGTAGGGGAGCCCAAGAGGGGATTTTTGTAGTTACTCAAGCACGGCAGATTAACATAAAAGAGGTTACCTTGCACTCTATTGAGTACTTTCACCATAATATAAGTCTTCTATATAAAGGGGCGCGTCTAGGGAAGCCGATTAAAATATTTAAAAAATGTTTTGATAAGGTAGAAATACTTGAAACCGTCAGATTAAGGTGTGGTAGGCTAGTCACATCCTGAAAAGTGTCCAATTCAATAATCTGCCGATTTGCACAAGCCTAAGAGGCAAAAATTATCATAAACTTTATAGTCGATTACACGATACCACAGTCGATACCACACCTTAATCTGACGGTTTCAAGTATTTCTACCTTATCAAAACATTTTTTAAATATTTTAATCGACTTCCCTAGACGCGCCCCTTTATATAGAAGACTTATATTGTGGTGAAAGTACTCAATAGAGTGCAAGGTAACCTCTTTTATGTTAATCTGCCGCGCTTGAGTAACTACAGAAAATCCCCTCTTGGGCTCCCCAACTATTATTTTTACTAAGCAATTATTGTAAGTACCTACTATATAAATTGAACATTTGCTTAGGATTGTATTGATCACGGTTGGATCCTCATTGGATATCCCGCGACCGGAGTAGACTTCGAATACTTGGACCGAATGCCGACTCCGCCTAATCGGTAAACAGTTTATAAGTAACTAACATTGCCCGCGGCTCCGCCCGCGTTCAGATGACCAAAAACCAAAGTCTTACGTTTTACATATTAGTATACTCTTACATTGCAGTTTTTGTATTTTTTCTCAAAAATGAGATATTTTACCGCGGTAAAAAAAATATTCTATGTTGACCCGGATAACCAGCTATCACTATGGTGATAGTAGATAGATATCACTTGGTATGCCAAGTTTCATCAAAATCCTTCCAGTGATTTTTCTGTGATGCGGTAACAGACAGACAGACAAAAATTCTAAAAACTATAGATTCGGCGTCTGTATCGATAATAATGACTATTTCAATAAGGTTTTCCAAAAAATATTTAATGTACAGATTCGGCTTAGTTACAATTTTATTATATGTATAGATTAAAAATTAATATTTAATGTGGTATAAAACTTTCACATTTAATGTAACATAAAAAATTATGAAGTAATAGTGAATTATTTCTTTATCTTCATTTTTATTATGTAACCTTGGTAAGTTATATTATATCTACTGCAGCTCTTGTGACGTTTCATTTAAGACGTGCATGTATCTTATCTTCATAATATATCTTTTTAAAACTTATATAATAGGTAATTACTTACATACGTGTTAATTTGAAACAAACAGCGACTTTAAAATTAATTTAAATATTCCACCCTTGGGGATGGATTCTTAGTAATAATGTCCTATTAATTAAAAAAGTTTAGGCAGTGGAATCCCAGTGGTAACGCGCTCGCTTGGGAAACCGAGTGAAGCGGGTTCAAATCCCGGGTCTCGCACGTCTGATATTTTCATGTGCGGATCAGTTCCAACATAATTACCACTTGTCTTAACGGTGAAGGAAAACATCGTGAGGAAACCTGACTGTCTGAGAGAACCTAGCAAGTTTTCAAAAGACATGTGAAGTCCGCCAACCCGCACTTGGCCAGCGTGGTGGACTATGATCTGATTCCTCTCGTACTGAAGGGAGGTCCGTGCCCAGCAGTGGGACGTTAAAAAGTGCTGAATACATCAAAATATTTTTACACTTTGGTGTATACATACACACAAAAAAATATATACACAAGAATTAAGAATCTCTCCCAACGTCGCGTCGGTTAAAAATAAATTTAGAACTGTACTTTTCTTTATACATATTTGATAGATAGGTTGACATTAGCTGTTCTAGTTACATTAAACCTGCAACTTGTTATAAGCATAACAAAAGAACTTAAAAGAAGATTTATACTTAAGGTACAGTTATTATATTCTATTGGATTTGTTATTTGGTCTAGTTGTGATTACAAGTACTTTCTAAGTGAAAGTGAATTTTATAAAAAAAAAACCTGTAAAAACTTCGTGACGTGATTTAGAACAGTTAAGTTTTTTGAACTCTTTTCAAGTTACGAATAATAATCTCCGCGATGAATCATTTTTTCTTATTCTACAGGTATTTTTTGGACTAATCTATAAATATAATAAAATTGTAACTAAGCCGAATCTGTACATTAAATGTTTTTTGGAAAATCTTATTGCAATAGACATTATTATCGATACAAAGGCCGAATCTATCGTTTTTAGATTTTTTGTCTGTTTGTCTGTTACCGCATCATGGAAAAAACACTGGACGGATTTTGATGACATTTGGTATAATGATAGTCGGTTATCCGGGTCAACATGTAGGATACTTTTTATTGTGAGAAAATATCTCATTTCTGAGAAATCTATACTAAACGATAAAACGTAAGTAGGGACAAACCCGAACCGGAGCGAGGGTGAGTCGCTAGTTACATATTTTTTAAAATTTACAAGATGACACTAATGACTAAACAGTTCATGTAGTCGAGTACCTGTGTCCCCATTAGGATGATTTGTTCGTACCCCTATTTAGAAACTAATAGAATCCCTAGAATAAATATTTATTGGTTTCTATGTGGCTTTTGATGGGATTCTATTGGAGTTTTTCAACAGGGACATTGCACGCGCATATAAAATTTGAACGCCAACATACGGCAAAAGGTAATTCATAATGTTAAGTTTTTTTAAGAAACGAAACAAACCAAAGAAAAGTTACATATAATAATAATTAATTAATCCAAAGCTACCATCAGTTTTAAATTAATAGTTATGCCAATAAATTAGAAAAGATAAAGACTGCTTTTATGCAGGATAATATTTTTAAATACGGATTGGAACGTTTGCAAGACTCGGGCAATGGCGCGAGGCGTGGACTGGTGCACGGGAAAGGAAGCTGTGCTGGGATCTGGACCAAGAGTCATGCCACTCCAGGCTGGATTTGAGAAGGAGTTAGATGCTGAGGTATTTTAGAAATTAACAAATCGAACTTAAACTTTTTGTGGTATTTCAAAAAAACGAACACCATTTGATGCTCTACTGTAGGTAGGTACTTATTATATCTAAAGAGTATTTAGTCTAAACTTTTAATTATTTAATGGCTAAAGTACGAGTTTAAATAAGAAATTTTTAAGAAATCAGCTCCCTATCCTATTGGCTAAAGAAAACACATTTTTGTCATATACCTACCGTTCACAGACCAAGTTATAGAGCACCGTTACAATAGATTGTAAATTCTCCTTCAACATGGGTCATTGAACTGTATTAATTTAATATTGAATATAATTTGTAGGATATGGCACCTGTATGCTAATGAGGTTACTTTTTTTAGTCTTCTCAATTATCCTATGGAATATATCTACTCATCCTATAACCAGGACGAGTTTATTATAAAAAATATACTGGTATTAAAAGCCTTTGATTTGAGCATTGACTACGATTTTTGAATGTTAACAATTTTGATGTTTGAGTTTTAAAATCGTATAATCGTACTACTAGTATATAGACGAAGATTGTGTTTGTTACTTCCTTCCTTTATACTGAAACGGCCAGATTTGGATATTTAGTAAGCGGATACTGGATAGACTATAATCTGGAGTAGTACAATATTAGGCTACTTTTAGGCAATGCGAGTGTAAGTCGCTAATACCTATCTTACTCTTAATATAAATGTGAAAATTTAGATGTTTGGATTGATTTTTGTTACTCAATCACGCCAGAACGGCTGAACGGATGTCGATGAAATTAGGCACAGAGATAGATTATAGTCTGGAATAGCACATGGGCTAATTTTTATCCTGGAAAATGTACGGTTCCCGTGGGATGGATTTGTTTTTTAGTATATAATTCTATAAACATGTTTAGCACATAGTTCGTATAATTCGTATACTATTATGTAAACAATTTGTCGTTTTCAACTCGACTATGATTTCAATTTTCACATACATGTATCATTATGTAAAACAATACTATATAGATTTTTTTATAAATATCTTTTTAACAGCTAGATGCTTATTTCACTGAGAACCTGGCAGAGCTGAGGGCGGCGGCCGGCATTACGGCGGTAGAAATAGATGGACACAAATCTTTTGGTCATTATTTCATTCTTTTTATAGATACGTAATTACCCTATTGAGAAACTGCAATAGGATCTCACTAAAAGCGACAAAAGCCACATATTAGCTAATAAATATTTATTGGTCTCTGTGGCTTTTGATGAGATCCTATTGGAGTTTTAACCGACTTCCAAAAAGAAGGTTTTCATTTTTTTCAATTTGTCGGATTTTTTTTTTATGTACGTTCACCGATTACTCGAAGACGCCTGAACCGATTTGGATTTTTTTTGTTTCAAAGGGACTCCTACTAGGTATCTATTCTAAATGAAAACCTCCTTTTAGTTATTTGTTACATTTTAGTGCCTGGTAGTCGGTTTTTATTATTTTTAAATAGGGTACTTGTTACTCTTTCAAGATAAAGAAAAACAAAAAAAAAGCCCGACCTCTATACACATACATACCTACTTCTATTTCAATTCTTTGCTTAAGTGACATCCTACCTATCTACTTTGTAATTTTGATACAAATTATAATCATTAGATTATAATTTATATACGTATAATAACTAGCGACTCACACTCGCACCGCTCGGGCTCGTCCCTAGTTACGTTTAACGTTTAGAATAGATTTCTCAGAGATTTATTTTGTTGCAGTGAGAAGTATCATACATGTTGACCCGGATAACCAGCTATCATCATACCAAATTTCATCAAAATCTGTCCAGTGGTTTACTCGTGATGAGGTCACAAACAAAAATTCTAAAAGATATAGATTCGGCCTCTATCGATAATAATGACTATTTCAAAAAGATTTTTCAAATATATTTAATGTACAGATTTCGACTCAGAATTTTATTATATGTTTAAACAATTATGTTATATTATTAATTAATTTCAATTTATAAATTACAGATCAAGTTCAAGTAAAAATACAAGCAGCGATCATGGCTTCGCCTGCTTTTAATATCGAATGTTGCTCTCAACTACGAAATGTTCGAGCTGACGAATTAGCATTCTAGATAAACTGGGATAAAAATAAAAAAAATGTTTAAATAGAAATTTTTTATTTATGTACTCCTCCATACTCCGACCGAAAAATTATAACTACATAATTATTATCTGCTAATTAAGAGCTAACAACTCGGCAGTCTCAAAACAATTACATACAGGAATGAACAAACAATCATCAATTGAGGTAGTCTCGAGTGACCTGAGACTAAGTGAGTTCCCATCTAGGAACCAAAAGGTCCTCGACAGATTCCATTATATTAAGAAAATGCATCAATTTATACATACACACATTCACTCGCGCGCAGCGGCCGACTAACGAGAGGGGTGACAACCCGCCGCACTCCACTCACTCAATAAATATACCACAACACGAGCTAAAACACTGCGTATCCGTTCTTGGTACAGGAATTCCTGTAGTGACGTATCGTTCACATTTGGCTACGATCACTTTTCAGTCTGTATGGTTACAACTCGTCTTTGAAGTCGTCGTCGTCTCCCGCGCCCTGGGGAGGCACGCCGCCCTGTCCTTGGTACAGCTTGGCGATGATAGGCTGAACGACGTCTTCGACTGCCTTCTTCTGCTTCTTATATTCTTCGGCATCTGCATCTTGGTTGTCTTCGAGCCACTTGATCGCGGCATCGATAGCTTCTTCCATCTTTGTCTTCTCGTCGTCACTGATCTGTAACAACAAACAATATACATGAAAGTTTGCTCCAGAAACAATTTACTTTTTAATTTCATTGTTCAAATTATCTTATTCTAAAATATTTTTATTTTTTATAATTCAATAATACCAACCTTAGAGCCAAGTTTCTCTTTATCCTGGAGCTGGTTCTTGATCGAGTAGGCATAGCTCTCCAGTTCATTTCTAGACTCCACGCGCTCCTTCAATTTCTTGTCATCATCAGCGAATTTCTCTGCATCCTTGATCATTCTCTCAATATCTTCAGGTGTCAGTCTGTTTTGATCGTTTGTAATGACAATCTTTTCCCTGTTTCCAGTTCCCTTGTCTTCAGCAGACACTTGAAGAATACCGTTTGCGTCGATTTCGAAGGTGACCTCAATTTGTGGGATACCTCTGGGCGCTGGGGGAATGCCAGTCAAGTCGAACTTTCCGAGCAAGTGGTTGTCCTTGGTCATTGGACGTTCACCTTCATAGACCTGGATGGTTACAGTGTGTTGGTTGTCACTGGCAGTTGAGAAGATCTGAGATTTCTTTGTTGGGATAACAGTGTTACGAGGGATCAGCTTGGTCATAACACCTCCAACAGTCTCAATACCCATAGTTAGAGGGTTGACATCAAGAAGTACGATAGCGTCGGTATCTTGTTCACCGCTGAGAACTCCGGCTTGTACGGCAGCACCATAAGCGACAGCCTCGTCAGGGTTGATGCCTCGGGATGGCTCCTTGCCGTTGAAGAATTCCTTAACCAGCTGTTGGACCTTAGGGATACGAGTGGAACCTCCGACAAGTACGATCTCGTCGACGTCCTTCTTGTTCATGTCAGCATCTTCCAATACTTTCTGTACAGGTTTAAGAGTTGATCTGAAGAGGTCCATGTTCAATTCCTCAAATTTAGCCCTGGTCAGAGTTTCAGAGAAGTCTTCACCTTCGAAGAACGATTCAATTTCAATCTTAACCTGGTGGCTGGATGACAGAGCTCTCTTAGCTTTCTCAACTTCACGACGCAGCTTCTGCACGGCACGGTTGTCTTTCCTGATATCTTTGCCCTTCTTTTTCTTGTACAGCTTGATGAAGTGCTCCATGACTCTCTGATCGAAATCCTCACCACCCAAGTGAGTGTCACCATTGGTAGCGACTACTTCAAATACACCATTGTCAATGGTCAGGAGCGACACATCGAAGGTACCACCACCCAAATCGAATACCAACACGTTCTTCTCGCCTTCCTTCTTGTCAAGACCGTAAGCGATAGCGGCGGCGGTAGGTTCGTTGATGATTCTCATAACATTAAGGCCAGCAATCACACCAGCATCCTTGGTAGCTTGACGTTGAGCGTCGTTGAAGTAAGCTGGTACAGTGACAACAGCATGAGTGACCTTCTTACCAAGGTAAGCTTCAGCAGTTTCCTTCATCTTTGTCAAGACCATGGCAGAGATTTCTTCAGGTGCAAAGATCTTGTCACCTTGGGAGGTCATTACTGATACATGAGGTTTGCTGTTCTTCTCAACAACTTTAAAGGGGAAGAATTTGACATCATGTTGGACAGTGGAGTCACTCCATTCACGACCGATAAGACGCTTGGCATCGAAAACTGTGTTTTCAGGGTTGGTCGTAAGCTGGTTCTTGGCGGCATCTCCGATGAGACGCTCACCATCACTGGTGAAGGCTACATATGATGGAGTGATACGGTTACCCTGGTCGTTGGCAATAATTTCCACACGTCCATTTTTGTACACACCCACACTGTGAACAAAATAAGAAATAATTATTGATTTATATTATCAAATACAAATATTAATTAATACAGATTAAAGAAGAAATGTTATGCCAAAAATTTCTTGCAACGGATTATTTTTCATCAAAAAAAGAAACAGATGGGGTAGTTACATAGAAAATTAATCATATGAGAAATAATATTTAATACGATATTATTTAAAAAACTGAATAAATAGTCCATATGTTAAAAATTTAACAACTATGATTGAACATATGTTGTTAAGTTATAGGTACATTTCTGTCAAACTTACCATGAGTATGTGGTACCCAAGTCGATACCAATAACGGTACCGATATCCTTTTCTTTCTCCTTCTTTTCGTCGGCGTAGACCGCCGCGACCACACACGCCAAAGCTAATAGACACCACCGCATTTTCACCATGCGTTATATTAAACTTTAAACTGAAACAAAAAAGAAATAAACTAAGTAAATAATTTTAATATTACATAGAAGTGTTAAAAGAAAAGGAAGATCTATTTTTGATAGCATCTAAATCAAAGTTCATTAATCTCAATCAAGGACACGTAATCCGACACACCATGGTTGGGAGTTTGGGACACGTCATTAATATTGTGATATATGAAATAGGGCATTGTTCCACGGTTAGAAAGTTACCTACTGTAAGTCTGTAACGGACCGGGTTACTTTTAACGGTAAGTACAATATGACATATGTGGGCCACGGCGCCGGCCTACTGAGCGGCGACTTCGAGAATTTTCCAGAATGTACTAATTCATGAAATATATTTTTCTTTATTAAATAAGTAATTAGTTTACGCAAATAGTTCAAAAATCTATACATTTCTTCGATATTACACCTAACAAGAAACGTTTGCCAAAAATTTAATGTCAAATATGTGGAAGTAATAAATTCAAAAATGATAAAAGATTATTAATATTACAATTACACGTTAAATTTTCAGATAATTACCTTCAAAAATTAATTAATTTGTATTCTAAAAAAGAATTCACACACAAAAAGACACTTTTAAGAAACACTTATAAAAATTTCAATAGCACAATGTACGTTACGTTTATACTTCTCGATTGTTGGACAGAAACTGAATTTGTCCACGCCGCCGTCGCTATTATTTAGCGCTAGTTGTTAATCGTGGTCTTATTTCATTGGTCAATGGCGCGATGACGTTTTTGTTTCTCGCATGTGATTGGTCCAAGTTTAACGATCTGTCGACATCTGATTGGCCCACGTTTGTCAGTGGCAGAAGACTCTACTCGATGACGAGTCAAATAGGATGTGAAAGATAGATAAAATTTTGGCGTAAGATTTAAAATGTCGCAAGTGGGTGTAATTTATATATGTAACAATATACTCTATGGTGTAATTCATCCTACGCAACTTTAATCAAAAATTTCAACATAGAAAAAGATAATAAAATTCACTGTTATGAATTGTAATATTACACTTATGCAAGCACTAGGCAATGGAAAAGTTATTTTATTATAGTACTTAAGTGTTATTTTTGAATGTTTTTACAACAGAAAAACCTAAACTTTTAATACATATTACATACATGATACAACCGTTACCATATCAGTAACGAAAATTATCTATACATATAATAAAATTCAAACTAAACCGAATCTGTACATTAAATATTTTTTGGAAAATCTTATTTAAATATACATTATTATCGATACAGAGGCCGAATATATATATTCGTTTGTAGAATTTTTGTCCGTCTATCTGTTACCGCATCACAGAAAAACCACTGGAGGGATTTTGATGAAATTTGGTATGGTGATAGCTGGTTATCCGTGTCAACATATAGGATACTTTTTACCGCGGGAAAATGTCTCAATTCTGAGAAAAAATACAAAAACTACAATGTAAGAGTATACAAATATGTAAAACCTAAAAAATTGGTTTTTGGTCATCTGAACGCGGGCGGAGCCGCGGGCAAATATAAATACTACCATTATAAAGACGACATTAAATGGATTTAATTTCTTTAATTATTTTTATTAAGCACGGTTTAATTCATTCAATCAAAAAATCAAAAGCAAATAATAAATTTAACCTTATTGGTAGAAGTTTCTATAACAATGAAAGTAATTTAATTAATTTTCCAAAATTTAAATAAAACTTTCAATAGAAGGAATTCAATAAAAAAAGAATCAACTAAATCAGAGGTAAAATTGCAGTGAGGTGACTCGCATAATTTTTGTTACAGTATACAAAAAAAAACTTTTTGCTTTACTTACACTGACTAAAATTTATCCCTTAAGGGATGTTGCCAAGTAACTTCTCAAAAAAGCCTGTTTAATGGAACTCAGCCATAGAAAACACTAATAATAATTATACATTTTGATCAACATAAAGCACAATGACTTCCTAAATGAGCTCATTTCATGTTTAACATCATATATAAAATCAAAGAAATAAAAAACCATATCTTTAAACAATATTTTATTTTCAACCAATAATAAATTTACAACAGTATCTGTACTTATACATCCCCTATAAAATGATCAGTCCACCTTTAATTTCGGTAATACAAATTGATATACCATAATATAATAATATATCCCACATATACGAGTATCAATATACATAAATTATATTTTTTTAAAGCTTAATGTTTCTTCGCTATTATATCCAAAATCAATGGCGCGAAATATGTTATGATACAATCAGCACCTGAAAATTAAAAAAAAACATTCAATACTATATAATATACAGTAACTGGGTTAAAATTATTTTTCGAATAAATTATATATATAAAATATAACAACGATATTTTTGAATTTTTTCGCGGATTTATTTTAATTTTTGGTTACCGAACGTTTCGAAAGCGTTACAGCAAAAATGTCAAATAGTGGCGTGAATCTAATTATTAAATTATATATAATATTACAATTGAACATTGTCGCACAAACATTTGATATACCAAATCTAAATGTAACTAATTTTTAGTTATCAGTACAGTTAGGTACATAGCTATACTTATATAGCGTCTCTGACTAAGGAATAATACAGACAGAGTGTTAAAGAACTAAATATGAAGCCTTTAAAATAATATATTTTTTAAAACAGAATATATATTATACTAGCGACTCGCCCTCGTTCCGGTCGGGTTCGTCCCTTCTTACGTTTTAACATTTAGTATAGATTTCTCAGAATTAAAAATAGCTATCGGATTTTAATATAATTATGAAAAAATAATTTATAAGCTAATATCTCTTTTGCAATTAATATTCAAGGGAAAGAAAATTAATGAAAATCGCAATATATGAGTCTGACTCGCACACCGTTCCATAGCAAAATGAAACATTAAAATAAGTTCATAATTGTTTGTAAGTTTATAATATAAAAAAAATGTGATGTAGACTTTTTACTTTAATATTTTAAGTGATGTAAAAACAAATTTAAGATAAAGAAGAAAATTCGACATATTTATTATATGTAGGTGATAACTGATAAAGGGTTATGTTAATTCAACACCGATATAAACTAAATATTATCTAGTGTCGGTTCATGCGTATAGTAAAATTACAGCAGTATGATAGTCCTACATGAATATTTCTTAAAAAAGTTTTTTATGACAAAAGATAGTTCTTCTACTTTATATAATTTTTACTAATATATATATATTTACTAAAATTACATTTTTAGTTGTAAAAAGTAATTACTGAATTTTCATTAGCGATATTTTTTTGTTATTGAAGCTATCTGATGATATTAATATATGCTTTATCCAAAGGAACCTTCGGAACCTAATTAAAATAATTGGTCAAGTGCGAGTTTAACTTGCTAAATCATTGTGGTCTTTGATAAAATGGAAATTTAAACTTTTTGTGAACTAAGCAAAATCCTTCTCGCGACTTTTTTTTTAATTCTATTAAGCTTCCGATTTTTATCATATGTAAGGAACCAATTTAGTTATAAATTACAATGAACTAACCCGCTCTTCTCATACATGTAAGAGTCTCCATGAGTATGTTCTCTATCTCCTTGTTGTCTCCACTGCGAGAGATCATTGCGTATTCACCTGATACCTGAAAAATGTAATAAAGACACGGATTTTATTTTTTATTAATTTTGGAAGAATACAATCACTTCAAAAAAAATATAAGTCGGTTCCAAGTTAAAAGAATATATAAGCAGACAAATAAAAGAGGCAGAATAAAAATAAATATTTAAAATATGTATGTATTTAAAGTTATATATGTATAGTGTATCAACTATCTGGTATCCATAACTCGAGCCTCGTAGCTTACCATGGAAATGGATGGTTCTGTGTGTTAATGTCTTAACATATTTATTAAAAAAAAAACAACATATCAAATTTAAATAATGAATTGCAGAAGTTGTAAGTTTTACTTTTTATTTCCCTTATAAATTGGGATATCTATAACAAAATTTATAATTCATATACAGTAGTCATCATACTCTTAGTATACAATTATTATATTTTTTATATTTACATTAAGAATGTCTTAAAGTTTAAATCTGGTGACTCACCTGATATATAAACAGAGGATGATTAGGATATTTATCCTTTGTTTGTCTCACAATGTCCAAATATGGTAGTCCTGGCTTCACCATCAGGAAGTCTGCTCCTTCAGCTACGTCACGAGCCTGGGAATTATCATTTAAAAGTTATTTACATCTCCATAGTGTAATCAATCATAGATATAATACAGAATTTTTTATTATAGAATAGTAATAAACAGAAGCATTTTTTTCTTAAATAAATGAAATCATTTTTAATTTAATAATCTATACTCATATAATAAAAGTGTAACTGATCGCTTTCTTTATATGGAAAATATTTGAGAAAAACTATTATAAACAAGCCCCTCCCCCTCACCTCCCCATCGTAGACCCTCTCAAACAATGATTTTTAGAATTATTGTCAGTTAGTCTGTACGTTTGTACGGTTCATAAATAACAAAGTTCTGTCATTTTAAACAATCACCCAAAGATTAATGTACTAAAACGTAAGAAAAACACTATTTTAATTTTATTCATCTGTTGAATTTGACGGGACTCTCACTAGCAAATACACTGGCGTGCAAAAAAATCGGGCCACCTAGAGAAAATGGACAAACTTAAGATATGATATTTTTTATTAATTTTGTTATTATAATGTGTAGCTGTATACCCTATGTACCTAAATCAATAATCGTTGAACAATTTAAATAAAAATTATTGCTCGAAAATAGAGGAAAATCAAATTTAATGATTTTTCGCGAGTTTGGTATAAAAATGTAAGCCGCAAATTAATGGGAAAATTAAAAGATTTTGATTGATTTTATGATTTTTAATAATGCGTATTACCGCCTCTATTTTTAATTACAGCTTTTAATCGGTTTTTCAGAGATTAGACACACTTTTTTAGATAATCTTGTGTAATAGACTCCCATTCTTCCAATAAGGCGCTTTTTAATTCTTGAATGTTGCTCGGGACTACTACGCGACTTCTAACTTTTCTTTTGAGATGGTCCCATACATGCTCTATCGGATTGAGGTCAGGGCTTTGCGCTGGACAGGCAATAGTAGACACTCCGACCTCTTGAAGATACTGCCTTATTGATGTAGCAGTGTGTGGGCGAGCATTATCTTGTAGAAGCAGAAAATCTTCTCCAATGAACCCAGTAAAAGGCATCACATGATCTTCTAAAACCTCCGTTATATACCTAGCGGCTGTAAGGGATCCATTTTCTATGAATATAAGCTCGGTTTTCGCTTCGTAACAGAATCCTGCCCAAAACATAACTGAGCCCCCTCCATATGCCACTGTTTCCCGCATAGTGCATATCTTTCACCTGGTCGCCGATAAACAAAATAACGGCCGTCGGCACCATTCAAACACATTCTGCTTTCGTCAGTAATAAGAACCTTCTTCCACTGCTCCAAATTCCAATTCACGTGATCTCGGGTAAAAAGTAATCTTGCAATTCGATGTGCAGGGGTGAGTTTGGGGCCAGTTGCGGACTTGCGTGGCGTCAGGAAAGCGGCTTTAAGTCGGCGCCTTACTGTCTACTCGCTAACATTAACACCACTCACTTCTCTCAGGAGATTTCGAACGTCAACCCCTGTGCGATGACGATTTCTTAGAGCTGATAACACAATAAATCTATCATCAAGCTCTGATGTGGCTCTTCGTCGGCCGGAACCATGTCGTCGTACAAAGCCACCAGTCTCTATGTAACGTTTGTACACTCTCTGGACCGTAGAACGGCTCACAGAAAAAGCTTGAGCCACTTGACGTTGACTTTGTGCAGTTTCAAGCAAAGTCACAATTCGAGATGATTCAGCCTCGGTCAGATCCATCTTGCAGTATTTCTAATAATCGCAGATCAAAGTAGAAGTGTCTTGTTCAATAATTGGAACTCAACTAAGCTTAAATAACAAAAAACAGCTAAGTAAGCTAAAATAACAAAAAACAGTATTTGTGGCTTTAATCCATATTATGCAAATATTCACTAATTACTGCTAATTGACTATAATTAAGCGCACACGTGCATTTCCAAGAATTTTATGACTTTTTTGAAGGATACAAAGGCGTCTAATCTCCTTAATTACCTTTGCGGATTTTTTTTTCACAAAACGATTGTCAACAAAAAATTATGCTTAAAATTAAGGGTGGCCCGATTTTTTTGCACGCCAGTGTAGTTGCTGTTATAATGAGTAATTTAGACCATTTTAATTTAAGAAAAAGAATAAGGGTTCCACTCAAAAAAATTAAAACGCACCTAGGGACGCAGCCGAGCAAAGCCAGGGTAAATCACTAGTAAGCAAATAACAAAAAAAAAAAAACAAATTACCGCAGCCCTGACAGCGAGTCCGGCGCTGCCGGGCGGCAGCTGGTAGCACTTCCGGTCGCCCGCCATTGGACTACTCTTCATCGTATCACGGAATGGCCCGTACATCGACGACGCAAACTTACAAGAGTATGACAGTACTGACACCTAGAACATTATCATTATTACCTATATATAAAATTTTAATACTTTTTACAATTTGTTCTTTAAACCATAAAATATAACACAATTTTTTTTTTTGTTTTAACAAGAAAATTGTATATGATTTTTTGTGGATAATAAATAATTTTATTGAAAATATTAAACCACCTTTGAGAAATACAACCTATTCATTAAAAAATCAATCATTAAAATCGTATAAATAAAAGCATACTGTAACATGTATAATGTATAGTAAATATATATGTATGTATTAATTTTGAGCTGTACAATAAAACAATACACCAATTTTATCTCACAGGTCAAACATGTTATCAATATAAAAATAGCTTTTGATACTCAGTAACAACATAGCTTTCTATAAGTAAATTTTTAGTTCTAAAGAGCGACCCATACATAGATAACACAATAATTTCATCCTATTATATTAATGTATAGATAGATATATCTATAATTACAGATATATACAAATAGATATCAGATATCATGAACAAACCTGATTTTGCAAGTTGTTAGCAATTAAACTGTCTTTAATGGCTTTAATCCTATTGTCCATCATGTCTGATGGAGCTACAATGTGGGCACCTGAAATAATTAAACAAGACTCATTAGACACAATGATTAGTCTTCCGTGATGATTTGAACAAATAAATAAAATTGAAGTGTCTGTTTGTAATATTCAAATAACAGTTATTTACTAAATGCATGTGAAATCTGTCTACATATCTGTTTACATATTTAAGATCTTTTTGTAAATATTGCCTGAAATAAATGATTAAATAAAAATAAAATATATTTTTTCTGTCTGTTTATTCCGGCTAATCTCCGAATTTTTTTTTGAACGAAATTTTTGACGGGACTTTTACTGGCATATACCTGATATTATAAGGAGTAACTTAGGCTAATTTTATTCTAGAAAAGGAATTAGGATACCACTCCAAAAAATTACATCCATTAAGCACCCAAGCTAAGTGCTGGTAAGTTAACTTAATATAAAAAAACTATATAAATTCAAATAATATACAAAATAAAATGCCATCCTTACCAGCCTTAGCATAAGCTAAAGAGACTTCAGCTATTCTCTTCACAGATGCAGGATGGTCAATCGCACCTGTTTCAGTCAAAACTCCACAATGCCCATGTGAAGTGTATGGACAGAGGCATACATCACATGCAATAGTCAGATTTGGAAAGGCAGACCTTAGTTTAGGTAGTGCTTTTATTACTGGGTTTGCAGGTGAATCAGCACTGGAGCCAGTAGCATCCTAAATAGGGTAATATAAATAAAGTTATGTTACTTATAGCCCCTTCATTGTTTGAAAGCAGTTAAAAATAATACAAATTATGGTAATGGTAATATTAAAAAAAAATAAGATAATGTATGTGGGAAAAATTGGTTTGTTTTATTTGGTTATGTTTAACATGTTATAAATAAAAAGGTTTATTATTTATGTCATTAATAATAATTTACCTTAGGGAGTGTTTCGACAATTCCAAATATTAGAATTGATTTTAGCCCTTTACTGACTAACTCGGTGAGTGCTGGAATAAGTTTGTTAATACCATATCTAAACACATTAGGCATACTTGACACTGCTTGCATAGCTTCATCATTTTCTCTAAAAACAAAAATAAAATAATAATAGGTATAGTTGTTTTTCATATTCCACACTGGGCATGAAGCCCCATATGTTGAAGGATATCTAATAAGTATAATTATCATTATCATATCATTAAAAATCATATCATTTAAAAATCAATTTAGTTCTCCCATATAAATGGGCTTTTAATAATATTTTCTTTTGTTAAATAAGCAAATGTAGTTTAATTAGTAACTAAGCTCAAAATGAGATTCACAAATTAAAATACCTATCAGGGGTACTGAAATGGGGGTTTTAATATAATCTAAATATATTTTAAGACAGTATGTAACAATCACGTATAGCAAATAATTACTATAATAGAAAATAATTATACTTACAGTAAAAAAATTGGATACATTATATTATGAGGCTCAATACTGGTATTAGGTTCTTGTAGTTTTCGAAGGGTGGCATTAAAATAGCCGCTTTGAAGAATATGTTCAGGGCTCAAAAAAAGAGAATTCATAATGATTACAGAATCGAATCAGCTAAGAATTCTTATAAATTATCAATTACTAATTAATATAGACTAAAATTAAATTATTAAATGTGAGTGATTTGTGAATAGTGATGACACTGACAGTTTACAACCATAGACCAAGAACAACAAGAGAACCATGGATGACAAATAAAAAAGAGAACTAACAACAAGAGGTTTATAACCATGGATGACAAATAAAATTTATAACCGACAGTCGACATTGACAAGTGTCAAGAGACAAGCTACAATCAGAAAGACAACCCTAACACAGTTACCATTAGAAAAGAAAAGAATATGTAGCGAATTTAAGTTATTTACCCTGTTTTCCTATTACAGAGCATATTGCCGCACTTTGGCGCACATTACGAAGGTGTGCTGATGCATATTTGGAAGATGAATTAGTTTTCAAGTGCACCAGCAGAGGGCACTAGATTTAGTGTTGAAAGGAAAAATATAAATAAAATATAAAGAAATATTACTAGGTAACGATATTGTCAATAAAATTTTGATTAATGGCACCTTGAAGAAAATACACTTCTTATATTTTCAGCTAATGAGTTGGTATTCATATAAGTACAATTGCGCGCCTTACGCCAAAGCAGTACTTTTCAAATTGCTGGATTGTATGGAACGTTGCTGTAGTTGAAATATTCGAAGTCAATATTATGCCGCATAATGCGCTTTAGCACTTTAATTGGAAAACAGTATTATTAACGCGTAACTTTATCTTACATACACAAAAATACTATTGTTTAAAATCTGGAATCGAACTTAGTCTTCAGATTTTTTTGTAAAGCTTAGTTTTATAGAATTCAATTTTAATATATATTTAGTTCAGTAAAACTTTTGATGCATTTCTTTAAAAATATTTAATATATTTTTCCTAAAACATAATATTTTATTTACTCCTGTTAGTCCTGTATAAAAAGGCGCGCGCGCGGCAAGAAGAAGTCTTGAAAAGCTAGTTTTTATTTGATGAATCTGTAAATAAAAATATGTCAATAAAGATAAACAGAATATATTCATATTACATCTAGATGATTATGGAATTGTTTTTAATTTTTATCAGTTATCTGTGGACAGTGACAAAAATCAAAAATGCTGGTCCTAGATACCAATGTTTTATTTTTATGGTTTTAAATTAAAAAAATAAGCAATAAATCTAAATTTACGTATTTGATAGAATATATTCAGATATAAGTTATGACACATAAGTAAAATTAATTTATTCATAATTTAAATAATGATATAAATCTTTAAAACTTAAGTTTTTTTGTCTAAAAAAAATGTATGATCAGTTTAGTGTGAAAAATCAGTGTATAAAGTTATATATTTTTGGATCATACATTGTAAAGTATCAAATTTGATATTGTACCTTCATAAACAACAAAAAAGGGACCGAGGAGCGAGGGCTACGACCCTAGAGTTACGAAAAGCAAGCAGCAACGACCTTGACAATATGCATACTGACGACGAAGCCCCCGTCACCAAGCAAGAAGACAGTAACGACACGTCGCCTGAAAATGTAACAGTGAGACTTGATAAAATTGATACCCCAAAAAAATTCGAGAAGAAAGCAGATGTAGAGGATCCTAAACCACGTATAGTACTCACTTTTCGTTCGGAAAAGTCTGGTGCTAAAAGTAGCAACATGAAAATTGTATCAAATGAGGAGAAACATGAAGAAATCTCTCCAAGAAGATCTATAAGGACAAGAAATTCAAAAAAGGACTCTGATGAAGATAATGTAAGTCACATAGACTCTGATGATGAAGAAATCATTGAAATTCCTAGCACAACGAAGCGTTCAACTAGACGCCGCAGTAAAGAATTCTCTGATGTTATTGCAAATGCAATTGCTAGAAAAGAAAAATCATATAATGAAGCCTCTTCAGCACCTACTCAACGACTGTCTCGAAGAATAAAACCAACAGCCAAAATACTTGCTAATGAAGAATTAAGAATGGGTCTAGAATCTCAAAATAATGCTCGATTGGGAATTTGTACAGATAAGCCTGTAGAGGAAGGTGTAAGAACTAGAAGGTCAGCACAAACAAAAAACATTGAGCCTCAGTCAGAGAAAAAGTCATCAAAACGTAAAATTCAAGAGGAAAGTGCAACTGAAAGTTCTGACAAAGAAAGTGATTACTCATCAAAAAAACTAATTCATCTGTGTAATCTTGGCCTTAAAGTTAAAGATGAAGAATCAAGTGAAGCAGAAAACAGGTAACTACTTATATAGTAATGGATTTTAAAAAGGAAACCTCACTTATCTTCTCACAATTAGGCTCACAAACATTGTAATTAAAAGTAATAAGAAAACTCCTTTATCTAATAAACTCGTATAATAATTATTTTAAATTCATTGTTATGCTAAAATAATAAGCAGCATAGTTATAATAAATAGTTAAATACATTATATATGAGTAGATTTTTTCCTATTAATAAGCCCTTTCCATAGTTTAAGTAACTGGCTAAGAATTCACTTAGAGTGAATGTTTATTCCAAATCATTGTAGAAGCCATATTTAGGTTGATAACTTTTTTGAGCTACAGCCATTGCTATGTAGTGTAGCTACATTATGGCTATGCGCTTGCTTTTAGAAAGACAGAAAGCTCGGCCAATGAAGGTCCAGAAGAAGATGAAGAGATAGATGATGATACAGAAGTTATAAGCAAATTACTTGAAGCTGATGAAGAGACTGCTAGTGATGAAGACTTCTGCCCAGAGACAGCAATCAAAAAAAGACGCTCCAAAAGAAATAGCTCACCGTATGCAGTTGCTGTTATATTGATATCAGCTTTGTTTTGTAAATTTGAAATATTAAGATCTTGTTTTTTTTTTATTAGAAGCTAGAAATATAGATTTTCTATTGAAAGCTGTTATTATATTTTGAATTATTTTAAGTCAGTTTTTTTTTTCAGTTACATAATAGCTAGAGGTATGAAATCTTTTCACCTTTATAGGAAAAAATATTTCATTCTATTTCTTTAACAATAAGAGTTGTTACTTACATATAGTTCATCAGTAATAAATTTGTTATTTATTTTATTTAATGTATCTAAATCTTATAATTTTTTGGGTTTGTCATAATAATACTAAACATTTCTTTTCATAATCATCATTGGTACTTATTGTTCATGTAATATTGCTTTATTGGTTAACTATATAAAAATTATTGAGGTACCACCATCTTTCAATATCTCTTCTACTAATTTTCATTTGGGTAAATATTATGCTTAACAACAAAAATGCTCATTGAGCTTCTATAACATATAACTGAATTTTATTCTTTTTAAAATGTTCATGATCTGTTATTTCCAATGTGTGTTTTTTTTAATAAGCCATATCACGTAGCTTATTGAAAAAAATACAAAAAGGTACAAAATAGTTTTTGATAAGAGTTGCCATTTTCATGATGTTTAGTGTTGTGGTAATTAGTTATGTTTGCTCAATAAGTCTTTCTGTAATCTGTTTTTTCAGCCTAATGTATACTTGAAAAATATATATTTTCTATCTTTATCATTTTTATTTCAGATTTCACACCAATCTTATTAGTTAGTGCCTTATTATTTTATATTATTTAGCTGTCATGATAATGTATTATTTTATTTATATTTTTTTTTGTTAAAATGGGTTATATTAAATTTAAATTAATTTTATATTAACAAAAGCACTTTTTGCTTTATTTCAGTGCCCCCTTACGTCGCTCTTCTCGGAAAGCAAATTCTGGCCTCTATTACTATGACACGTTTGCATTTGACGACCCGGGAGATAGGTAAGTGTTTTCTTCATTTAAATAAATTTATACCTGTATAGGTTTTGTTCACGACTTCGCTTGATGTTAAGAAAGTAGCCTATGCATTTATCAAGAATATAAGCCATGGACATTGCAAGTTTCACTGAAATCCGTTAGAAAAGTTACAGCGTGAAATGATGGACAACATACTTACAAATTTCACATTTAAAATATATAACTGAAAGGATTTTATACTTGTGTTACTAGTATTTATCGTCATGCTCTGTGATAAAGAAAAGATATAAAACCTTTTTCTATATATGCATTGTTTCACTTCCTATAAATTTAAAATCTATATTTTAACTAAATATGTTTCTTTTTTAGTGATTATGAACCAAAACGTAAGAGTGCTCGAACCCATGGTGCAGAAGAAGGTGCACAATCTGACCCCGAATTGGACACAAAAGTGTTAGTATACTTGTTTTGTTTTAAAATATCAGATTTTTTACTCACTAACGAATTTTTATTAAACTTCATTGATGCGTATATAATGCACAACTTATGTATGTATCCAGCCCTTTTTAACGTCCCAATGCTGGGTATGAACCTCCCTTCAATACGAGGGGGATCAGGCCATAGTCCATGCTGGCCAAGTGCAGACGGACTGCATTGTGCACATGTCTTTTGAAAACTTGCTAGGTTTTCTCAGACATGCAGGTTTTCTCTCGATGTTTTTCTTCAAATTATTTGAAATGGTTCGCACATGAAAATATCAGAGGTGCAAGACTCAGGATTTAAACCCGCTTCACTCGGTTTCCCAATCAAGCGCGCTACCACTGGGCTACCACCGTCTTTCAGTTTCAGATATTTATGAGCGACGATAAACATTTAGTCAAGTGGATCGTTTGCTCGTTTGCCTCTTGTTCTATATACAAAAAAAAACGCGTGCGTGTACGCACGTAAGATTTCATCCCGTATGTCACAACTCTCTGTTTGTAAAAGGAATGCAGCTAGCTAACTTCATTATGTCGATTTCAGCTAACTTCATCATGTCACCTTTTGGCTGTCGGTGTGCGCGCGCATCGTAAAAATGTTACTCTCATTTTTTTTCAAACATGCCAAAAGAAGTATAACTTCAAATAGAGAAATCTGGTTAACAGTAGCAGTGAAGCGGCCCCCGCAGAGGAGGAGGGTTCCGAAGCGGCCTGTCCCTCCGACGCGTCCGTCGTCGTCGCCACGTGTCTGTGCGAAGAGACTAGCAACATATACGCTGCTCCCTCGGAGTTGACTGGTAAATTATATTATTCATAACTTGTTTTTAATCATAGGTCTACTAATATGATTTTCAAAGTGTGTGTGTGTTCTTGCGTGAGTGCGCGCGTGTGCGTATGTGCGCGCGTGTGTGTGTGTGCGTGTTTGTGTTTGCGTGCGCGTGTGTATGTGTGCGTGTGCGCGTAAGCGTGTGTGTGTGTGTGTGTGGGTGGATTTTAAATAATGTATTTAAAGAAAGATATAACAAATAAGTTCCTTTTGTTTTAAATATAAAATTGTAAAAATCGATGTTGGGTTAACGATAATATCTAAATAGTTATAAGGTACATATGTTTGTAATGAATCACATTGTAAGCCTGTTTGTGGTGTTAACTACTAAATAAAAAAATAACATAACAAAACTATGAGCACAGAGCCGGTGTTCTGCCAAGCCATCGAGATGGTGGAGGGCGTGCGCGTGGGCTGCTCGCACGCGGCGGCGCGCGAGGCGGGCGCGCTGCAGGCGCTGCGCCGCGCCGGCCCGCGCGCGCCCTACTTCCTGGCCTGCCGCCTGCACGCCGCGCAGCTGCGCGAGCACATGTGCTGCCCCACCTGCGGACTGTTTTGTACTCAGGTGAGGTCTGCTCATTTATAAATTGTTATTGGCGACTTGATGCGTCCTATATGTGGACTGTTTTAATATACCAATTCATTCATAAACCAATTCATTCCAGGGTATATTCAACCAATGCTCCAAAGGGCATCTGTTCCATCTAGAGTGTGGTATTCAAGCGGATATAAAGCAAAAGACCGGATGTCCGCACTGCGGCGTGCACTCGTACAGGTGGCAGGCCGTCAACCGAGAATACAGCCGAGTGCAAGTCGATATGCATTGCAGTAATAACAGAGTATTTCTTCCGGATCAAAGGGAACAAAGGTGAGTTACTATTTTTTGTATTGTTTTCCCTTTGGATTTTACGGGCTCGAAGGAGCCCGGTCCTTTGGAAAGCTTGCATGAGGACACAGGTCCAACACGTAGAGGCCCCGTAATATTCAAGTTTGCTTAATGTGACACATCAGCCGAGATCCATCTCTGAGTAATCCATAGGAAATAAAATATAACATGATTGAATATTTATAGTAGTTGAAAATTAAAAATAAGAAAATTTAAATTAAACAGTTTTAAATAAAACTATCTTTTCGGTTTTTTTTGCAGATTTTATTTTTGGTTCCTGACGTTTTGAATGCTCTCACCCGTGACATAATTGCTGTATAGCATTCGAAACGTCGAGAACCAAAAACCTAAATAAATCCGCAAAGAAATCCAAAAAGATAGCTTTATTTAAAACGCAAATATTTACTTAAATATGTATGTATAAGAAATTATTATGTAGATTATTATTATGTAGATGTAGTGTTATGTATTATTATGTAAAGAAATTATGATGTATTTTCCCATTTCAGCACAATGGCGTTTTTAAGTTTTTCTTCATTAGACCCGTCCCAGATGGATCTCGACCCGCCGATACCAGAGGAACTGCTGCCTTCTTTGCCTTTAGATCTGAAAAAGCTTTTTGAGACTGAAAGTGAAGAAGATGCGGATTATTCAATACATGCGCTGTATGAAGCGATAATGGCGGGAGAAAGTGTTGAACAACTTATACCGAAGATCGGTAAATATTGTATATTTGTAAAGTTTTTAATGCATTTAAAAATAATTAGATAGTATTACATAATATTATTATGATGTAAAACGGGATATTTACCATGTTTAGGATTTTTGACTTTTGAGTTCCCGATATTTCGGCACTATTACAAGCGCCATGGGTGGATGTTTAATTTTTCATTGGCAGACATAATATCTATTCTCTTTCTAATCGTTTTGTACGTCCGTTACCACTACCACTATGACAGAGGTCACTCGTAACTCGATTCGTATCTTGATACACAGAACTCACTGTATCTACTCGCGAACTTATAATTATATTTTTACGAGGTTGACACATTTAAAATTTTTTTTAGTAAGAACTCTCTTTCTATTTTTTTTTAAATGTCTGTCAGTGACCATGAAAATTTAAAGACTTACAATTTGATATTTATCTTTATTTATAAATTGTTCTACGTAGCAAGACTTGCAGCTAGTATAAAACTTGTATGTCTCAGACTGCATAATACAATGGGGTCTCTACACGAACAAAGAAAAATTAGTTCAAATTAATGTTAATAGATGACGTTACATCTATCGATTTGTTATGAAGTTGTTGTTAAATTAACAAAGGATAAAAAAATAAATCCCTTGAAAGGTGTATTAGCGTTTTAAAAAATATTCTAAGTGAAGTGAAACAAAATAATCAAATTTGCGTAATTTTACTGATTTTTGAAATATCAGCAATCAGGTGATGGGTTTGTAATGTATATTCACAGATGGCGTTTCTACTTTTTATGAACAGTTTATCACAGTTAAAAATTGTTAAAATAACTGATTTTTTTTTATTTGAATACAGATTTTACAATATTTACCATTATGTTAGCTTGTAGATATTTATAAAATAGAACAGTTTAATTATTTGCGAATCAACGACATCTATTATCTATTTCAGCAAACAAAAATAGCTCGAAGAATAGCCCGAATTAGAGCTGTCCAATTTCTTTGTATGGGATGAGACATCTGTACTATATAGTATTATGTGATCTGTGATAATACTATGTTTCTTCGTCAACTTGTTTTCATCGTTTTAGTTCGTTTTTTAGGCAGTTTTTTTTTAATTTTGTAATTTGTTTTTTTTTACTTTTAATACTAAAATATCCATTCCATCCTTCATATTGAAGTATATTCTATATGGTCCAGTCCGCGGCGAGCGTCTCAACGAGCCGCTGGCCGAGTGCGAGGGCGGCACGGCGGCGCACGCGGCGGCGCGGCGCGCGGCGCTGCCCGCGCTGTGTCTGCTGCGCTTCGCCGGCGCCGACCTGGACGCGGCCGACGACGCCGCGCGCACGCCGCTCATGAGAGCTGTGCTAGGTCAGTCGTGGGTTGTTTATCTTGCATCACTTTCATTCCTATTGGGAAAGATTGAGACTGTCTGATATTTCCCTCGTAAGATTTAGACTTATGCTTAGTCAATTATGTGTCGTTTACCTTGCTTCTTTTTCTTTCTTACGTGATATACACAGAGAGACAGTATGATATTTCCACCGTAAGACGTTGACATTACGAGGTGAAATACCGAAAGCTTGCCGCTCATGAGGTTGTGCTTGGTTAGTTATATATCGTTTATGTTGCTTCTCTTTCTTTACTCCTAAGTCAACTTCGCGGCCAAAATGCCACTCATGCAGGCTGTATTTAAACTAGACGCTATTTATCTTCCTTCCTTCTCTTCTTTATAAAATGGATAGAGAGAGTCTGACACACTGCAGACTTTTTTTAGTTTAAAATGCAAATGTGTCATGAGCTATTTAAATTTTTTTCATATTATTTAGTGTACTGCAATGACGCTTATATACTATAATACTATACACATGTTGTGCACTTTAATAGACTACCTAATGCGTTTAAAAATTACATTTTGATAGAAAGATTGAAAAGATTAAAATAATGACTGATTGTAAGAAAAAAGGATTGATGGACGGGCAGCGCTGATTTATAATTAATTCATTTTAATCTATACTGTATACTTATTATATAAAATTCTTTATATGAATGTTTGAACGGATTTCACTAAAAATCTATGCAACAGATTTCAATGAAACTTTTTTTTTAAATATTCCTTATGATTACAGAAGGCTATGTTATATTTGGTTTTTTACATAAAATTTGGGGAAGTGGGAGCAGCGCCATTATGTGTATAAACTCCTGGAAATAAAATTAAATTTTGATGTACAATAATAAATGCTAATACAAAATAACTTTTTTTTCTATAGCATTAGTTGATAAGGAAACAACAGATGAGGCAGATCACGAAGTCATTGAAGCAGAAATAAGTGTTCAAAAGGAAGAAAAAACAGAAGAAAGCGAAGAAGTAGATTTAGACGTAAAGAAAGATGATGAAGAAGACAAGACTGAAAATAAAGAAGAAGAACATCAGGAGGACGTTCATAAACCAAATAAAGAAGATCTCCTTAAAGTAATCAAGTTTTTGATTGCTGCTGACTGTGATCTAAACAAACAGGTATTTATTTCGATATGGAAAAAATACTATAATTAATAATTTTCTTTTTAGGAATGATGTATATTATTTATTCAAATATTATCTTTTTATAAGCTTGTAAGATATAATTTATCTGTGTACTAAACGCCAAAGTTATTCCTTATAATATCAGCTATTAGCCAGAACAAACAGACACAGACAGAAGTTTTTAAATTGTTTTTTTTTTAATTATAAGTACCGTATGTATTTTCATATGCGTTTAGTAAAAAGTTGTAATTTTGACATACATATATACAACAAACAGACATTTCAATTTTATTTATTTGTATCTAAGATTAGTAATGTATTCGTTTAGGGTCCGGAAGGCATGACGGCGCTGCACATGGCGGCGCAGTACGGCGCGGGCGCGGCGGCGCGCGCGCTGCTGGCGGCGGGCGCGCGGGCCGACGCGCGCGACGCCGGCGGCTGGACGCCGCTCGTGCGCGCCGCCGAGAACGGACACGACGATCTCGTTAGGTTGGCACTTGTACTTTTTTGTTTTTTTTTTTACATACAAAGCAGAACCTTTAATCATTATTTTTTGTATTCTAGTAATATAGCTCTGATTTATGATTCATGAGGGTCAATAGCACTAGCACAGTATTAAAGTCCGTACAGTAAGCGATCGTCTTTGATACTAATGGAGTTGCTTGGAAATGTATGTGGTTATCAAAATACCAATTTTTTTTGCGAGCGATTTTGAAGTTAAAACGCTTTAATGCAATTCTTTGCAACTTATTGAAGTTGGACCTGTCTACTCTAAAATCGTTTCCTATTATATAACATAATATTCCACGCACGCTAAGTACACTACATACCATATGCAGAGTGTTGCTGGAGCAGGGCGCGGACGCGGCGGCCGGCGACCTGGAGGGCAACCTGCCGCTGCACTGGGTGGCGCTGGCGGGCCGAGCGCGCGCGCTGGCGCTGCTGCTGCGCGCCGCGCCCGCGCGCCGCGACGCGCACAACGCGCACGCCGACACGCCGCTGTGAGCACTGCCACCATTTACTACTGTTATATAAATAATTAGCGACTCTCTCGGATTCTTCCCTACGTACGTTTTAACAATTGGTATGGAATAGAAAGTTGAGGTCTTGCTCTGTGAAAAACTAATAATATAAAAAAGGGATAAAAAGTTACCTATGTGCTCTTCCGGACTATAATCTATCTCTGTGTCAAATTTCATCGAGATCTGTTCTGTCGTTCCGTGGTTGATTGTTAATCCATCCATCCAAACGTTCGCTATGTTATTCACAGCGCATATGTTAGTCATTTGTTCTTTAATATTATATATAGATAAGTAATATAAAATACTATATCTAAATATTACTATATCTAACAATAGCCATAATAGATATAATCTATGTCTAATATCACCCAAATCCATTCGATCGTTTCAGCTTGAAGATGTAACAAACATACAAACTTTTTTATACTTGATACTTTTTACTTTAAAAAAGTTTTGTTCACGATATTATTTTTCAGGCACATCGCGGCTCGAGAGGGTCATTACGCCTGTGTGATGGTGCTGCTCGCGCACGGAGCTAGGGTACATATCTATATTTATTAAATGCTAAACAAATCTATCCCACGGGAACCGTACATTTTTCTGGGATGATAGCATTATAGCCTTACTCAATAAACAGGCTACCTAATACAAAAAGAATTTTTCAAATCCGATTTGTAGTTCCTGAGATTAGCGCGTTCAAACAAACAAACTCCGCCTCTTTTTAATATAGATTTATTTATTCTAAAATACTATAAAAATAAATGGCATATGATTAATACCTTTTTAGAATACTTTTTTAGATTTACGCGAACCAGACCATGATTGCTGTAAAGTACTCGAAACGTCGGGAACCAAAAATCAAAATAAGTAAGCGAAAAAAACCGAAAAGACTTTGAAGAACTTTGAAGAAGACTTTTGAAGAAGTTTTATTTAAAATGGCATATGATTATTTAAAATATCTATAAAACAATTAAACGAGTTTATACACATTACACATCATAATGTAAATGATGACATCATTTTAAAGACTGTTGCCTTCACAGTAGATATCTATCATATAAATTATTTCACATGTAACGTGAAATTTAATATCGATTCATATTTAATATATAATTTACAGTATGAATCAAACTTTAAAGAACATTAAAACAGCTCAAAACTTATTTATGTATTTTCTGATATATTTTCAGACTGATTTGGAGAATGCAGCGGGCGAACTGGCAGTTGAAGTGTGTACGGACCGCTGTCACGCTGCCATATTGCTCAATATGCAAATGACGCTCGCTGTTAAAGGCAAAATGTCGCGCGCACGTATACTGTCAAGGTAGTTACAGTCAAATATCGATACCTGCAAGGGACGATATTGTAACTTGATATTAAGATAATAGAACTTAAATTCTCATATTATTATATTTAAGATATTTAAAATTGCTATTATATATTAGACATACCGTTTTTGTTATTTTGTGTCTCGCGAGGCAATCCAAATATCCACAGGTTGCTGGTTCATATCCGGCTCGAAGGACCGTTTAATAATATACCGGTTCTTTTCAGCTAATACACAATTAGCTAGTTAAAATGTGGCTTATTTGGCATGTAACAAAGGAAAGTTCAAATGGAACTGATTGTATTTAATAATTTATATTTATAATATGTATGTATTTAAAAGTATATATGTGTAATGCATGAACGAATTAACCACTGGACCAGACATATAAGCGGACGTACCTTCACCGGTCATGTTAGTAACCAGGGTAATTTTAGCCTAGGTTGTTTGTTTTTTGTGTCAGTCTCAAGCACTTACTTGTCAACAAAACATCTCCCAAAAATGACTAAATGTTCTGTTAAATGGTGTGAAAACTATAACGGCGGAAGCAACACTATTTCTTTTCACTTGTAAATACATTATTTTATTACATTTATTGTTATTTATCACAAAATTCAATTTAATTTAAAATAAAATGTCATATTATCCAACTATGTTAAATATAGTCGATATTTCTATGTATTGTTGACATCTGACAACCATCATAAACGGGCAGGATTATACCATTCAGAACAAATGACAAAACTGTCGAGTGAGTCCATTTGACAGCGACTTGTGCTTGACAATGTCGAAAAATATATCGATATTTGACGAAATAACTGAACGAATTGTGTTATTTGTACAGTACAATAACATAAAATATTTTATCACAGTATCCTACAATCTGATGACAATAAATTTATAATATTTTCTGAATCAAATAAAAATATAAATGCAAAAATTATAATTAGTATGTGTACTTTTTTTTTTTATACCACATTTATACACTGGAATATTATTCCATTGTAATAATAATAAAGATCATTTTATTTCAACACATAAATTACACAAAATCAAACAATAATGTTATAGCACTAAACTTCTGGGTTGGCGATTTGTAATAAAACACTTTACCACTTGCACTAATTATTTTACTTTCACGATCCAACACTCACTTTTTCACAATTTGCGATCATTTTTTCTTTTTCCTAATTTCACAAATGTTTATTAAGAACTGAGCAATATTAGGAAAGTATCATATTTTTATAACTACCCGAGACAATCAATTGCCAATTAAAATAGTTCAATAACAGAATCAACAAAATCACTTTATTTAATTAAATTAGCTTAATATTTTTTTAATCTTTACAAAATAATATTTATTATATATTAATGGAATATACACCCAATATTCATTTGTTCATTAACATTATTATAGGCCAACAGAATGTAGCCATCAATGCCATCGTATTTATATAAATCAAATTCAAAAAAAATATGTTTGATGACATGTTTGGCTCAGTTTGTAGTGACCCTACTTGCTGTGCCAGCGGTCGCGGGTTCGAGTCCCGCTGGGGGCATTCATTTGTGTGATGACAAATGTTTGTACTCCAGTCATGGGTGTTTATATTTATAATATGTATGTATTTAAAGTTATATATGTGTAGTGTATCAACTATCTAGTATCCATAACACAAGCCTCGTAGCTTACCATGGAACTAGATGGCGCTGTGTGTTAATGTCCCAACATATTTATTTATTTATTATTTAATTATTATTTGACACATTATTATTGCCTCATTAATTCATTTATTTTAATTTATTATATAATTACAGATATTTTAAATTAAAAGTAGTAAAATATGATGACTATGCTTACAAATGTCTAAAATGTCATTCATTAGTTCATCGATATATTTATCGATTACGTTCAAGCACTAGAAATATTGTATTGTGTATCAGTGTTTATAATAATGTAATAAAATCTTTGTGTGCGTTATGCGTCACTTGGTTGAACTAGTTTTCATACATTTGTATTTTATGTCAGGTCCAGTCTCTAATTCGTCCATGGTGTAATGCATCAACTATTTGGTATCCATAAGCTTACCATGGAACTAGATGGTGATGTGTGTTAATGTTTCAACATATTTATTTATTATTTTTCCACCAGCGACTTGTCGAACGGGCGCGAGCCGTACCCGGTGGTGTGCGTGAACGAGGTGGACGACGCGCCGCCGCCCGCAGACTTCACCTACGTGTCGCAGCTGGTGGCGCCCGACCACGTGCCCACCGACGACTCCATACAGACAATGCAAGTGAGTCGCGACCTCTATATACACTCGTTTTGAATTGAACTCTTAATTTGAAATCTAATATTATACTTACATGACTAAGGAAAGTTAAGTTTTAAATAGTTATTAGCCAGTGTTAGCCATGTAATTTTTTTTTTAATTTTTTCGATGGTTTAATACCTATTATCCTCTTCCGGACTAAGAGAAATCCGTCATTCTTGAATTATAAATGGTGTAATTAACACGACTTTGTTTTATATATTTAAGACGACTTTTCAAGGCGTCGACTCAGTGTAGATTAATAGTTATAAATCCGTTGTCAGCGCGATAAAAAGTGGCGTGGAAACGCAAACTGCTTGCTCCTCGCAATTTTTTTTGTGTAATTTTTATCATTATTAATATTTTTGACATACCTATAAGTAGAAATAGAAACAATTCAACTATTTTGTTTATTTCCTCTATAAAAATCGTTTCTCATATTTTCAATGCTCCTTTATACACCTTTACATGTAACACATCAATCTTAGAAGCTCTTTATTTTAAGTGAGATAAAGAATCCATATTAATATTATAAATGTGAAAGTTTGTAAGTATGTATAGATGTTTGTTACTTTTTCACGCCAGAACGGCAGAACGCAGCTGGATGAAATTTGACACAGAGATAGATTATAGTCTGGAATAACACATAGGCTACTTTTTATCCAGGAAAAATGTACGGTTTCCGTGGGATAGGTTTGTTTTTGTTTTCCGGTGAGCCGCTAAAATAATATGAATTCTGTTTCCCGTAGGGCTGCTCGTGCACGGACGACTGCGGCGCGGAGTGCGCGTGCTGCACGCTGGGCGTGCGGCGCTGGTACTGCGGCGGCCGCCTGCCCGCCGCCTTCCCCTACCACGACCCGCCCATGCTCTTCGAGTGCAACCAGACCTGCAAGTGCAACATGGTAGGGGACACTGTTGTACTCACTACACACTCAACATTATAAGCTTTGGAATCAAGCAAAATAATACGATTAGTATGATCGTAATCAAAACTTCTTAGTTCATACTGGCCAGGTTAATTGCGCGAAATTAAACATTTTTAAAGTTATTGATGATAATGACTTTGCTTACTCAGATTTTCTATTGAGTAGTTTATGTCTGATAACGAATTATTGGAGAATGATTATATATCAATGCTAAATTTAATAGTTATATTAGTCAATAGATTTTTTATTCACTTAAACAATAAGCGATTTACACTAGCTTAACTCGGGTGCGTCCGGTTCTCGGATTTTATGTACGATTTCATGAGTTAATTTTTTGCACGGAAGCCTAAGTTACTGCTAATATTAGCTATTTGCCAGTGAAACTTTCATATATATTAAGTAAAAAGCTGCTATTTTGATATTACAGACAATACAATTTTATTTGTTTGTATACATTACAAATTACACTAGTAAAAGCGAAGTATGTGTAAACTACATGAACACAACATTAATTAACTTTTCATCTTTATATATTATGTAAGTACTCATATAGGTAATATTGATGAAAGATAACTAACATCATGCTACATCTTTTAGCAGTGAAGTAATTATATATAAATAAAATGCGCGAGGGGATTCGCGGGTAAAAGAAAGTCAATAATTTTTTGCTTTCTGCAGTCCTTCTCTATAAAAACTTTAACTCCTAAGCTCCTCATCATACATCATATTCCTCCGTACATGCAAAATGTTTAAAAAGGGGTTTAAAGTTTTCACTTAACTTATTAATGTATAGAAGTTGAGAAGGGTGAATTTTATCAGAGGTAAGCCGTTTCAAAAATATTTAATTTTTATATACATATTAATGCAGAAAGAAATGAAGCTATTATTATATCTATATATACATATTTCCGAAAGAACATTTTACATTTAAAAAATTAAATGTAAAATGTAAAATTATGGCCAAATACATTTTAAGGTAAGATGTCTTGTATGGATCCTTCGCCACTGATAAATAGATCATGATGAATGTGCAGAAACGGTGCACAAACCGCGTGGTGGGCGCGATGGAGGCGGCCGGGTCGCTGGCGCTGCCGGTGCAGGTGTACCGCACGGCGCGCGCGGGTTGGGGGCTGCGCGCCGGGCGCGCGGCGCCGCGCGGCGCGCTGCTGGCGCTGTACCGCGGCGAGCTGCTGCCGCACGCGCGGGCTGACGCGCGCATGGACGACCAGTACATGTTCGCGTTGGATATTAAACCTGATTTGCTGGAGGTGAGTGCTCGCTGATTACACTAAGTTTTATTTTATTAGGTATTAGTTTCAGTATATAACTCGATGTGTACGTGCCATTTATGACAGGAACTCAAAAAACGGTTTTCGCGAGCCGGATCTATTTTGCACAACTACATCCAATTAGTAATGATGAACTGTGTGTGTAGCAATGCAGCGATCAGAGCCAGCTGTGCGTGGACGCGGCGCGGTTCGGCAGCGCGGCGCGCTTCATGAACCACAGCTGCCGGCCGAGCGCGGCGCCCGTGCGCGTGTTCACCGCCGCGCGCGACCTGCGCCTGCCGCACGTCGCCTTCTTCGCGCTGCGGGACCTGCCCGCTCTAACTCCGCTCACGTCAGTTGTATTCGCTTATCCATACTTACATATTTCTATACTATATTATAATATTATAAACGTAAAAGTGTGTTTGTTTGTTTGTCCTTCTTTCATGTCGAAACAGAGTGCCGGATTGGCGTGATTTTTTGTGTGGATACAGTTGGAGGGCTGGAGAGTGACATAGGCTACTTTTTACCGCCTGAGGTTATCTCATTCTCACGGGAAAACACGTAAAACCACCCGAAAAAAATATTTATGATCAGAATTACTTGAAACTGGGTATTAATACTCTTCAATACAATTAAATAAATACATGTCTTAGCGTTTTTAAAAATTCATCCAATAAGAGGATAAAATAGAGAATGAAAGTTTGTATGAAACTATCTTTTTACAGCTTTTTTGTAGTTTAGCACGAGCGAAGCCGCGGGTTCAGCTAGTAAATTATAATTATAAATGTTTATCTCGTCTATATCTTATTTTTAACCTATTTCAGATTTGACTACGGGGACAAGTTCTGGTCAGTGAAATCGAAATGGATGAAGTGTGAGTGTGAAGCCCCCGACTGCAGATACCCCACAAAAGCAACTGAAACTAATGATTCATAAGACTTTACAATTACCTATTTATTAATTTTAGAAAAATCATGATTGTATATATACTACTAGATAATCATTTTACATGTGATAATTTTATCAATATATTACATTTAATTTTAAAACGATATATATTTTTTTGTTTCTTAAATATACCTTGGTATGGTGTCTTCTGGTCATGAAGTATCATCTACACTTTAATATCTACAGAATTTTAAATAATAGGTTTTTAAATTATTTAATTTTAAATCTGGGAAAACATAATTAATTGGATAAGAGAAAGAGAATCGTTTAAAATATAACAAGTGTATTATTTTTAGGGATGTTACAAATCTCATTTAAATTTGGTGAAAAGTGTCCTTTGAATTTTCAATATTCGGAATGGAAATATTTACTATAGTTGAATTTGCCGCGTTTTCTCAGCTTACTTTTTCGTTAGCAAGTCTGTTTTTTAATCTCAGAGATTATAAATAGACACATGCAAATGTCAAATTTACAAATAATGCTTTCAGTTCTTTTATTTTATACGGTGTTGTACCTACGATACCGGTTTGTTAAATCGTAACTTCTCATCTTTATTAGACGATTCGCTTCAAAGTTTTATATTCCAAAGTGTGTCATTTACATTCACAATATTATTTCAGATCTCTCGATATCATATTTATTAATTTTAAAGCATTAAGTATCATTAAAATCCACATTATTAAATTTGAATTTGCATTATTAATATTGTATTATAACGTTTTAAATAGGTACTTACATATTAATTCGGGATAACTTATAAAAAAACAATACTTGATATAATTAACGTTAATTTTCGATAGTGGAACATCACTATTTAATAATTGCAAAAAACTGGCAACCCACATAATGTCAGTTTTGTCTCTGAGATTAAAAACAGACTACTAGTTTTGTACAGACTTGTAGTTTTTTTTTTCTTTCAACACAACCTAGTGCCCTCTGCCGGTGCACTTGAAATTTGAAAACTAATGTGCGCCAAAGTACAGCATTATGCTCTGTAATTGGAAAAGAGGGATTGTCACACGAAGAAGGGTGGTTCGATGGATGCAAAAGTCGGTGTATGCTGGCTTTTATTTCATTTTTATCTATAGTCTGTGAATTTGTCTACTCGTTGACAAATGACAAGTCAAAACAATCGTCGTTGAATTTCAAAGAGTAACGGTTATCAGTGAGTAAATACTAAATATCGTAAATATATAAATGAAAATAAATACTAATAATTTATAAATATAATTACGAGACGAGAAGTGTCTTACATACAAACATCAATGGATTTTATGTGTTAATTATTGAACCAACATGAACGCAAATTCTGACTCCACGTCGAACAGCATAAAATTTGCTCCAATGCCTATGTCGGCATTACTTGCTAAATTGACTTCTTTTCAAAAAGATGAGGAAACCCCAGACTCAAGTTTTTCAACAGATGCTAGCGACGATTCGTTTAATGAAATAGTTTCTTCCAAAACGCCATCACAATACAAAACAAATAAATCACCTGCGTATAAAGTTACTAAAGATACTAACTGTTGTTCAGAGAAGAAAAACGTTACAAATATTAACAATAAAGAGAACTTTGATAATAAAGCTTTAACAAAAACATATCACAATATGGACAATGTATTGCCTAGTTCTTATAAACTAAATAGGACTCCGTCTATTTTCCACAATTCTGAAGTTAAAAGGCGAAATATTCTTATGCCACATGATAATAATGTTAAAGTGCAACAAAATAAGAATAATTCAGCATCAAAAAAAACTCCGGATAAATCAAAACCTCCCAACAGTAGTCATAAAACAAAAACAGCGACACCAAAAATTAAATCGGGCATACGAAAATTTACGCCAGGATCCTCACACAAAAAGAGTTGTAGCAATAAGAAAGCTGTAAAACAAACGGTAATCCAAGATAGGGATAAAGTGCGCTGTGAATTATTTGGACGTAATCAACAAAAAGAAGAACAATCTTCCATTACAGAACCCACACCAGCTGCTCCTGTTCCAGAAACGCCAATGAATAGGAAACCAATGCCTGCATCTTATGCAGCGACTCCTTCGTACCCACAGGGTGTAGTGGGTAATAATTCCAAAATTTTATTCAAAACTACTTCTATTAAAGATAAGAAGTATATGTATATAAAAAAGCTTGGTACTGGAGGTTCCAGCGAAGTTTACAAGGTAAATTATTAAAGGATTTGTAAATTTACTTCCTTAATATTTATGCAAGAAATGTAAGTTTTTTGGTGCTAAAGTTCTAAATTAATCTTAAATAAAAATGTAATTTTTGTACTGTGCTTTATATATTCAAAATTTATTGAAAGTACCAATGTGCTTAAATATCATTAAGTCTGTTTGATTTAATTATAAAAGAACCCACCCATTAGAGTTAGATCTAAAATCACATTTTTTTTTTCTGAAGTTAAAATGTTGTATTCTATAGGTGTTAGAGGTAGGTACATCCTGCGAGTATGCAGTGAAGTGTGTATATCTGGCCACAGACCAGGAGCTGGCACAAGGTTATGTTAATGAAGTGCGGTTGCTTAGAGAGCTACAGAATTCTGATCGTGTTGTACGTCTATATGATTAGTAAGTAACCCTATTAATGTTCTATCATAAAAAATGAAATAAGCTTCTTATCATTTGTTAAAAATATCTAATTTTTTATACCCATATGACATTTTTATGATGTGAAATGGGATAATTACCATGTTCTTAACTTGGTACTGTTACAAGCATGGTCACATGTATACTGTAATATTGCCGAAATATCGAAAACTCTTAAAAGTAAGTGAAAGACATGATAAATATCCCATTTAATATCATAACTAGTGACTTACCTTGCTTCACTCAGGTTTTTCCCTGGCCCTAGACTTTCGTCCCTCTTAAGGGATGATTACCAGGATAAAAAGTATCCTTCGTCCTTCCCAAGGTCACAAACTGTCTTCTTAACAAATTTCATCTAAATTGGTTCGGTAGATACAAACCCCCTACAACATCACAAACTCACAAAATTTACCTCTTTATAATATTAGTATAGATAATAATTGTCAGAGACTATAAAATTTAAGGACATTATAATTGAATAATGATTTATTTTTTGATAAAGTATAGTTATTAAACATTCTATTATTTTTTGTAGTGAGTATGATCGACAGAACCAGTTCCTCCGTTTGGTGTTGGAGGTGGGTGAAACAGATCTGTCGTCTTTCTTACGAGCGCGAGGTGCTGGTTTGCCGCCTGCACTTGTGCTTCACTACTGGGAGGAAATGCTCCATGCTGTGAATTATATACACTCACATGGTTAATATATATTGACATCTTATTCATTGCAAACTGTGACTGACTATATCTATATCATAATAGACATCATGGATGAAAATTGTCACCCATGCTAGCTATGCTCACATCTCAACGGCAAATAATACTCTCTGATTTATTTCTCTAAGATTTTATTGGGCCTCCTTTAACATCCCATGCCTGGGCACAGGCCTTCCTTTAATATGAAGGGGATTAGGCTATATGTCACCACACTGGCCAAATGTGGGTCGGCCTACTAAGCATGTCTATTAAAACTTACTAGGTTCTGTCAGACAAGCAAGTTTCACCACTATGTTTTCCTTCACCGTAGGACAATGTATAATAAATTGAATAAATATTTTTACTAATCACTTTTTTTATTATTTACAGGTGTAATTCATGCTGACTTAAAACCTGCAAATTTTTTACTTGTTTGCGGTCGCTTAAAACTAATTGACTTCGGCATCGCTTCAGCAATAAGCGGTGACGCGACGAGCGTAGTGCGCGCTCAGGCTGCTGGGACCTACTCTTATATCAGTCCTGAGGCTCTTATGGGTGGTGCTGGAGGATATGGAAACAGTGCTAATATCAAGGTATCTATATCAAATACATTCTTATATACACTATTTTTATTTAATCTACCCTTTTTCAATTAAAATTAAATAATTAATTTGTATTATTATTGCTGTTATTAGATCTCGTTCCGATCAGATGTATGGTCGCTAGGCTGCATATTATACAGCATGGTGTATGGACGCACTCCATTTGGACATATACCAAACCTTGCTAAGTTGGCTGCCATTCTCGACCCTAACCATAAAATAAGCTATCCACCAGCTGACCGTTCGTATTTTTATTTAATTTTTTACAACTTATTCACAATATTTTTTAATGTATTAAAACAGTTTTTATTGTATTTTTAGAATTCAAGCAGATTTATAGTATTTCTTAATTTTATGATTGTTGACAGTTCAATTTTTAATATTTAAAAGACATTTACTAGCTATTAGCTCATCTTATTACAATTAATTTTATCTAAATTTTCATGAACTAGATCTCCCATCATCGCTCATTGTGACATTGAAGTGGTGCTTAACATACAACGCGCGGTCGCGGCCCTCAGTGCAGGAGCTGCTCGACGTGAAACACTTGCAGCCTGCCAGAGCGCCGCTACCGCAGCCCTTACTGGACAAACTTAGGGAACAAGTTTCTCCCGAAGAGTTTAAGCTATTACAGCGAGCACAAATATAATTTAATTCAACTTTTAATAGTCGTCGCAGTAGATTTGTGGCTAATTGTAAGATATATTAGTTATGTTATTCATAAGCCACATATATATGTGATTAAGAGTGAGAAATAACTAATAGTTTTTATCATGTTGTTAGCCCATTTTATTAAATCTTTTGATTCAAAGTTAAATGTGTTGGACTAATTAGTTCATAATTTTGTAAGTAATATGTACAGTAAGGTCATGCGAGCATGGTCTTTAGCCGAGATATGTACAGTAAGAAATACTGCTTCGTATGCTTGTGTAGATAATCATTTTTACAGGTACTTGCTTCACTTAACATATCTTGGATAAATATCAATTAACTTAAATTTTTAGCTTAATTATCAACTTTATACATAAAAAATGTATACTTTATACATTTTATATGTAAAAATAACAAATGCTGTTGAGAAATAATTTTATTACTTTATTTATTATTAAAAAACTGTAATTACAGTTGTTTGTTGAGTGAAGTGGGTGACTGTTGATGTCCAATTAACATTAATTTTTAAATAATTATTTATATTATATACATATATTAGTAAATATTCATTCTTTGAAAAAAGACACTTGAATAGGGATTGAATATATTTATTAAAATTTTATTTGAATACAAAAAAATAAATAAAATCGTAGTGTAGCGAATACTTCAATATAGTGAATAATAAACGTTAAGCTTACAATATATCAGCTTGCAACTATGTACTGAAATGCAATTTGTAACCATTGATTAATAATAAATTAGACATTTACTAAAACAGTTATTTTATTAGAAATCCGTAGAGGGAGCTTCGTATTCCTCTGCTATTCAGAGGAAAGGAATTCATACCCAGTATGTATTCGTCCAATTTACCCACCGGTAAAACACTGTCCCTACACCCCGAGTGTAGACAAACAGTTTGGATACAACTGCACGAACTGGTCTTAAATGAAAGGAGCCTCGCGCGTTCTTCCAAACTAGCACAACAGCTAACAGATTCTAATAACTTCTACATAGAAATGCATAAACAACATCAGTCTGAATTGGAATAAGAAAGCGAGAAGAATCAGATTGCAAGCTCGTCATAAACCGCGCAGTGAGGTGATAGATAAATTAAAAACGATATTTTTTTTTGCTTTTTTAATAAGTTATAATATATGCGTAACTGACTGCGCGGAGGGAGGTGCTTAGTTCTGGAAGAGCGTGCGGGTGAAGTCGATGTAGTCGAGCGCGTTGGGTATGGGGCGCTCGGTCTTCGCATCCACATATGGCTTCATACGAGCCACGCAATAGTCCGCCATTTCCTTTGTAAGGTTCTGTAGGCAAAACAACGTCAACGTTATTTCAAACCTTTTTATATATATTTAAGTAATATTTAGAAATAATTATTTAATTTTTCTTTCTTAAAACACAATGCTAAAACAGAATATGCAAGAAGAACATGAAAAGTATTATGTCCATTTTCACCAACATTTTCTAAATTTCATAAACTTTAATAGTTAACATCAAAATTAAAGAAATCACATATAATCACTTTACTATATTTAAGTTTCCAAAAAAAGGTGAAAATAAGTATTTGAATATTTAAAAATTAAAATTAACAAATTTTCCAAATAAAAGACATAAGTAGTGTGACATGTATACTCACAGCATACAGCTCCTCCTTGGTGACGTAGGCGCGGTCCTGGTGCGCGGTGATGGCGCGGAAAGCGTTCTCGATCTCCTCGGACGAGTGCACGTTCTCAGTCTCCTTGCTGATCATGAACGCCATGTACTCTTGTAAGGACACTTGTCCGTCGCGGTTCGGATCCACAACGTCTGAATGGGACAAAAATATTATTTAAGAAATACTATTTTTAATGACTTATTATTTATAAGGCTTGGAACATATACTAACACAAAACTTAAACAAGATGTCCCGTTTTGTTTTATTACCATTTACCATATCAACATATATTTAGGCAGATCCAAGGGGATTTGGTGTATCGCTGGACACAGGGCGACTCTGACTTATTAATTGATATTCAATTAATAAGTCAGAGTCGCCCAGTGCGACACAAGATCAAGATTATTTTACTTTCCCATCCATCATCAGTAAATGTCAACATGTTTGACATTTACTGTGTATAATTTTTTTCTTTAAATGGACATGTACATACGTATTTCCATAATATTATAACGAAACAAATACTCACTGAGTATAGCCTCAAACTCAGGGTCGGGCTGGCCCTCCTCTACCATGGGCAGGTCGTACCCAAGCGCGCGCAGACACGACTTGAACTCGTGGTGGTTGAGACGTCCGGAGCGGTCCTTATCAAAATGCTTGAACATCATCGAGAACTCCTTGAGTGCATCTTCACTTACACCTATAAAATAAAATATTTTTAAACACATATTACGTTACGTATTTAATGTTCATATGTATTGAAATATTACATCCAAAACGAAATCCATTTTTAACCAATTACTGCAATTATATATTAAATATTTGAAGCTAAAATATCCAATATAATTTTTTAAAGTTTATATTATTTAATTTTATTTAAATAATGAATGCTCATACCCGAGTGGTTTCTGGCCTGTATCTGCTGCTCGAGGTTGTGCTGCATGCGCATGGACAGCTGGTCGAGCTGGTCCCACTGCTGCGCGAGCCCCACCGTGCTGTGCTCCGTGTAGCGGTTGTCCAGGATCAGGTGCTCCTCTAGTGCCGCGCCTGCAACAATCACAAACAAATACGTTTTATTATTTCATTTATTTTTATTTATTTATTAATCCTTTATTACACCAAATATAAAAATACACTATAAAGACAACTTTACAAATATATGTTAGTGTAAAGGTGGCCTTATTACTAAAGTGATCTCTTCCAGGCAACCTATATTATAAAGAAACTCATAGGGTGACATGGATTATGGTTGGTGCAGAAAAAAAGAACTAGTCTATAATAAACTTACTTAAACGGTACATTCTATATAGTACACACAAGCTTACATAAATAACATTTATACATTAAAATAAAAAAATATATATTTATATATTAGTGAAACATACAATGAGAGGGTACTTATAAGATACTAATGTACAAAAATACATACATCGTCTTAGTTTCCATTGATACATAAACAAAAATTTAACAAAGACAAAACAAATATAATTCAATATAGGTACATAAAACACATAGACAATCAGTGAGATCAACGGTGAGGTAATACAATCTAATTAATAAAATTAATGGAGAGTTTAGTTTTTAACCATTTTTTTTTATTTTATTAACATTATATTTAATAACACAAAATTAAACCGTATTTACGACAACTATTCGATAAGTTAAGATTTAAGCCTGTAAAATCGTACCAAGTTCCTCCAGGCGACGTAAGTCAGCTCGTCGAGCACGCACCTCTGTGGCACGTTGTCGCAGAGTGGCCAGTTGCGCCTCCAGGGACCCGGTGCCCTCCATCATAGACGTACTGTATGCAGTTAAAATACAGCATTTAATTTTAAACAAAAAAAACATTATAGGTTACTTCGTCAATCAATAAGTATTCATGAGGAATGATTCTATTTAATATTCACAACCCATAAGATGGCTGATTTGTTTTGAATTGTTTGATATATAAATACATTTCACAACATCTAAATCCATTTGGGTATTAGTAGAAAAATACAACAACGAAAATTAAACAAATATTATTATAGTACAATGATTGTATGTCTGAAGATGGGCAATGTCCATTTAAATATGACACTGTATTTATTTTAAAGTAACTGATGTGTTTTCTGAATGTGGATGAATATGAAATTAGTAAAAATGAGGAAAATCCATTATACTATATTAGTTTTTTATATACATCTAAGGTTCATGATGTTTTTTTCTTTCTAAGCCAATTATTTTTACTGCGATAACACCGAGTACAAACCGCGTAATAGCTTGGCCAAAACATTTAAGAAAAATACAATGATTTGAATACAATTCATCATCAATTAATTTATACGTAAACTAACTTGACCATACATTTTTATTTTACATTTATATTTTGACCAAACTATTGAGGCGACTAAACATATTTTAGTAAAACTACACGCATCATTCCGATACGTTACCCGTCCCAGCCTAGCAGCCGGTACCTGCACACAATCTCACACTGTTTATTTCGAAATTTTCAATTTTTCTTAAGACAATCTATATCAAAAATATATACTTCCATTTCTCTGATTTTTTAAATAGATTTGGAGAGTATTGACTACTATAATAATGAAGTATAAAAATTTGATAATTTTTAACAAAATTAATATTTTAACTTATATTTTTTTTAAAAGAAAATAAAAAGTTCTAGTTTACACATTAATCAAACTGAATACACTTACCGCGTCTCGGTAAGCCATTGGTGGAAGGCGTTGGCGTGCTTTGCGAACTCCTTGCGCAGTTTGTCGTTCTCCTCTTGACGCTGAGCCTCCTTTGTGAGTTCAACGTCGCGTTCCGCTGTAGGAGAACACATGCTAATTAGTGTTTTTGTGAATTGAAAGATTATTTTAAAAAAAAGGAATGACTTATATATTATTATGACATTTTTAGGGTTCTATGTTCGAATATTTGTATCTCATGTATAGGAAGAGAGTTGACATTTTCAGTGTGTATTTCAATTGTCGCTATAACAACAAATAATAAAAACAAAGATGGCAAATTTCAAAATTTCATTGAAAAAAAACGATTAGTATATAGTGTTATATATTTAACGATTGTACCCCTTCATGTGCGAGTCCGACTCGCACTTGACAGGCTGTGAATTATTAGCACATAGAAGTGGTCTATACGAAAGTATTTCTAGATGCATGTTTTTCTTTATGTTTATATCTATACAGTATACATATGAGTGTATACTGTATATTAATTCAATTTTGATAATAAGAATAATAATAATCGTACCTATAATCTTGCGCAGATTACGCCAGGTCTCCTCCAAGGCTTCCATAGTGAACCAGGTGTAGGGATTAGCGCCCACGTTGAACGACTTAATCTGTGCGTCGAGCGCCGCCAGCGCCTCGAAGTCGCTTTGAGCGGACGACAGCGATGCCTGAATACATGAAGTATTATTAGTTTTGAGGATCAAATACTCTTCCTTATATATATTTTGTTTTCAAAGTATATTAATAGTTTTATTTAACTTAATCAGTTAATTACTTTGTCATACAAATATTCTTATATTACCTGGAACTGCGCGTGCGCGTCACGTAGAGCTCGTATTTCCTCAATGGAGTTGCAGCGAACGGGGTCCGTAAGATCTTCTTCAGCATTCTCGAACCAGGAATTGAATGCAGATGCCTAAATATAAGTTTTAATGTTGAAAATTTTTACTAGTCTTAGTTTTTTATGTTATAAACGCAGAAGTTCGTATGTAAAGTTTGTTACTTCTTTAGGTTGAAACGGCTAGACAAACTTGCACACATTTTGATACCTACAAAGGTAAATTATGACTTGGGAGTAAAACATAGGTTATTATTAGGCAGCTAGTGCTCCACCCAAAAGTTCTATCACTTTTTCTTTATAAAAGACTAGCACTACTAACTTAGGTAAGTTAGGTAAGGTCAGCAGTTTTGTAAACACTTTCATGGGTTTAAATTTTTTTGGAGAATAATTCTTTTTCTAAAATAAAAGTAGCCTAACTTACTCCTTCTAACATCAGCTATCTGCCAACAAAAGTCCCATCAAAATTTATCCAGCCGTTTCGGAGATTAGCCAAAACAATAAAACAAAAAAAAAATGATTTTTTCTTATTGGTACCGTTTATACTTTCATATGCATTTAAATAAAGATGTTATTTTAACATTACAAACAGACACATTAATGTAATCTATTTATATATAGATAATGGATCAAACCTTCTTAGCAAAAGTGAGGTACAGCTCCTCGATCTGGCGGAACTGGTCTTGCAACTGCAGCAGGCGCTGCTTGCGCGCGGCCGAGTCGGCCAGCAGGCGCTGCCAGCGCGCGATCACGTCACCGTGGCGGCGCGAGATGGCCGCGCTCTGCTCGTGCCCCGCCGCCACCAGCTGCTCCTTCAGCGCTGTGATGTTCTGTATACCCTCATGCTCGAACGCGGCTAAACCTGTTTGAACAATGGAATTTTCAATCAGTTAGTTACATTAACAATAATATATAATTAATTCTTTTCTTTATGCTATATATTTATACATAATCATGTTTATAAAGAGACCATATTCACTAAGTGAAAGCTCTTTTTAAAATTAAATAAAGAAAGCTATTTAAAAATTGTTAGTTTTGTTTTGTAGTTGCGCGAGTAAAAAATTAAAATGTAAAATCTTATGTATGATATATTTACATTCCAATAAATAGTAAAAAGAAAAAAATATGTATATGAATAAAAACTGTATGGATTGACTCTGGCAATTTCATATCTATAAGCAATATAACATAAAAAAATACAAACCAGCATCAAACGTATCCTGCTTAGTGAGCAACGTCTGCACAGTAGAGAGATCTCGCCCGAACTCGTCAGAGCGGACGTGGGTCTCCTTGTCCGCGATCCAGGACTCGACGACGTCGGCCTTCCACAGCAGCTGCAGGTAGGCGGAGTTGTCCACGAGAGCCGCCTTGCGACGCGCCGCTAGGGCTGTCAGCTTCTCCAGTTTAGCCTGTACGAATATTATTTATATAGTATATTAGCATTACTTTTTACTAAATAATATGGCATAGATTTTCGTGGCATATTTGTTATATCTTTCATTAATACATAATCTGTTGAATGCTACAAAAATGTTGAACCATTTTGTCCCTTTTAATGTGGTTACTTTTTAATAATATTAGTATATCAGACTGTCACATACTTTAAATATACAGAAAATAGCAAAATATGATCATTGCAAAAAAATATATGAATAAAAATATTAGGCTTTAATTTTGAAAGTACCTTTAGCTGATCCAATCTATGGGAAAGTGCCTCAGAATGTAGGTTTCCGGCGGCTAACAACTGTTCTCCCTCGGCGGACAGGTCTCGCACGCGCTCGCCTCTGGCGGCCAGCTCGGCTTCCAGAGCCTCGTGCTTTTTGAGCAGACCTTGCACTGCGGCCATGCTGTCGCCGCACTCGCTCACTACTACGAGCTGTTGTTTCTCACTACACGATAAATACAAAAATATATCTTTATCATGGTAGGTTATAATTAATATATTATTATTTAATAGATGAGTGTGGTGCCGAGATCGGCCCTTGCTACTTCGACCTGTTTTGATCCCTATGTCATCTATACATATAATAAAATTGTAACAAAGTGGAATCTGTACATTCAGGGCTCGGAAACGTCACTTAAAATATCGTTTTTTAAATGATCATAACAGTTTTTTGAGCTATTATGTACATCTTTTTGTTCGCAACGAACACGAAACGAGAACGTTTTCAACAACCGGTTTAATCCGCAGGACGCGACCGCGCTCAACGTGCAACAACTAAACTAAGCCACGCTCACCTAGTGTATGAAACTATTCGTAAGTTTGTTCTGGATACCCCAGAAAAATACGAAAAATAACGGTTAAAAACGTTTTATTAACCGAAAACGATGTAAATTTTGTTCCTGCTCAAAAACGTTTTATATAGCGTTCTGTTCAAACGAAACCAATACAAATCGTTTTTTAGGTATTTATGACGAAACCGTTTCGAAAAATATACCGGTGTATATTAAATATTTTTTGGGAAATCTAATTGAAATAGACATTATTGTTGATACAGAGTTCAAATCTATAGTTTTTATAATTTTTGTCTGTCTATCTGTCTGTCTGTTACCGTATCACGAGAAAACCACTGGACAGATTTTATGAAATTTGGTATGATGATAGTTGCTTATCCGGGTCAACATATAGGATACTTTTTACCGCGGGATAATATCTCATTTCTGAGAAAAAATACAAATCTGCAATGTAAGAAGATACTAATATATAAAACCTAAGAATTTGGTTTTTGGTCATCCGAACGCGGACGGAGCCGCGGGCAATGCTAGTATATTATAAATAACAGAATTAAATTTTACTTTAAAGAAATAATTATAGCTTCTGAGATATTAGAAGATAACTAACCTGATCCAAGCCTCTTCTTCATCCAGCTTGGCCAAGAACTGCTGGTACGCTAACGACTGCTGCAGCTTGGCGCCGCGTTCTGCCGCAAGCGCTTCAAGCGCATCCCACGCTGTAGCGAGCGCTCGCAGTCGCTGCTCAATCTCGGCTACACCCACATTGCTGACATCCTTCAACTTTTCTCCAGCCTCTTGGACCGCTTGCACGGCGGGCTCGTGGCTGGCGAGCTCGGCTTCGAGACGCTTGTGTTTCTTGAGCAGATTCTGCACACCGGTTAGATCGCGACCGTAGTCGTCTGATGCTACTAGGAGTTTCTTCTCCCTAAGACAAATTATGATACATATTATTTTATTTAAATACTGGTTTATTTACTGTCACTTCGCTGAGATCTTTCTCTAGGTGCCTTACAGTGGCTTATGTTACTCCAGCTCATTGTCTATATGAGTAACATATTCGTACATATCCGTCCAGCCGTTTCAGCATAAAGGAGTAACATACATACACAAACGTACATACAAATTTTCGCATTTATAATAGCAGACCGATTAGTGCAAAACAATCTTTGTCTTTTCGAAATAAACTCACTATTTAGCAATTAACTCCGTCTGAAATTTTAGTTCTATGAGGTCATTCATGTATTACGTAAGCACCAAAGGGGAGCGGGAGGGTCTTTCCTTTGTTACTTATTGAGATAATGTTTAGATATGCATAGGAGTGGGGAGTTAAGAGCTTTGCTTACTTATGCTGATAAGGGGGAGAGAGGGGTTAGTAATTATATTAAAATGCTGCTCCCCTCCTAGTCAGGAATATCAATTCTAGAGGAAACAACTCACTTGATCCAAGACTCCTCATCAGCAATGTCCCTGAAGAACTGGTGCAGCGTGTTGGCCTCGTGCAGGCGCGCGCGGCGGTGCGCAGCCAGCGCGCGCACGCGCTCGAAGCGCTCGTTGATGGCCTCGCGCCGCGATCCGATGCCGGCGCTGTCGAACTGCCCCGACGAGACCAGCGCGTCCGCTTGCGCGTTCATGTCTGTATAGTATTTACACACTTTTATTTGTTTCACTTGTAACTGATTTAATCAAATCTTGGAAGTTGATTTAAACTGTCGTGTACTTCTAACTGTCGTGTCGATATGAAACTTTGTATGGAGACTATACTATATTTTTTTTGATAGAACTGATCTTATGATGGAGCCAGGAGGTGGATAATGAAACTTTCCTTTTATAATATTAAATGAGTAATTCTTGTATAAATATAAATTTATTTCGTGTATCTCGGTAACGACTCGAACGATTTGGCTCAAATTTTGTATTTAGATAAGGTTCTGTTTTTTAAGTTTATCTGAAAAAACGCAAATTTTATAAATATTCCATAAAACGCAGTAAAATACATAAAATGAATTAAATCATACTTCATATTTTACACTTTTTCATGTAATATATGTAATCCTTATTTAACTAGATATTGTATGTAGCCTTATTATACCGTTAATTCTGTCCTCATGGGCTTGAATGTCAGCTTCAACCAGTTGGTGTTTCTTCATGAGATTTTGCACTGATGCAAGGTCTTTGCCATTATCTTCAGATGTGAGGAGACTCTCAACCTAAAAAAAATAAGTTTTACATAATTTATATTGCTTTGCATTTTTTTAATGCGTAACATATTTTTTCCATTGACAATAATTAATTTATAACATTAATATATACCTCTCCGAGCCAAAAGTCAAGATCTTTAACAGCGGCGATGTACGTGCGCTGTTTGTTGGCCTCCTTCAGCTTGAGCGATTTCTCAGTAGTCTTTTGGGTAAGGAACTCCCATTGATCGGCGATGGATGCCAAGCGAGCCTGTGTGTAAGAAAAAAAAATGTAATATTTTAAATTATATTTGTCAATAATAAAAAAATCTCATTCGCGATTCAAACTCACGTGTGCAGTTTCGTAAATTGAATTTTAAATTTTTTAAGGAATGGGTTTTTGTTATATTTTCATTGTAATATAATAATAGTTTCAAAGATTAGGTAAAACAGACACACACATGAGTAATGTTAGGCGGCTGCGTTGTTTCCTTTTGGAAGTATGTGGCAATAACACATGGAGCAATGAAATAAGGAGGGGTAACTTTTATGGAAGACAAGTTGAAAAAGAGTCCACCTGTATGCTGAAAATAGTAGATGGCGCTGGTGTACAAAAACTACGATAAGATAGCTGCTTTAGCTGTTGTAGACGGATGCGCCATTTTTATTGGACGCGTATTGACGGACACTTTTTTTCATGCAATAAATTTAAACTACGATGTCTATTGAAAATTAAAATTCAAAAAAAAAATGTGTACCTGCACGGCGTCTTCACTTCCGCTGCACTGTCCGCGCTGAACGAGATTTCCACCCATAGCGAGCACTGATTGTATGCGCTCGGCGTTGGCCGCCAACTCTGCTTCGAACGCTTGATGTTTTTGGTGCTTGGATTGGATATTGGCTGGGTCCTATAAAGAAAAAATAAGTTATAAATAAAAATGTTTGGCCTCATTTTTAAAAATAAATTAATTTAAAAAGATTCTTAGAATTGCCGTTTTTACCTTGTAGCTTTCCTCCGTAGCCAGTTGCAACTTTTCGGCGATCCAGTTCTCCATTTCATCAGCATCACGCGAGAACTGTTGTAGAGTTTGTTCGTCTCCCAACCTAAAAATAAAATATTTATTTATTGCTTAAACAACTTTACCTATATCTCTTCTCAACTAGAACTAGAACTCTTACCTAGATCTCTTCTCAATTAAAGCTTCCTTGAGATGACGCCAACGGTCCAGCACCTGCTTGCGCTTCTTGTCGATGGGATCGGCAGCGTAGTGGTCTGAAGCGATGAGCTGGTCAGCAAGGGTCTGCAGTTGAGCGATCTTTTCCTCCTGTACAGAAAATATATACGGATTCAACGATGTTTACTTTATTAATTATTTTTTAAGTTAATCATAAAATATAAGATTCATAATAAATTCTTTGTCTCCGTTATTTACGGCAAAAATTAAAAAATCAAGACAAAACTGCGACAAAATCCAAAAAAAAACCCAGATCATTTTAAACGTCAAACATTCTCATAAACTAACAAAAAATTAAAGCAGTACACACATGAGCATTGATGGCCTTATCGAAGTCCTCGTGTTTCTTGATGAGCTGCTCGACGTTGTCGACGCCGTCGGGCGCGTCGGCGGTGGGTGGCGGCGCGAGGAAGGCCTCGCGCGCGCCCATCCACGCCTCCGCCTGCTCGCAGTCGCGGTAGAACAGCTGTAGCTCCAGGTTCTGGTCCAGCTTCATGCGCCGCGCCACCCACGCTCTGTGTACCCACGATATAATCAACATTCGTTTGTAATAGGCTTTCACTCTCATTGTCGATAAATATATAAATGATGATAAATATGGTATAACAAGCTATCTCTATTTTGATTTTCATTAAAATTCATTGAGGTATGCGGAAAAGTAACATTTACACCCTTATATATTTGTAAACTTTCCCATTTCAAATATTAGTTTAGTAATTTCAATAATACGTGAATATATAAGGATAATTCACTTTGAAAAAAAAAATAAAAATTACTAGAAAGAACTAAAAGTGTAAAATAACATTCATTAAAGAATTCTTTTCCGAGGTTACATGAGATGTCCCCAACTAAACTTAAACACCCAAACATAAATAGACTCTGAACACAAAGTCAGTAAGAATTAACTAAAAAACTCAACTATGGTCAAGATGTGTATATAGTAGATCACAAATAACTTACTTCTCAAGATCTTGTCTAGCATCGGCCATAGCATTGAGTTTATCCTGTATATCCACACTGGCATAATGGCCGCCCTGCAAGAGCTGCTGTCCGAACAACTCCAAAGCTTGGAATGTACCGGCGCGAGCATCCATTTCCGTACGATGTTCCTATATATTTGAATATAATTATTACATTTATTTTATTTAATAAAAATTAATTATGAAACACCAATAATTTATTTGAAGCCTTGTTACTTTGTTAAATAAATATCCCAATTATTATAATCTAACACGACACAATAGAAAAGGTTGAATTAGATTGAAAAAGTAACAAACAGACTCACAAAGCGAAGACAACAGACTATAATATAAAACAAAAAAAATGTTTTCTCGGCATATATAATAATGACACAAAATTTGAAATAGTCTTAATTTATTTTTAAACTAACATATTTGAGTATTATGTTAAGTGCCATTTTAATCTAAGTATAAGATTTTTAGTACTAATGTCCAAATTATTAAGTCAATTTATAGCCGTGGAGGAATTGTAAAATTAAATCTACCTTTTTTAGTATTATTACAAATTATAAATTGTTAGATGAAGAGAGAAATTCCAAACAAAATAACGCGTGGAAGGACATGTATATTCTTTAAGGCTATGTCACACTAAATAATCATTATAATTAATCTTATTGTTTTAAAATAGTAAGCTGAAGTATAAGACACACACCACAGTGCAGTGCCTTAAGTAATATTAGTATGACACAGCCTTATATTATCATCATATGAGTGTCGAAACAGAAGTCTGGCGTCACACATGCGGGTATCTGACCTGCGGCGTAATGCCGTAATGCGCGTCTATCTCCAAGCGCTGGGTCTAAAAACATATTATCACTTAGCTACAAAACTTTAGCAGCTTATTTTTTTTATTTATGCCGTATTGCATATGAAAAAAAAAAATCTTTTGTAAATATATATCTATAATGATATACGATAATCTTTTTTCTTTTTATTGAATAAATTCATCTGATTCTCTTAGTCCAATTTACTGAGTGAATGATATATAAATAATAAAAACAAAAAAAGACTGAATTTAAGTAACTAAAACAAATGAAATTATTTATTACGATTGATTGTTTACCTGATGACGTTCGAGGAGAGCTTCGGCGCCTGTGACGTCGTTGGCAAGCTCTTCAGAGCTCACCAGCGCCATCATTGAATTGATCCAAGCCATAAGGTCGCGGTAGTCAGACAGGAACCTTTATCAAAGACATTTAATCATAAGTGTATAGAACCAATAAAATGATAAAAAATATGGACTCTTAACTGATTTTAAATTAAGAGTTGCGTGATCCAGAGCAATCTCAGAAAACAAATGTTATTTCAATGGTCACGTGGTGGTCTAATAGTGCTAGCAACTGGAGTCTTCGACGTGGTCACCTAGCGCACTTGACTACAAATAAAGAACTACACGATCGCAGCATACTATTTATTAATTGGTCGTGGTCGTGATAGCCTACCTTTGCAAATCATAAGAATCGAGCAGTTTCTCCTTCCTAGCGTTGGCGCGCGCCTGCAGCTGGTGCCAGGCCTCGTTGATCTCGCGCTGCTTGCTGTAGGTGGCGTCGGCGGAGTCCCCGTGCGTGGACATGAGGCGGTTGGCGGTGTCGTCCAGTTGCCGGATCTTGTCGCCGAGGGCGGCCAGGTCGCGTTCTAGACCTTCGTGTTTGCCTGCACGGTTGTGTTATGTTAGATAAGATACATTTTGATGATTCATATAGAAAGTATAAGTAGAATTTTATTATAAATTTTAAATAACAAAAAGCTTAAATAATAAAAAAACTAAAAATGCGTCATTTTATTAGTTTTCATGATATACCACTAGTTTCAAATGTGTATTTTAGTTTTATTTTACTACACTTTGACACATATTTACATGCTTACTTATAATATAAAGTTATAAATGTATGAGTAATAAATATTTATTGCTTTGAGTTAGTATATATACAATTATAATAATTTATATGCTAGAGAGTAGTTTATATATATGTCAACGTTATTACGGTCGTCATAGATATACTCACGCTGCAGAGTCTGCACGGAGCGCAGGTCGCGGCCGAGGTCGTCGGTGGCGAGCGCCTGCTCCTTCTCCGCGATCCAGTCCTTGGTCTCGTCCACGTCGCGGTGGAAGCGCTGTACCTCGTGCGCCGAGCCCAGCTGCGCCGCGCGCTCTGCCGTCAGTTGTTGCAGCGACGTCCATTTTGAGTTCAACTCCTATGTACCGAGGAAATAATTAAATATTTATATATATAAAAATGAATCCCTATTTCCCTTGGTCACGCCATCACGCGTGAACGGCTGGACCGATTTAACTATATTTTTTTGTTGTGTTTGTTATTGTCAGGAGAAGGTTCTTATGAAAGAAAAAAATTAAAAAATTGCGCGGAAAATTATAAAATTTAAGAATACTTAATAACCATATTAAAATTTATATGGCTAACGCTGGGTTATAACTTTATATATATTTAAAACGTACCTAGCGACGAACCCGAGCGAAGCGAGGGTGAGCTGTTGGTTCGTTATAAAAGAATTATTTATGTTTTTTTTACATCTGAACATTGAATATAATTTTGTGATATGAGAATACAATTGTTGATGATGGTAAAAGTAAGGAGATATTTCACTCGTGAGAGAGATAAATAACTTTTTAGATGGAATCACATAAGTTTCATATATGTACATATAATATATGTAAAATAGGAATAGTATGTGTAATACTTTTTTAATTTTAAATTATATTTTATTCAACTGATAAGATTGGTAAATGAAATAAAGTATTCTATGTTGAATTCAACAGATACAACAATAGCACTTTTATCTAATATAATTATGTATAAATATCACCTCCAGGTAAATTTCTAAGAAATTAATTAAAATTCTAAGAAATCTATTGTTAACTGACACGCCGGCGTGTCCGCGGTCGTGGAGGGAATATCTTGTGTCGCGGTGTTTGTGGTCGCACTCCTACGAAACGGCTCGACCGATTTTAATTAATTTTTTTTGTATATTTTGGTAGGTATGAGATTAGATTGTAAAGTATTTTTCACCCTCGTACCCCCCCTCCCCATTTTTTAATCGCGATTTTAGTATTTTTGTATGAACAATATTATATAAATACATAACGACAAACCCGAACGTAAAAAAAAAGTCCCTGTTGAACATAAACAAAAACCTTAGAGTTTTTTTTTTTAGATTGTATTGCCGCGTGTCCTGCTAGTACTATTATAAAATAAATTAATGTACAACTTGTACATAATCTTACCTGCATCTGAGTCTTAATCTTCAGCGCAGCCTCCGTCTGGCCCACGGTCATGAGCTGCACGGCGATTTCGTTCATCTCGGCGAGGCGGACCTCGTTCGCGCGCAGGTCGTTCTGGAAGTCGTCGAACTTCTTCTGCATCACCTCCACTTGCTCCAAGTCCTCTCCCACGTCTTGCACTTGAGCGTGCATTTCCTGTTATGAAAACAAAAAGAAATATAAAAAACCTCGTAAATAGTTATATTACGCCATTCTCATAATAAAAATGCATCTCATAACTCCTGATACATTAAAAAATAGATTAAATGTAGAGTATGTTTAATAATGCAGAATAAAGTTACTACAGATTGTTCCAAAATAATTAGACATAATTCGTTGGCTCACTATTACAAGGTTCTATGTTAATTTTAATAAAGTTTAGTAATTTTTACATAGAACCTCGTTATTTTGTTATCGTAATAACAACAACATAGAACTATGTAAAATTGAATATTTTGTTATAGTAACGCTATCTAGTGGTTTGTTTTTGCAAAACTGTAGCTAATGACACAGAACCTTGTAGCATTAATAACTAAATAAGTACTAAAATTGTAACATAGAACCTTGTAATTGTGAGCAAACGATATGTTAAATTTAACAAGTGTTCCCTCCATTTGTTGAAAATACTAAATATAAATACTTGGCGTATTTTTTTATTATTTTAACAAAACATATTTATTTCAAATAAAAATGATATTTTATAAAACTAATTTAATATGCAATAAAAATAGTTTAAATAATATATATACCTTGTCCTTGATCCATGTCGCGAGCTCAGCTGCCTCTCTAACAAGCACGTACGCTTTAACAGTCTCGTTGAGTTTGTTCTGGCGTTCGCGGGCCAGAGCCAACAGGTTGTCATATTGCGCCTCGATCTACGTAAAATAACAGTATTTAGTTATTAAATATGTAGTTTTAAGTTTAACATTTAAAAAATTGCGTATATATTGAAACGAATATAAAATAATCAAATAAAAAAATTGGAATCTCTGTCTTACCTGCGTTTGTCTTGCGGCGATTGAGCTGGAGTCAGCGAGGTTCTGCTGCGAGGAAGATAACCCAGCATCAATCTTCTTAACGTAAGCAGCTGGTACAAATCCTTGGCGATCATTCACTTCTACCTTCCACCAGTCCTAAACAGAGAGATATGAATTTAATTTTATTTAATAAAATAAATATTATTATATAAAGTAACAAAATATTTAAGTAATGTAATTGAGGCAAAATTATATAGAGAAATATGTTAATAGTAAACTTCATAAGGATTTAAAAAATTAACGCAGATTCAGATATGAATGAAGTCAGTTAAGCAGATATGCAAATACATAATAGTAAGGTGTTATATTTAGCTTGCGGCTAACCGCAATGGTTTCAGGTAAATACCACATGTAAGTGATAAATATTGTGTAATATACGTTTTCCGATAATAATATAAAGATTTTTTTATAGAAAATAGTTTGACTAAAGAAGTCTCGGAATTAAGAAATAAAACTGCAATAAAGCATAATATAAAATGACAATAAACATTTATAGCTAAGAATCGAAGCTTGATTCGATTTTTAATCTATACTAATATTATAAAGAGGCAGAGTTTGTTTGAAAGCGCTAACCTCAGGAACTATTAATCCGATTTGAAAAATTCTTTTGGCATTAAATATCCCGTTTATTAAGGAAGGCTATAGGCTATATACAACCAAGGGAGCGGAGCAGTAATATAATATATAGTCTATTTCATACTAACCGTTTAAATGCACCTAGGGACGAACCCGAGCGAAGCATGGTTGAGTCGCTAGTCTTTCGATAAACAAGGTTTTGTATTAAATCTTCAGACACAATTTGAATGAACGTAAACTCAGTTGAATATGAAAACAGTATTATGTTATAGCTTTATTTGAATTTCATAAGTATCTGTTTACATTTCAGATTTTCATGAGAACGTGAAGTTGTAAGTGAGCGAAAATTTAAATAAAACTGCGCGTCACATTCAGAATAACAAATATCGTCCCATAAATATGAAAATAAATTTTAATTTTAATAAATTCACATAAATGTGAAAGTTTTGATGAATGGATGTTTGTTACTCAATAACGCCAAAACGGCTGAAAGGATCTAGAGGAAATTTGATACAGAGATAGATTATAGTCTGGAATAGCACATAGGTTACTTGTATCCCGAAAAAATGTACAGTTCCCGTTGGATAGGTTTGTTTTTTAGTTTTTCCTACGGACGAACCTGAGTAAAGCAAAAGCAAGTCGCTAGTTTTATTATAAATTGCTCTTTAAGCCGAACAGTCTTTTATTTATTTTTATAAATTATAGTGGGATATGCTTTAGAAGTGGCTACTTACGTCGGGACAACGCTTTTGTTTCTTTCTGCTATGAATAAACACATCTTCTAAAAGCACGATACATAACCAACTTAAGACTATCATTTTTATTACAATAAATATCACTTGTATCACAGATCGAATCACCGAAACAAAATAATTTTATAATTCAGACAATTCTAGCAACATTTTAAATACCATTTATTTAAAAAAAAGTATTTGAAAAAATTACGAGAAGTATATTTAAGAGATAAAGTTTTCACGCTTCATTGTTTATATTAACACTAAATATCTTAGTTTAGATATTTAATACGTCGTTCTCATATTGAAGTCAATTCTTGTAACTGTATTTCATGGTTACGTAAAAGCGACTGGTTTAAGGCAGAATCGCGGCGAAACTGATATTTGGATTCGTATGTAGAGTATGTAATTAATTTACGCTATTAATTTTACATTATTTGATTGGATAGCAGTATTATTAGTAGTAAGCGAAAAAATATAAAACAAGTGTTTCATTAAATATGTATATAAAAAAATATTTTAGATCTGTGCTTTCCCTCGTGAAGAGATCAAACATGTCGATTTTTAGTTATAGTTTTAGTTAGAACATTGTATGTTTTCCGACTAAATATTCCTTTAGCGTAAGGTTTGTGGTGGACTCTAAACCTTCTACTTTAAAAGAATTCTAAATTAATTTTTTTATTGCAATAATAACAATATGATTATCATACATAAAGACATATACATATATTATTATATAAGACATATTATACATAAAGACGCGAGAATAAATTAATAAAAGATTTGTATCTAAATATTTTATTAGAATGTTTCTAGAAACAAACAAATGAAATTGATTTATCATTGAGGCTCATAAAGATGTATTAAGATCATTTATCAAGTAGTAGGTAATTTCGTCATATTAATATGTTACTATTGTTAGTTAATTAGTTGAATGAGTGGTATCTTATTAAAGTAACTAAAAAAACCTACTCTTTTCCTAAGAACTAAGATTAATAAACTAAATCCGTACTAATATTATAAATGTGGAAGTTTGTGAGGATGGATGGATGTTTTTTACTCTTTCACGCCAGTACGGCTGAACGGATCTGGATGAAATTTGGTACAGAGATAGATTATAGTCTAGAATAGCACATAGATAAAAGGGTAAACTGCTTTATCTAAAGCCCAAACATCACAGTGCAACAAACTTCGAGATTGTTACAAATTATTTTTATGTACAACTCACTTGAGTATTACATCGACACTGTATTAATATTATGATAATTTATCTGATAACACGAAAGAATTCATATTTTTATCACTTAGCTTATATTTATACTTATTACATTAAATATACAGCATCAACAATTCAATTTTTAACATTTACTAAATGTTATAGTTTCATTCAAATATAAATTAATATTTCAATTGGTTCAAATTGATAATGATTTATTGTTTTTTTTAATTTAGAAAAATAATATGTAAATATAGTAAAGTTTCTATTAGTATTTGTGAAATTTTTGTCAATCTTTCACGCTGAAACGATTAGACGGATTTGGATGAAATTAAGTACATACAAAGCAGTGGTAGCCCATTTGTAGTCAGCCCGGGTCTCGCACTTCCGATTTTTTTTTATGTGCAATTCATTTCCAACATCATTACCGCTTGTCTTACGTTGAAGAAAAAATATAATGAAGAAAACTGCATATTTGAGAGAACCTAGCAAGTTCTCGAAAGACATGTAAAGTCCACCACCCACCGGCACTTGGCCAGTGTGGTGGAATATGGCCTGATGTCCCTTGTATTGAAAGTGGGACGTCATAAAGGGCTGAATATATTAGTACACAGATAGTCTATAACCTAGGGACCTAGGGACGTGTCTAGTATAGTATATTTACCTTGTTGTTAGAGTTGAGCAGTGTGAGCACGTCGCCGCGCTTCATGGACACCTCGCGCGGGGACTTCTCTGCGTAGTCGTACAGTGCCACCACGCACTCCTTGCCCGACACGTCCACCACCGGCGACTCTTGTTGCTGTTACATAATATATATTATATTTTACAATTAAAATTATAAATTTATAACAATTAAATGCTAATTGAAATTTCCCTCTTAAATAGAATGGCATTCTAAGCCAGGTTTGGCCTCCTCTCAGTGACTGATGTGAATAAATATTAAAATTAATTATTTTATTAAAGTATTCAAGTAAGTTTAGAGTATCAAATTTGATTGTCTTACTAGTTAAATGTATATAATAAAAACTAATAATTATAATTTGATTAGACCAAAAAGGGCAATGACATTCATAACTGAAAACATCCATTCAAATTTATTCTTAATCATCAGCTAACTAAAATTTCTTTCTCTTTTCACAAAAAGATCTATACATGTAATAAAATTCTAACTGAGTCGAATCTGTACATTAAATATTTTTTGGAACATCTTACTGAAATAGTCATTATTATTGATACAGAGGCCAAATACAACAATATATACGCGCGCGCGCAACATTAACATAGGCTCCCAGTATTTTTTTATTGTAAAAATAGATTAAATACCGTGTCATCAATATTAACCAACTAATATTGGTTAATGTGTCCCCAAAACTATGTGTGATTGTTATCTTAGTGACAAAACCAGTTAACATATCAATATAATAGTTTTTATAAAAGTGTCGAGTAGTGGTGTACAAAATGGCGTGAGGACTGAGGACCCAAAAATAAATCAAGATCAAACCCAAAATTGACTGTTCGAAATAAGTGATTCATACGTTATAATTGAGGTCTATATTCGGACATATATGTGATTACTATGCACTTTTTATTACCAATTTGTATTGTAATATCAAATTGTCAAGTGTGTGACGGTGATCTATAATAAACATTCTTCAATTCTACCGGCATTGTACTACGAATAATCTAAAGCTTAATGCAAAGCACTATTTTCAATATTATTTTAACGAAGACTTTGGTCCAGTGTTACTGAACGACCGTATCACGCGTTGAACCAGAGTTCTAATCTCAGTTAAGAAACGTCAAATTTTTATTTTCTATATTTGTGTTAAGAGATCATTGAAGTTGTTAAAATTGAAGTAAATTGAAAACATGTCTAAAAATAAATTAGAATGTTGCTTACGGCAACCTAATTCCAAAGAAGTAGTCAAATGTCATGATTGTAAAAAAAAATATCATTATGCATGTATAACTACCGCTAAAACTTTGTTTAATGAGTTATCTGATGAATACAAAAGCGCTCTGTCCTGCGTGCTCCAGACCTAGATAGTTCTAGATAATATGTCCTCAATCAACACGTCAATTGGATTTCTTGAAGAAAAGTACGAGAACGTTAATGAATAATAAAATAGAAAAGATACACAATCTAGAACATGAAAATAAAACACTACGTACCTCAGTAACAGATCTCCAATCGAGATTATCCCTACTTGAACAGCAGTCCCGAGCATGCAACGTTGAGATTCATTGTGTACCAGAATTTAAAAACGAAAACTTAGTGACGACAGTTAAGCAGATTGCATCGAATGTTAAATGTAATATAAACGATCATGATATACAAAGTTGTGCAAGGATATTGAAGATGAATAAAGACAGTCCGCGTCCTCGGTCTGTTTTAGTTAAATGTAAAAAGCTTGGTTATCGCTATGTATAACGGCCGTGTGTTCATACGTAAAACAGAAAAATCTGAATATATTTATGTGAAAAATATAGACTCACTTAAATCTTTGCAGTAATTTTAAACGGTAGTGTGAATGCATGTATCAAACTTATTTGTCCAAATTCTCAATGTTAACTTGTTACTACCAAAATGTCAGGGGTTTAAACACTAACATGCAAGATGTGCGCCGTAAGGTATTAAATTGTGATTATGATTTTATTTTCCTAACTGAGACCTGGCTAAATAGTACTGTATTTGACTCCGAGATACTCGATGATAGATACTTAATTTTTCGGCGTGATCGTGAAACAAGTCAATTGTCCTCGCATAAAAAAATAGGTGGTGGTGTTTTGATCGGCATCTCAAAAAGCTTAGTCTCGCGTCGTCGTCTTGATTGGCAAAGTGATCTGGAGGATCTTTGGGTATCGGTCGAATTAAACTTAGGAAAATATCTTAAAACATTACACATATGTGTGGTTTATCTTCCTCCCCCCGTAGATCTAAATACTTTAGAAATGTTTACCGAAAATGTCAGTAGAGTTATTTCTACTCACGATGACTTTTGCACAACCATAATATTGGGTGATTTTAATCTGCCAAGCATTCCCTGGTTTAGCCCTACTGGTCATGAATCCCACTCTAGTAATAGCTCACCTTTAAATAATTTGTTACTGGACTTTGTCAACTTCAATAGCTTATATCAGTGCAACAAAATTAAAAATATAAAAGGCAATATATTGGATCTAATCTTAAGTAATAGTAACGTAATAAAAGTTTGTGAATGCCAGACACCAATACGTAAAGTTGACTCATATCATCCTCCTCTAGATATATCAATCAATATAGAATTGAGAGAACCTAATGAAGTTAATACCTCTAAAAATATTTATAATTTTTTTAAAGCGGACTATAAAAGCATTATAGCAGCGCTTGATAATGTTGACTGGCTCACAGAATTCAGATACTGTCTTGATAATGTTAACGAAATGATTAACCGGTTCTATATTATACTATCCGATATTATCCAAAAATATGTACCTAAAACGCCAAAATCTCGAAAATCATATCCTATCTGGTTTACTAAAAATCTTATAAGTATAATAAAGAAAAAATATAAATACCACGTTAAGATAAAACGTTTTGACAATCCCTTGGATAGACTGGAATTTCAGTACTTAAGAAAAGACTGTGATGCTCTTATAAATAAATGCTATAGCAACTATATCACTCTTATTGAAAACGAAATATCTAGAAATCCTAAATATTTTTGGACACATATGAAAAACATCCGAAAAAAGAGTAGCTCATATCCCACATCCATGTACCTAAACGATTTAAAGGCAACCAATAAGAGAGACATTTCGAACTTGTTCTCCAAGCATTTCTCATCTGTTTATGAGAAGGACATTAGTACTCATAGTGATACTGCGTCAGTACCGAAACCGTACGTGGGAAATATTTTTTTGTCACAAAGTGATGTAGAGAAGAAGCTAAAAAGACTTGATACCTCGAAAAGTCCGGGCCCTGATAATATTCATCCTTTCTTTATCTTCCAATGTGCCAAAGAATTATCTTTTCCCCTATACTTAATTTATAATGCATCCTTGCGAACTGGAGTTTTTCCGGCAAAATGGAAGGAGGCTAGAATAGTGCCTGTGCTTAAAGGTGAAAACCCCTCCGTAGTTGAAAACTATCGCCCGATTTCGATTTTATCAGCTATGTCAAAAGTCTTTGAGAGTATTGTGTACCAATTAATATTTGCTAAAGTTAAACCTAATATCATCGAATCTCAACATGGATTTATATCTGGCAGATCCACTAATACAAATCTCATCACTTATGTCAATGAAATTATAAAAGTAGTAGATGAAGGTGATCAAATTGACGCCATTTATACTGACTTTTCAAAGGCTTTTGACAAAGTTAACCACACATTATTAATGAAACAATTGGAGTCCCTTGGTATAACTGGTAATTTGTTAAGTTGGTGTAGGTCTTATCTCCTTTTGAGATCATCCAGTGTCGTAATTGATGGACACCAATCTAACTCATTTACTGCATATTCTGGAGTTCCTCAGGGATCAATTCTGGGTCCTGTCTTTTTTAACGTTTTTATTAATAGTATTGCGTCTATATTTAAATATTCTAAAGTCTTTATGTACGCAGATGATCTTAAATTGATACGCAAGATTAAAACGTACTCAGACGTCATGTGTCTGCAGAAAGATTTGGACGAACTATGTAATTGGTGCAATAACAATAATATGTATTTGAATGCGAAAAAGTGCTATCATATTCAGTTCACACGAAAAAACATAAGATAAAAAGCGAATATTATATATCTGGTGCTCCTATTTGTAAAGTTGACGTTATTCGTGATCTGGGTGTCTTTTTGGACTCCAAATTACAATTTGCTGCTCACATTGAGCGTATAGCGAGTGCTGCGCTCAAATCATTGGGGTTTGTTCTTAGAAATGCAAGAGAGTTTAAAAAAATCTCAACTGTTATAACACTCTTTAATTGCTTTGTGAGAAGTAAGCTGGAGTATTGCTCTGTAGTCTGGTCACCTCATTACAGTGTTCATGTAAACAGAATTGAGAAAATACAAAAAAGATTCGTAAAATTTATGACATACCACTTTAAAATACCTCAGTCATATTGTAGTTATGAAAACAAATTGCAATCTTTGGGTCTACTCTCGTTACAGTCGCGACGTAAGGTACTGGATATGATGTTTTTACATAAAGTTTTAAATAATGCAATTGATTGCCCGCCGTTGCTCGCTTTAATCGACTTTAACATACCCGTAAGGATTCCAAGGAAACATGCCCCTCTCTTTCGTACTAAGAGGCATAGGACCATCTTAGGCAAAAATACGCCTCTAAATAGGTTAGCACGCACATACAATGATATATCGTTAAAAAAGGGAATTGACATCTTGCATGATAGCCCCGGTAGTTTTAAAAATAAAATTTTGAGTATACTTAATTGAATGGAATGTAATGAATTTTTCATACTCTTTCTTTATTCCTCAATTATATAAATCACATTCATCGTATCACCCTATATGTAATATAATAAATTCACAATTTAATCTATATATTTAATTTTTAATTAATTGTTCTATTTTATTTGTACAAAAATTTATTAACTGTGTGTAATTGTATATATTTTTATTGTCCTTTAAGATGTTAATGTTGTACTAATTTAATAGCATGCTGTAATTACCTCTAATTAAAAGTGCAATCATCATGTTTCTATAGTAACAAAATTATATGTAATTTATTATTGTAACTTTTGTTGGTAATTCTAAATAAATAAATAAATAAATAAATAAATCTTTAGTTTTTAGAATTTTTGTCTGTTTGTCGGTTACCGCATCACGGAAAAACCACTGGAGGGATTTTGATGAAATTTGGTATGGTGATAACTTGTTTTTACCGTGGGAAAATGTCTCATTTCTGACAAAAATAAAAAAACTGCAATGTAAGAGTATAGTAATATGTAAAACGTAATAATTTGTTTTTTGGTCATCAATTTTAAAACTTACACGACAAGCATTGGCCTGCTCCCTCAAAGCCTTGATAGTGTTACCGAAGGCTTCAAGATCAGACAGCAGGGCCTCATGCTTCTTCAGCAAAGCTTCGGACGAGTCCTCGTCCTTGCCGTAGTCCTGGGTGTTGGCCATTGGCTCCTTCTCTCGCATCCAAGATTCTGCTTCATTAGCATCGGCGAAGTATTGTTGTGCTTGGAGTGAATCTTCGAGATCTTGTTTGCGCTGATAAAGTATAATTTATGTGTTTTTATTCTATATATATATATAACTTAAATAAAGTCAAAATAGATTCGATTTTATTACTAATATTTATATTTATTGTCTTTATGATATAAAATTACAATAAAAAGAGTAAATATTTTTGAAAATAGTTTTTCCTCTATGAGAAATTTAACCATATGGCACAATTAATTTATAAAGTGTAAGTGTACCTGGAGCGCCTTCTCCTGCAGCTGCGTCCAGGTGGCGTGCAGCGCGTGCAGGCGCGCCGCGATGTCGGCGGCGGCGAAGTGTCCGGCGTCGCGCAGCGCCGCGCCCGCCGCGCGCACCGCCTCCACGCGCGCCTCGTGCTGCGCCATCTCGCCCATGACCGCCTGGTGCTTCTTCATCAGGTTCTGCACACCGATGAGGTCACGACCTGTTGAAACAATACCATTTATTTGGATCATATTATATTTCAAAACATTTAAATGAAACGCGATAGATAAAATTAAATATTAAACTTTTGACAGGTGAAGTGCTTAAAACCTCGCATTTCTTTATTAATTAGTTTTTAACTAACCACTTACTCCCACTTTACGAAGTACCAAATAAAACTTATGTGTTACTAGATAGGTGGTAAATAGACCTTAGTCTATCTGTGAATAAGTTTCATCCAAATCCGTCTAGCAGTTTGATATTGAAGCGGTAACGTATGTTACTCTACACACTTTTCTTCATACAAATATACTTTCACATTGCTAGTAGTAATCCTATAAACAACGTCTATGCAAATGGATATAGAAATATAACTGTTCTTAATCTCTTAAAACATTATGAAATAATCCATTATGATTAAAAATCTTACCTCTATTAGTAGAAGCAATGATGGGTTCCTTTTCACGGATCCAAGCGGCCTCGTCATCAAGGTCGCGGAACAGTTGCTGGGCTTGCAGAGAGTCCAACAGGCGACGCTTACGCACCGCCATAGGCTTGTCCAAAGCGGAATAACGAGCAACCAAAGCATCCTAAACAAAATATATATATTTATTACTTAATATTTATATTAAAGAAGAGAAATTATATAATGGCATTATTTACTTTAATGTATTTTCTACAGCCACAACTTAAATTCCATTTGTTGTTAATTGACACTAAAATGTGTTGTTAATTGACACTAAAATGTATACAGAAACAAGTATCTTATAATTTATAAAGAAACAGTCAGAAAGCAAAGAGTACTTACCCTCTTAGCCTTGATGTTGTCGGCATCGAAGTGTCCCTTCTCAATGAACTGCTCGGCCTGAGCGCGCAGGGCGTCGATGCGCTCCGCGTGCGAGCTCACGTCCGCCTCCAACAAGGCATGCTTCTTTTGTAGATTTTGAACACTTGTCAGGTCCTATATAAAAACAAAAAATAATAATCTATACATATAATAAAATTGTAACTAATCCGAACCTGTACATTAAATATTTTTTGGAAAGTGTTATTTAAATAAACATTATTATTGATACAGAGGCTGAATCTATAGTTTTTAGAATTTTTGTCTATCTGTCTGTTTGTCTGTTACTGCATCACAGAAAAAGCACTGGAGGGATTTTGATAAAATTTGGTATGGTGATAGCTGATTATCCGGGTCAACATATAGAATACTTATAACCGCAGGGAAATGTCTCATTTCTAAGAAAAAATACAAAAACTGCAATGTAAGAGTATACTAATAAGTAAAACCTAAGATTTTGGATTTTGGTCATCTGAACGCGGGCGGAGCCGCGGGCAATGCTAGTATAATATATAGTATTCGTTTAGTCATTGTTTTCGTAAGCCTAACCGCACTAGGTCAGCGTGGTGGACTACTCGTTTGAAGGAAGGCTCATGCCCAGCAGTGGGACGTTAAAAAGTGTTGAATACAATACACACAACTATAATCCACCTTGCCATAATCCTCACTGAGCAGTTGCCCTTCCACCTCAGAGAGCCAAAGCTCTATATCTTCGGAGGCGCGGTTAAACTGTTGCTGAGCGGCCGCCTCCTGCAGCTTGTTGCCCTTCAGTTCCGACGCCTGCACCAATCTCTCCCATAGAGAGCCGAGCTCGTCTACGCGGGCCTCGATTTGAGCTATTAAAGAAATCAAGTATTTATGCCTATACCAAATAAGACAAAGAAAAAGATTTCATAATAAAAAGAAATCTTTATATTCATCATGAGGTGAAAATTGTAATGCAATATCAACAATATTTAGAACTTTTGATCAACTATAGAGATTTTAATGGGTGTTACAATATATCTATTGGAAAAAAAAGACATGATTAAGCTGAACATTAATGAGTTAATCAAAAAAAATATGACCTCTCAGTTGTTTGCACTCCAATATAAAGCAGGGGTCATATTTAAAGGTTGTTGACCTTTATTATGCATGTGCATACATAATACCATTAGCAGAGGCTAGTATACATAAATATTTTCTCATTAAATTTATTTCTATAGCTATACTCACGTTTGGCAAAGTGCTCTTGCTCCAACAGCTTGCTGCCGAGAGCGTTGATCTCGTCTACACGAGGCTTATTTGCTAGCAATTCTTGCTCAAAGTTCTGATGCTTTTGTACTTTGCCATTTAAGTTAGTCGGGTCGAGGTACGAGTCGTCGGTGGCGAACTTGAGCTTCTCATTAATCCATCCTAAATAAAAAAATATATTATAGTAAATAATACTTTCTTAGATTTACGCAAATATTTGATTTTTTAATAAAACTATTTTTTAGGATTTTTTCGATCTTAAAACATAATTTTATTTAATACTAAACAAAAACAAAATAATATCAAATCACTTTTTTATAACTTACCCTTTGTTTCGTCACAATCACGTTCAAATTGTTGGTACTTGTAGGCGTCTTCCAATAGAGCGCGGCGTTGGGCGGATTTTTCTAGAAGAGCGGCGCGACGTTCCAGCAACTATTTTAAACATGATCTTTTTTATTAACTTCATCTACTTATTAATTATTTGCTCTTAAACTCAGCTTTCAAATTCTAAAATACCTTTTTTTAGAATCTATAATTCTTAGAATAAGACTTAAATAAAATCAAATTAATATGATTTAAATGATGTTTTACCATCTCCCTACGTTGGGCGACATCGTCAGCAGCATAATGTTGCCCTTCAATCAACTTGGTGGCGAATTCGTCCAGAGCCTTGATCTTCTCTTCTTGAGCCGCAAGAGATTTCTCGAAGTCCTCGTGTTTCTTAAGAAGGGCTTCTACTGAATCCAGGGAGTCGCCGACATCCTCGTTAGCGAGGAAGGCCTAATAAAAATAAGACGAATATTCAGAAAATTATACATTTTTCTGCTATAGTTTTATTAAACTGAAAATGATAAAATGACAAGTATAAATAGTTATCTCATTTTTAGTAATGTCAAAACACTCCAAATGACAAAAAAAAAACTTTTTTTAGTATGAGACACACCACATTTTGTCTGGCCTTTTTTTGGTCATTTTATTTATTTAATAGTGATTTTCGTTATTTTTATCGTGTAAGCAGTAACCCACCTCCTGCTTATGCATCCATGCGTCAGCCTGCTCGGTGTCGCGGTAGAAGAGCTGCAGGTCCATGCACTGCAGGTAGAGCACGCGGCGCTGCTCCCACAGCGCGTGCAGCGCGGCGCGGTCGCGGCGCAGCGCGTCCAGCGCGGCCTGCACATCTGCGGCGCCGCGGTGCCCGCCCTCCACCAGCGCCTGCCCGCTGCTCACGCACGCGTTCATCACGTCCTCGCGTGCGTCCATCTCGCCCTGTTTTTATGGTACATTTTGAAATATTATTTTTATGTTAACTTCTATTGATATTTTTATAAAAAGTAAAAGACATTTTTTTTACAAATTAACTTATGACTTTGAGAGAGAACTATATTTTCAAGACGTCAAAAATCAAAATAAAATCGCAATAAAATTGACAATATACTGTTGTTTAATGAAATCATTGAAATTGAAATAATTTTATCTTTAAGTAGTCTGCACAGAGTGCAATACAGGCTTCGAACGAAAAGAATTAAGGCATACTAGCTTTTCGTTTTAAAAATTGTATTTAGTTAAGGAAAAACACATACAATCATTTTTAATAGTAAATTATTAAAAAAAGAAATACATCTTTTTTATTTTTTATTTTATGTTTTTACAAAAAGAAAGAAAATTAAAGATGTAATCAAATTAACGTTCAACTGAACCTAGAAATGTCCGTTCTTTTGCAAGATATACAATATTTCAATTCAAACATACCTTATGTTCCTGATGTCTTTCAAGCAGAGCTTCAGCTCCGGGCACGTCCTTGGCGAGATCGTCGGCGGCGATGAGCGCGCGGATGTCACTCATCCAGGAGATGAGGTCGCGGTAGTCGGCCAGGAAGCGGTGCAGGGCGTGTGAAGATTCCAGTTCAGTACGACGCTCCTACATTTGAAGAACGTGTATGGCAAGAGTATGTAAAAATTTTGGATAAAAACAATAGCTCCTCCTTTTTGGAATTCGGTAAGACATTGTATACAATTTGTTATAACGTAATTCTATGAAAAAATAAAAATAAATTATGTTTCAAATGAATGTGATATAGTTGGTAATTTTAATCTATAATTTTTTGTCCTAAAAAAATTATGATTTTAATATTCTTTTAATCATTAAATTAAGACAAAATAACAACATTTAAGGAAATACTAAAATAAATACATTAAAACTATTATTATTACATAGCATTACCTGAGCCTTTTGTACAAGTCGTTGCCAAGCCTGTGTAATCTCGTCACGCTTGGAGTGTATGGCGGGCGCGTGGTCCGCGTGTATGCCGGCCAGGCGCGCCGCTTCTCCATCCAGAGTTGCTACTTTGTCTTCGAGTGCGGCGAGATCACGTTCTACACCCTCGTGTTTACGCTATGTATAAAAATATATAGTTATTAATAAAAAGATAGATGATGGAGATAGCTAACTGAAACTTAAGGTGGACTAATGTCATTAATATTATAAATTTGAAAGTTTGGATGGACAGATTCTTCTTACTCAACCACGGCAGAAAGTCTGAACGAATCTAGATGAAATTTAACATAGAGATAGATTATAGACTGAAATAGCACATAGGTTATTTTATACTGGAAAAATCTACGGTTCCCGTGGGATAGATTTGTTTTTGTTTTTCACAGAGCAAGAAGGGTTCGACTATCTGTTCTATACCAACTGTTAAAATATACCTAGGGGACGAACTCGAGTGCAGCTAGAGTGAGTCGTTAGTGTTAAATATTATTTTTTACGATATGGTAATGATAATTCTATAAACACTTTACCTGCAAAGTCTGAACAGTCGCCAAGTCCCGACCATAGTCATCAGATCCCAGGACGACATCTTTCTCGGAGATCCATGCGATGGTCTCATCGGCGTCACGGTTGAAGCGCTGTATCTCGTGTGCGCCGAACAAACGCTCCTGGCGCATGAGCGCCATCTGACGGAGACGCTGCCAGGCCTCGTTGAGTTCCTATTATAAATTTAAAATTACTATTGTTTCCTTTTACGTTATTGATAAAGAATTAAACTAATTCTTTGGTTTAGACAAAGCAATTCAAACATTTATACTGTTTAGGGGGCCATTGAGGTGGTCAGTTATCTGTCAATTAAATTAACAATAATAACTAATAATTATGATCCATTTCTACACAATCAATACATACATTTTATCACATACATATAAATATTAAATACTAATAATATACATATTACACTCAATATTAAAATTAATGTAAATAACTAAAATTCTTAATCAATAACTTACATCCTTCCTCTTTACAATGGTTTCCCTCTCAGGGTGACCCTCCAGCACAAGCCGCTCGGCGAGCTGGTTAACTTCTGTGACACGATACTCCTGAGCTGCCATGTCCTTTTGGAATTCATCGAATTTGCGCTGCAATACTTCAACATGCTCCAAGTCTGATCCAAACTCGTCAGCGCAAACAAATGTCTCCTACAAAAAATATTATTTTTAATAATTTCTCTTCTTAACTTCTTCTTTCTCAATGCAAATCTCGACAATTTTTTTACTTATTGCGATAAAGTTTTTAAGCACTTTTACATGAAAAAAAAATATATTGAAAAAGTTTTTTAATAACATAGTGTCAATTTTGCTGAAGTTCGGCACCAGATGAAGATGAAAAGCATCAACTTCTACAAGAAATTCGAATGTCACGAAAGTATATCATAGTATTTGAGTACAGAGTACATTTTCGTGTTCAATTTATTATGCAAACTTTAAAAATCAATTTAAGATTTAAAAACAAAGACTTCAAACAAAGCATAAGTAATCAAACTACCTTGTCATGAATCCAAAACATAACTTCATCGCAATGCCGCAAGAACTGAACCAGAACTAAGGCCTGTTGCAGCTTCATGCCTTTCTCAGCGAGTCTTGACAACAAGAGCTCCCACAAACGGTGTAGTTCATCGAGTCTCTTGCGAATTGTTTCAGAAGCGAAATGGCCAGCTGAGATCATTTCACTGCCAGTGTTGTCCAGGACCACGATCGCGTTGGAATGAGCAGCCACCTCGGCTTCGAAAGCCTGGTGCTTTTGAATCTTGGCCTGTTGATATTATGTTAAAATAAACAAAAAAATGTTCAACATTTGTATAGAAACTTATGTTTTTGTTACTAACTTATTTAAAAATACTTCAAATACAATTCTTAAAAAGTATACATATTCACTTCTAATAGATAGTAAAATATGTAAAAGCTGATATAACTATTGGAAAATAATCTTAAACAATTATATTGAGTTTAATAAAAGTTAGATAGTTGGTTTTAATTTTATTATATTATTCACGACGTAATTTTCTCACATCATATTAAAACAAATATTTTAAGTTCAAATTTAATTCTAAATCTAGCACGCAACCATACCTGTAAATTAGTAGGGTCTTTGTAGCTCTCATCGCTAGCAGCTTGGAGCTTCTCTTGAATCCAGGATTCCAGTTCATCAGCGTCACGTTTGAAGTATTGGAAGCGGCGAGAGTCTTCCAACTTCTCACGCTTGGCGCGAGCCTCTTGCTTGAAGTCTTCATAGCGGTTTAACACCTACAATCATTTTTGAGCTAGTTTAAGAATATCTACACTGATATTACAAAGAAGTTAAGTTTGTAAGTTTGTATGTGAGGGCATAGGAGATAAAGCTAAGTCTCTACTACCTGATAACTACTTATCCAATTATGAACATTTTTTTCTAATAAGAAACTACTACTACTAGAAGTAAGGGTTAGTCGCTAATTAATTATAATGTTTCTTTAGACTTTTAGCTGACGAAGATGACTCTCGCTATGAAGTCTACTTAACCAATTCAAATAAAACGCTGGTTTTAATTCAGACTATTAAATTATATTTAAATAAAATCTACGCGTGAATTGCAAGTTATATAGACCCTAACGCAGATGGAAACTAGAGAGCAGCAGTAAATATCTGCAATCTTCACGTTGTTTACAAGTGATTCATTGTAATCTTAAGAGAATAATATTTTATTGTAAATTATGAAACCAACAACATATTTTTTTCAAATAAATAATATTTCGCCCATTAACTAAGCGTCGACCTTATTCGTAAGATGAATTTAATTGATATTATTATACAAGTTTAATGAACCTAAATTCGATTTTTTTATATTACAGTACATACCTGTTCACGTCGCTCTTGAATATCCTCCGCAGTTTCGAGGATCTTCACCTCCTTAGGTGGAGGGATCTGCTCCATATTGGATGCGTTCAATTACCTGTAACAAATCATATACTAATTATAATTTAATTATTATTGATACACAAGATGATAACATCAAGCAATGCACCGTCCGGAAGACAGTATCCGAGCATAGGACTGAGAAATTCTGCCCTTTTATTTTTAGGACGATGTGACCATTTAATTATGCATATTTTTTTAAATAAATACTATCATAATAATCAGCCGGTTAAAAATATTTTTTTTGACGTTGTTTTTTAGCAAGTTCGGAGAGGAGGACGATTTGATTCAAACTATCTGTATTGTAGGACAACATGTTTTTCTTATTTTATGTTAGACTAGTATTGCACACGGCTTCGCCCGCGTGCAGAAGACCAAAAATCAAATTCTCAAGTTTTACTTATGAGTATACTCTTACATTGCAGTTTTTGTATTTTTTCGAATCATTATTGCAGTTTTTGTAATTTTAAAAGTATCCTATATGTTGACCCGGATAACCAGCTATCATCATACCAAATTTCATCAAAATCTGTCCAGTGATTTTCTCGTAATGCTGTAACAGACAGACATACAAAAAATCTTAAAATTATAGATTCGGCCTCTGTATCGATAATAATGTTTATTTCAATAAGATTTTCCAAAAAATATCTAATGTACAGATTCTGCTTAGTTACGATTTTATTATATGTATAGATTAAAAAAAGGCGTGATTTACTATGCACTAGGAACTATTGGCGTTTGAAAAAATAAGTATTTGCCTCGCCAAAAACTATGATAGCATAATTCCTTCGAACATTGAGAAATGAATTGATTTCGACTGTTAACAACATAGCGAGAGAAAAGATAAATACGATACGTTTAAAACGGTCTTAGCTCTTATTTGACGACACGTTTGGCTCAGTTTGTAGTGTGTGTAGTGTACTTGCTGTGCCAGCGGTCGCGGGTTCGAGTCCCGCTGGGCGCATTCATTTGTGTGATGAGCACGAATGTTTGTACTCCAGTCATGGTTGTTTATATTTATAATATGTATGTATTTAAAGTTATATTTGTGTGTAGTGTATCAACTATCTGGTGTTCCAACATATTTTATTTGATTTATAAATGTATTTATTACTTACGAGTTTTAGTTTTACCACAGATCATATAATACTATAGGTTTTATGAAGTCTACATATAACTTAAATACTTTGGAACCTGCAGTTTCATGATTTTATCAACTACAATTGAGCAACCTTGTTGCCTAGGCCCCTAGGGATAGAATGTATCAAGTGTTCCAAAGTGGAATATAGTATGTGCTGATTGAATGTAATACGCCGTGGGCGTGGCTCTTCCTCTTTTAGGCTCTAAATACAAAGTTTATAGGATCAGTAAGCTGTAGGTATGATAACATTTGTTGAAATATTTTCTTACCTGCTTTTACATAATTTTCATTAAATGATTTTATAAAGGTTGTATACAGTGAAGTTACTATATTATTTGTATGTTGTATTAGTTGTATTATTGTTAGTTTATATATTAATCTTATGGCCTTATCAGTATACATATTTTTTATAAAATAGCAAGATACATGAAATTTCTGTAGTTTACAAAGATATGCGAGCATAGATGTTTTTTTTTAATTCTGGGAAAATAAATTTTCATAAATACATTACCATTCCAATATCATCACAACTAGATTAGCATTTAGGATATTTGTAATCCCAAAAAGATCAAGACAATTTGCTTTAACATTTATAAAAATTGTTTAATACCATGTATTTCATTACAAATAGATTAAAAATTTTAGTTATCTTTTATTCATTTTTAGTGGTATACATGTAAATTTAAACCTTTCACACAGCAATACAGAAAAGGTCTAAGATTGACATAAGATATTTTAATCTCCGTATGTAACTCCTGTGGAATATTTGATTAGTTTAAAATACTTTAAAAATAATATTGGATATATATAAGCATAGCATAAGCATAGCAATGAGCAGCTTTTAGTATCACATATACAATTTAATAATTTATACTATAAACACAATTTTAATTTAAGTAAAAGTAACTGAGATCAATAAGGAATGCATATAAGACTATAATTATCTCAAAAAACTTGAATATTTATAATAATATCAACATTAAAATTTAACTTTTTAAATTTTATAAAATGATAAAGTAATACAATAAAAAAAAACAATTATTTTTTATTACTAAATTTTACTTTAAAAAGGCTCTTAATAGTACCAAACAAGCTCATTAGTTGTAATGCCTAAGGTCAGTCTACATTGACATCAGTATTACATCACATGGCCTTGTGAGTCATCATATTGTAATCCAGCTCTTCAAGTTGATAACAGAACCTTTTAAAGCAAAACTTGTTGTTGTCTGCACTAATTATAATCAAATGATCCATACATTTTATATATAAATTATTTAGATAAGAATCTAAAAGTTTTACTTTTATCTAATTTAATTAAATTGCAGTTCAAAGATACATTATTTTAAGGAGAAAGCAATTGGATAGCCTTATCAAAAGGATCTATACCCTTAAATACTTTGATAATAAGCTTACTTATACTTTATACATATTGGCAAAACAAATTAAATCTTTTTGTTAATGAAAATAAGATCTAATTTGTTTTACAAATGTGAATAAAGGATAGTGAGCTGAATAACTAAATATATACATAATGATATTGTAGTAAATTTTAAATAAATATGCAAAATGAAAGCCTTATTATTTAAAAAACAATATTCTATTCTTGTTAAATAAAAAAATACAAAAAACTAAAAGAGATAATATTGACTTATTCAAAGATAATAAAGCACTTATTGATTAGATGCAATCTAGGTCATGTCAATCTAGTGATCTACAAGTATAAATTTTACTTAGTTTCTGATCAAAGCTATGGGTGGGCATATTTGTTACTTGTTATTAATTTAAATTTTTATCAAGATGTGCTTATTTAATTAGAAAATATTTAAAAATTACCTTTTTTGCCAGCTATATGGAGACTATATTATGGAGTCTATGTAACTCTTGGTTGGTAGTCATGATAATCAATAATAAAGACAGCAATGCAGCTGAACGGTGTTGTTATTCACGACACTTACGGCAAGAATATAAAACTCCGTGAAAGTATATAGCGTAATGGCAGCTATTCTGCAGTGCTCGCTCTAGATTCACTAACCGTCCGACCGACTCAAATCTCAATCGTCCGATGGCCCGTTGTATGATATGGCTACCTATACACTTCCCTTTTATATACAATGACGTAATATTCCAAAATAAACCTAATAAGGATAACGGTATAACTATTTATATACTTCCTTAGAAAATACAAGTTTACACTTTATCAACACAGAATACAAATAGGACAATTCTGTTCAAATTATTAATATTAATGAAAATATTCAATAGAAATCGAAATTATAAATGAAAAGGATATATGAATTTCGGCGATATATGGGTGTGTCAGATAAGTTGTAGAGTTGTGGAAAAGTATACAAAAACTGAATATTAAAACCTAATACCTAGAGTATTAAAATATTGGGACTTACCAAGAGTTAAGAATGAGCACTTAAACTGATTAATGATATTTTATTTAGCACTTCTACGGGTTTTCTGAGAAAATCGTTCGTTCGACATGCAGGTCGCGTCACTCCACCTACACAAATGTTGCTACTGTGAAAATAACTGTCATTGACCAGCTGTAGACAGTAGAATATAAGTAAAAGTAGGGAATCTTTTATTTTATTTTCATACATATGTGCAGAAATATAATATATTAAAGTCACTGTTATAGTAAATACCAAAAAAATTTAAAAGTCATTTGTGATTTTTAATTTTTTTAAGGACATTACGTTGTCTAAACTAAACGTCATACAATTATTTATTTTATAGTGTGCCCACACCAAAACTCAGTTGTCAGAAATACTTGTTCTGATATGGCTGTCGCTATGTTTGTTGTATCAATTTGTATGTCAATTATCAATTAACCCTTGTTAATAATGGCCTGTTGATTATTAAAAAGCTGAGTTTGGTGTAACGACTATCGATGTGCAGTGTAGCGTGTGTGTAAATCATGGCTACTGGCAGCGAGGATCTGTGGCGCGATTGCGCGTCCTGGCTTACGAGATGTGGCTTGTTACGGCCCGATCATAAGGCAAATTGGGATAAAAGTACCATACATGACCTGGCATACACTTTACGAGACGGTGTACTTCTTTGCAATTTGTTAAATACATTGCACCCTGGATGTATCGACATGAAAGATGTTAATCAGCGCCCACAGATGGCACAGGTATTTGAAGCTAAGCTATGCGACCTTCGCTCTAATTACTACCAAACCGTTAATATTTTTCAACAGCGGTATTTATGCGAGCTTACCGCATAGTATTTAAACATTATGCGAACATATATTATAGCATACTTTTTTACTTAAGACTTTTTTATTTTTCGCATCCTATTCTATAAATATGACAGAGGATGTTCTTATACTGAATGGAGATTTCTAATCAATAGTACAATATTACAGTTACACACATTCATTTGTGTTGTGATATTAATTATGCATGCATTGATGAATGGCAAGCAGTCCATTGATGTTTATGTCAAATGTATTAAGACTGTTGAAAATATTGCTGTTATCTATGTGGGTAACTTCTGAATGAAAGGGTCAATGTGCTATATTCATTCAATTTTATACAATAATTATTAGATAAATTCATTTTTTCCAATTCATACAAGATAATACATTATTGTTATTTTTTTAAATCTAAGTCGCTTTATAAGCTTTTGTTCATGATACCTATTCAATATTTTATTTAAAAATGTTATGCATACTATAATTAAATTAAAATAATATTATAGTTCTTATAATAGAATTTCAGATTAAATGAAGGACTTAAGTTATGATTTTGCTATGTTTTACTTATATCAAATACAACAGAAAGCCAAAGTTAAATTAATTCTTTAATTTTAGCTTTCTATTGTATTTCCTTTTTGGCTTGGTAAACCTCTCAAATTGAAAATTCATTTCAAAATTTCTTACATCACTCTTATCTATTTAAACAATCTTTACATCTTAAATTGCCTAACATTATACAATTCCTCTTTGTTGGTCATGAGAATTCATAAGAATATTATGTAATTGATAATAATACTAAGAATAAACTCTTACTTGTCAACAGTTTCTCTGCATGCGAAATATAAAAGTATTTTTAAGAACATGTCACGAAGTATTTGAACTTAGAGAGACGGACCTGTTCGATCCATCCATGCTATTTGATCTCTCAAATTTCCATAGAGTGTTGTGCACACTTGCAAAACTAAGTCAATGTCCAAAAGCTTTGGCAAAAAATGTTCAGTAAGTAATTTATATTTTATTTAATTTGAATCATAACATTTCAAAAAAACTATATATCAATTAGTGTTAGTTGACTAAAGATTTTGTATGTATAAATTGTTTATATAATAAGCTAATTCATCAAGATATAAACATATGTATATTTTTTAAATCATGGTGTATAGCAATAGAACATTTACAGGCCATTCTCAGCAAGGAGAACACAGTCAGAAGAGGATATATACAAAGACTTGCAATCTGTGTAAGTATTATTTTTATTAAGCATATCACAGATAATTGGATAACTTTTTAAATGTATACCGTTGTAATAGCGCAAACCTAAACAACGAAGTACCGCCTCCATATGACGTGGTGATTAATGAGGCGCATAGTAATACTACTGAAGTCCCATGGATACAGTTCACGATACCGAGCGTGACCTGCGAGGACCGCGTCGAGGAGATATATGAGGACCTCTGCTATGTCAAGTTTACATCCGACATGCCTGAGGTTGCGATTCTTTCATGCGATCGATTTTGTTTGTTTTCGCTGTTATATAGACAACTGATTTCATATATTTATCACTAAATTTGTATTTGAATTTTTTTAAGGCGCATATTTTTATGGATTTCACAGCGGAAATGAATAATAAATCAGTTAATAAATATAAAGTAATATTGAACTATCTTTCAAAATGTTTGATAGGAATGAAATGTGTCATTGAATAATCCACTTTTATTGAAGCATCTCTTCTATTTAAGAATATGCATCATTTTATATTCCCTTAAACATGCGGTAATTCTTAGTATTTCGCAGAAAAACGCAATCGCGTTCGCGTGTACTGATGTTATCTTTCACTTGAAAATATCGTTACCGATACACATATTTTCTTAAAATAACTTATCTCTTTCCTGACAATACAACGAATCTTTTTATTAAATTTTGAATGATAGTTGTTTATTCCAGTGGATTTAGAGCTCAAGTAGTAAATGGCAAAGTTTATCGCACGAGACGCTTCTCGTAACCGTTAGGCATGTTATCATATTATGCTTTTAGATGAGTGTTTTAAATTTGCTACATGGATTATGTTTTTACAATTCAAATGTGTTTATCAATATTCACTAAAACTTAGTAGGTATAAGAAAATATTATTTTGCTTAGTTAATATTTTTTTTAATTCTTTGAAGCAAGCATTTTATTTGTTTACATCAACACATTCCTTTAAAACATTCGATCCGCCTGTAACAAGATACGACGCGCTACTTACCTTACTTCCATATACGAAGTATATTATAACGGAGTCCTAAATTCATAAAATCTCCCTTCTCTGTACTGCTAAGAATATATTTACACAAATATAAAATCACGCCCTACTTCTCACCTACAATAACAAAGCTAAGCATTGTTTATGAACCATCCCTGAACCGTTCCAGCTGGTATAATAATAAATGAGAAACGAAATTATGATACTTTTTGTATAGAACTGTGTTTATTGGATATGAATAGATTGAACGAATACAACATGCTTATTTACGATATCCAAATATTCTCCCAAAAACATCGCAATTTAGTATCTATATATATAATATTGTATAGAACATAATATCGCAAGCCAATTCATGTTTAATTTACATTAGTATTAGCAATGCTTGTTATGTCAAATTGCTCTTGCTAAATTACAGTATGTTCGAATAGAAGTTTCGCATTTGAAAGTATTTATGGATGTCGTTATTTCCATTTATAATTATATATGGATCGTAGGCGCAAAGTTGAAGGATAACAAGTAAAATACCGAGTTAAATGAACTCAAACTACCTCTTTAATGTTCGCTTATTCATTATTTAAATCCAAATTGGTGTTTTTTTTTCACATATTCATAGATACGATTAAATTTATTTTTTAAATAAAACCATAAATTGGTATCTATTTTTTTCTTATGTGATCACGACAGAATCGTGTATGGCTGGCTATGCTAACTGCGTCGGTCAAGAGTTGAATTTTTGTGCCATGTTTGTATTGACCATACTGATTTTAAAATTAGTCTGTAATTAAAAGGATACGTCGCATTGGGAGGCTCAGATCACGGTCTCGACGTTGATAATATCGATTTAGAATAAGTTGTGGCGTCACAACATAGAAAAAAATAATTTCAACGTTATAAATTTTATTAAATTAATTTATTAATGTAGGCGATAGAGCCTTAAGATAAAGTAATATATATATTGAAATGAGACATATTGAAATAAAAATTCCGTTCGTATTTTGCGTATTCCTGTCATTGTCTGCATTCGTTCAATCTACCTATACTGTCACATGGGCGCAGTGGCGGCGTGTGCGCAAGCCGCGAAGTGGGTGAGTACGCGAGCTACTGCGCGCGTATACACGACGAGGAGATCTACCACGACCTGTGCGTGGTGAAGGGTCCCGCGCGCGAACTGCCAGTCATACCACACCATCCGATCGCTTTCAGTGCAGTACGCGTTTTATTTTGTTTTTTTTAATTATTATTTTTAATTTTTATATGGCAAAGGAGGCAATGCGTTTGTGATTAGTACGATTTCGGATTTTATTCAAATGATATGCATATACAAATATAGTATTGCTTTAAAATTAATACTGATATAACTAGCGACTGAAATAACTAGCGACTGAAATAAGTTTTAAATTTTTTGAGCTAAATCTCCCAAAAAAGAGTCCTAATTCTTTTGCTAAAATCAAATTAGCCTAAATTACCTCTTATAACATTAGCTATCTGCCAGTGAAAATCCCGTCGAAATCAGTCCAGCCATTACGGAGATTAGCCGGAACAAACAGACAGACAAAAAAATTTAAAAGTATTTTTCTTATAGGTAGAGTATACAATTAAAAATTTGATTTGATTAATGCATTCAATAAAAAGCTATTATTTTGACCTAACAAACAGACACTTCAATTTTATTTATCTTTATAGATATAGATAAATAGATATCTTCAATGTTCATCCATATAAAGGTTAACTTCATTTTGTCCTTTCGAAAATGTTTGATTTTGATGACTTAACCTAGTTTTTTTTTAATATTCAATACTATTATTTATGATAATAAAAACAGCACTGATTTGTAAAATATAATCAGGCGCGGATCCAGAGTTAAATTTTGGGGAGGTCATAGGCTGAAATTGAGACCAGGCGCAGATCTAGATTTAAATTGGGGTAGGGGGAGGGGGGCTAGGGGGGGGGTCAGATCCTGAAATGTACATATAATAAAATAGTAACTTAGCAAAATCTGTACATGAAATATTTTTAAAAACAAAGACTTTTAAAAAAAAAAATCAGGACCTTAAGTTTTATGGCTTTAAAACTTTAGCAGGTATATAAGGAATAAAAATCCGTACACTTTTTCAATGATTATAAAAAAATTTAGTTCACAAAGTAAAACTTATCGATTTCTCCAGTTTTTTTTTTCATTTTTAAGGCTGTTTTTACAGGACGACCGTACAATGTTTTTATTTCTTCAAAAAGTAGAGTGCGAGATAAAAAGAGGATGCCTGTCTGAAAATTGAACGACAATTTTTTTAAATGATCCATCCACTTAAAATTGGGGGTCATTTTAAGCCTCCCGAGAAACGGCTAAACATTTCAATTTCAAAAAATTGGTTATTTTATGTATTTTGAAGATTATATTCCTCTAGTTTCATGGATATCAAAAAGTTTTTGCAGACATTAAACATAATAAAAAAGAACAAGAAAAAATTAAAAATAGTTTTTTTTTGGAAATATGTCGAAAACTTTGAGGTTATTGTAATAGTCGTAGATTTTTGCTAGACCTACAACTTTTGTTAAGAGTATTTTACGATATGATGTCACAACAAACCAGAAATTGAAAAAAAAAACAATTTTAAATGGTTTGCTATACTTGTCTTGTTTGCAATAAACGTCTTAAAAACATAAAACATCCGGTTTTAATTTTTTGTATAGCACATCGCGATCGGACTATTTGTAAAGCGCTATTTAAATTAAAGAAAAACTTAATAACGAATAAAAACTTAATTTGTTTCGAATTAGGTACTCAAAAAAAAATTGTATTAGGTATTCCTTCTTTTCTTAGACTTCAGACTTCTCAAAAAAGTATATTTGGCTTTGGGGGGGGGGGGTTGGTCATGACCCTCCCTGGATCAATATAATACCTATAAGAAACTAGTATTGCCCGCGGCTCCGCCCGCGTTCAGATGACCAATAACCAATGTTGACCCGGATAACCAGCTATCACCATACCAAATTTCTTCAAAATACCTCCAGTAGTTTTTCTCTGATGTGGTAACAGACAGACGGACAGACAAAAATTCTAAAACTATAGATTCGGCCTCTGTACCGATAATAATGTTTATTTCAGTAAGATTTTCCAAAAGATATCTAATGTACAGATTCGGCTTAGTTACAATTTTATTATATGTATAGATGTTTACTTTTCTTGCGACGCGAGCGCCCCTGGGGTATAATCAGTATTTACGATACGATTACTCTTTTCTCCAAGCTCTCACTGACGCGACGGTCCCATTTTCATGCCTCACTTGGAATTTTAAGTGAACGAGTAAAAGTCCACGTTACGTTCCAATCATTGCCTGAATTATTCATACGCTCATTACTTCCGATGCCATTTTATTTTTTGCCGCCATGTAGTTAGTTGCCTATAATGTTAGATGGCTTAGAATGGTTAACGCTGTTTGTTTTAAATGCTTGACATTTTCTAAGTATTGAGGAATAAATATTTGAATATTATTTATATGTTTGCAGCTAGCGACGTCGTCGCATAGCCTAGAAAAGAGGGATTATGTTATAAGGGAACTCGTTGACACGGAGTGCAATTACGTGGACGTGCTTAGTAAAATAATCAAATACTTCCTGAGGCCGCTCACGCCTTATTTGAAGCCTCAGGATATGCAAGTCATATTTTTTGGTGTCAAGGTACGTTGTTTATATAATCGTATCTACATTTAGATATAAAAAAAATAATTAATTATTTATAAATTCATTGAATTATAACTCGTTACGTTATATTTAATATGTTTATTTTAACTTCTTCTACGTAGTTTTCTGCGAAATGTTCTTGAAAGCTAAACATTAATTATTATTGACCTTCAAATTTTTTTTACAGTAAACCTACTAACCAACTAACTATTAATGTCAGATATTTAATTCAACTCCGTCAAGGGGAAATTATTATAAAACACTAGCGAGTCACCCTCGGTTCGCTCGTGTTCGTCCCTAGGTTGATTCTCCATACAAACTTTCGTACCTATTTTCACCCCTTATGGGATGATTTCCGGGATAGAAAGTATCCTATATCCTTTCCAGGATCTCAAACTATCTTCTTACCAAATTTCATCTAAATCGGTTCATTAGGTTCGGAGCCTATTCGGTACAAACAAACAAACACAAAATCAAATATATTAGCATAGACGTGTTATTATATATTTATATGATTTTAGGAGTTACACGAAATACACTCAGGGCTACTAAGGCAGTTGCGACTTGCTACGGAGAACTGTGTGCCCGGCAACGGGGCCCCGAGGTTGGCAGACGTGTTCCTAGCTTGGAGGGAACGGCTACTGCTGTACGGAGACTATTGCTCCAATCTAACTAACGCTCAGGAAACTTTGAAGGCACTCGACTCGAGAGACTCGACGTTTAACAAACAACTTGCGGTAATTTGTTATTAGTTGTTTATATATTACTTTGTTTATTTATATAGCGTTGTAATATGTGGAGAAAATAGAGTGCTACGTCGTTACTTCTCAGTATATTGTTTATTGCTTATTGGTTTCTCAATAACTTTATTAGTAAAACCAGTATGAATAAAGTTTGTATTATAGATTTCGTTTTAAATATATTATTACTAGGGAGTGTCCCTGAGCTTTAATGGTTTAGTAACGCATAAAAGACAAACATACGAACATTCATTTTTATTTGTATAACTAGCATTGCCCGCGGCTCCGCCCGCGTTCAGATGACCAAAAACCAAATTCTTAGGTTTTACTTACAACGCATTTTTTTTTCTCAAAAATGAGATATTTTCCCGCGGTAAAAAGTATCCTATATGTTGACCCGGATTGCCAGCTATCACAATAGTAAATTTCATCAAAATCCCTCCAGTAGCTTTTCTGTGATGCGGTAACAGACAGACAAAAATTCTAAACACTATAAATTCGGCCTCTGTATCGATAATAATGTTTGTTTCAATAAGATTTTCCAAAAAATATTTAATGTACAGATTCGGCTCAGTTACAATTTTATTATATATGTACATTATAATTATATTATCTTACTAATTACCATGATATTAATAACATGTGTAATTAGATGGTTCAAGTTACAAATGACATCGCGCTAATGAGACTGAAGATTACTTATGCATAGATAATTTATATTTTGATGATTATTTGATGTTTAAATGAATCTGCTAATTGCTTGTGCTCATTTTTACACTTTTACTGACGTTCATTTTCAATAATCAAGAAAACAAAGCTCAATAATATTTATACCTATACATATTAGGTACTAGCGACTCATTCTCGCTTCACTTTGGGTTCGCATCATAGACAAAAACAAATCTATCCCACGGGAACCGCACATTTTTCCGGGATAGAAACTGACCTATGTATTATTCCAGACTAAATCTGCCTAAATTTCATCCAGATCTGTTCAGCCGTTCTGACGTGAAAGAGTAACAAACATCCATCCATCCATCCATCATCACATCACATACTTTCACATTTTTGATAGTATGGATAAGTATGTGTAAATTTTGTACAAATTATTGTTAAAAGGAAATTATGAAACGGAAATAGCTATAGCAATGCTGTTGTTTGAAGTATTTAAAAATTTTTTCATTAGAACCAACCATGACTATAATTTCTGATGGCCAATCAGGAAAAATTATAAAAATAAATTTTAATAGATATATAATAGTTATGTCTGACGTACTGATGTTTATGTAAAATTAATAGTAGAAAAAAATATTTTTATACTTTTAAAATATTGCTTATATTTTTGTAATCAGCCTCCACATTTGAGTTGTGGACACTTATTTAAAAAAAAAGTTATGCTTATATTATTAGTTCGCTGATTTTTTTTGTATGAGATGAGGCATTTGTAACATAAGTACATATATATTATAATGTCTTACTAAATAAATCTTCCATTTAATGATATAATAATATTGCTGTGTACTGTATAACATATATGTATTATGTATGTATAGATAATATAGTAATTATATTATATATTGTATGTATTATAGAAATGTCAAAAAGAACACAGCGATGGCCGCATTCAGCTGCGCGACATACTCTCCGTGCCGATGCAGAGAGTACTTAAATATCACCTGCTGTTGGACAAACTAGTTCATGAAACACAACCAGTAAGCTTAAAAAATTATAATTATATATTCTATAAGCATTTAACATTAATTACGTACGTAATTATTTAAAAGAAAAACGTGATAATAATGTTACATTTTTTTTGGTTTAACTGATTTTTGAAATGAAACTTCTTTAGACTCCTTGTGATTTAAAACTCGATGAAACGGAAATGCGACACTAAAAAGAGACAAATACAAAAATATATAATATAGGATTAAGCAGGCCAGAGAATGAGATAGAATACATTGCCATGTTGCCATGGTAACCGTTATTGTTGTATATTCAAGTCAAATAAAATGTAAAATAACTTTTAAACTTGGTAAAAATATTATTAAAAACCTTATAATTATTCTACTCCTGATACTCTATATTCATCTCATTCTCTCGTAGGTTACTTTTCTGAAGTTTCACTTCTACGATTTGTGAATTGCATATACACGCACTTTTTTTTGTTGCTTACTACTTTTAAGTTCAAAGATCCTTAGTAGGTACTATATTATTCTTTAACTATTTGTTTTTAGAATCATGAAGAATTCCGTGGTCTGGAACGAGCCAAAGAAGCAATGGTGGATGTCGCGCAGTACATCAACGAGGTCAAGCGCGACAGCGAAGTGCTAACACTGCTTGCTAAAGTACAGGTAGTGTTATCTATACATATAATAAAATTGTAACTAAGCCGAATCTGTTCATTAAATATTTTTTGGAAAATATTATTGAAATACACTTTATTATCGATACAGAGGCCGAATCTATAGTTTTTAGAATTTTCGTCTGTCTGTTACCGCATCACGGAAAAACCACTGGAGGGATTTTGATGAAATTTGGTATGGTGATAGATCCGGGTCAACATATAGGATATTCTTCACCGCGGAAAAATATCTCATTTCTGAGAAAAAATACAAAAACTTCAATGTAAGGGTATACTAATGTAAATGTAAAACCTAAGAATTTGGTTTTTGGTCATCTGAACGCCGGCGGAGCCGCGGGCAATGCTAGTTATATTATATTTTTAGGGTTTTTTGCCGATTTATTTTGACTAAAGTATTTAAACAGTTTAATAGGTATCTGCGAAAAAAAAACGATAAAAATATTTTATTTTAAATGTCAAATATTTGGGAAATTCCAAAAAAGTATTATTAAAATAATTCTTTGTTATTTAATTAATTCATAGGTATGATAATTTGTCCTGTTTAACAAAAGGAACGTTAAGGCATAGTAATTAAGCCAAGTAGGCCTATAAAATCTTGAACGGGTTTTGATAAAGACAAAAATAATATTTGTATTACTATTATTGTATCTAGTTTACTATAAAATAAAATTGTTTGTTTCTCCATCCAATATTTTCCTAGTAAGTAAGAATACCCATTTCCGCGGAGAGTTCAGTAATATTTGGATTAACGCGTATACACAATGTTGTGATCGCGCTTATATGTATATTCCAATACGGCTGGGTCATCGTGGATTTGTTCATACAGAACCCGTGTAAGAGTGAAATGTCTGAAGGCTTTATTTTTAACGTGGGACATTGCTAAAATGAACTAAATGGACACTTTAAACAAATCTATTTTTTCGGTTTTGCATATTTTACAGCAAACATGATAAAACCGCGAAAGAATCTGACATAATAGTTTTATTTAAAACACTAGTGACTCGCCCTCGCTTCGCTCGGGTTCGTTACTATCTTGATTCCCTATACAAATGTTCATACCCATTTTCACACCCTTTAGGGATGATTTCCGGGTGATTACGGGAAGTCTCAAACTATCTTTTTACCCATCTTAATCAGTTCAGTAAATCTAGAGATTACTCCCAACAATGTCACAAACTCACAAACTTTACCTCTTTATAATATTAGTATAGATTAAATATTTACGAAAATCCAACAAAGCATATAAATACATATATGGGTGGTAGCATAAAAAATGTAAACGTATCAGGAGAGTATAATCGACTGGGACGGCGGCGCGATGGGCGCGGGCGGCGCGGGGCTGGCGGCCTACGGGCGCCTGCTGCTGGACGGCGAGCTCAAGGTGAAGGCGCACGAGGACCAGAAGCTGCGCTCGCGCTACGTCTTCGTCTTCGACAAGCTCATGCTGCTCTGCAAGCCCGTCAAGGTGATCTACCCGACAGTAAATATCCACTCCGACACACTACTAACGTTGCTTTGCGAGTTGCTACTGCCACTGCCATAGCCCTATAGATATGGTAGATGGTTTGTATTAGATTCACCCTTCATTCTATTGAAAGAGAACTGATAGATTTGTGATTGGGATGTATGGTTATAGTTATTATTGTGAGCTTAAAGTAGAGTTTTATAAAATGAAGTAATATACTAAATGAGAATTAAATTTGAAATCTTTTAGAACAAACATTTTTTCATATTATTTCTGCACCTAATTTACTACCAGTTCTCTTGATATGACATTCCTCGTGAAATAATTAATAGTGAAAATATTGGACACTCCTAAACATAATCGAATGAAGATTCAACACGACATGCACACAACGTAAATAAAATATGTTTGATTTTGTTTTAAAACAATGATTTTTTTTCCATGAATGAGAGGTTTCAATGGGAAATTTCATTACTGGCATATTGACATGATTGTAAGATTGACATTATATCGCTTATCGTCAAAATATCAACTTGGCTAAGTACCTACTCTCAATGATTCTGGCAAATTGTTTTAGTTTGCATGTAAACTCGACTCCCTAAGTGATTTCACAATTTTTATAGTTGCGACTCATAAAAAGTGCGTGTTTGCATTCAAACAGTTATAATAATTTTTTTCCAAAGTCTTATGCTAGTGGCGGCATTTGTGTTGTAACATTGCAAAGTACATACAAAATTTTCTCACATATGTACACTGCATATTACACTATGTCCATAAAAATACTGTATAAAGACTACCTTTCAAATCCAATGTAGCGAACAAATAGGGTCCAAATGGTTTGGTAAAGCTTGTTTTCTTAGAATTGCATGATGTTAAAATTTAGTGTAAAATAATATATTATAAGTACATATATATACCTTAATCTTTAGGAGTCCTCAGGAGTTAGCATTTGATATGGGCGCATGAGATTATGAAAACAAGTACATATGGAAAAAAATCATTTGTGCTATTAAATGATTGATTTATGCATGAAAATATATAAGAATAAGACGTATTCATTACGATATATGGAGAAAGACTTGCTTGAATGTGTGGAAAGTTAGTCTGGATTAGGTTTGTGTTGTCAAAATGATAAATATATAAATAATCTCAGAAAGTTCAGTAAACTTTAATAAGCGTAGATGGCGTAAATAACCACTATATAAACCATACCAAAGATTAGATATAAGTAATATAAATAGAACAGATACATCTATATACTTCAATAAACATTTAATAGTATGTATTTACTAAAAAATCCATCAATTGGACTATTATTATAAGTGCGAAAGTGTGTATGTTTGTTACTTCACGTTAATACGGCTAGATAGATTCGGTTGAAATTCAAAGTACAGATAAATGATGACACGGAGTAACACATAAGATATATATGTATAAAAAAAATATCTGAATCTGATAATTTAATATTGGTCCCGCTGAGTTTCTTTTGCCAGTTCTTCTCAGGTCTGAGACTTCTTCTTTCCGAACTGGTATTAGACTCATGAAGTTCAGTAAAAAAATGTAATAATTTAATGCTGAATAAAATATTTTGATTTTGATAAACAACTAACTTCAAAGCTATGTTTCGATGAAATGAATGTAACAATACAAACGTAGGACAACCAGTACTCGTACCGCACGGGCATCCGGCTGGCGGAGTACCGCGTGGAGGAGGGCGGCGGGAGGCGCGCGCTGCGCGGCGACGCGCGCTGGGCCGCGCACTTCTACCTCGTGCGCCGCTCCAAGGACGCCACCTTCACGCTGTACGCACGCACCGACGACTGCCGCCGCAAGTGGCTCAAAGCCATCAAGGACGCTATGTGAGTTTGTTGTGATACATCTGCTTGGTTGTGTTGGTGCCCTGGTAACGTAAGATATTACTTGAAGCGCTTTACGCGACAACAGAGGGGAGCCTTTCTGGTCTAACACAATCAAGTACATAATTCGTTGGCTTACTATTACACGGTTCTATGTTAATTTTAATGAAGCTTAGTAATTTTTAGATAGAACTTCGTTATTTTGTTATCGTAAAAAAAACAACATAGAACTATGTAAAATTGAATATTTTGTAACTTCAAACTTTAACTAAGTGCCGCTCTCTAAAGGTTTGTTTTTGCAAAACCATAGCTAATGAGACTTTGAACCTTGTAGCATTAATAACTAAATAAGTACTAAAATTGTAACATAGAACCTTGTAATAGTGAGCCAACGAATTTATGTTATGTGAGTTTGGAATGATATGACGATGTCCTCTCGACCGACTCCAACCAATCTCACTGAGACTAGCCATCTGCGCGGGAGATATTATAGGGCAGCGCTCTCTATACTACGTACTCAGCTTTAGGTGCTCTCCAAGGCACTTGTGAACTTGTACTGGAACTTTCTTAACAAAAATACTCAATAACTAAACGTAGCCCGACCCGGGACTTAAACTCAGGAACCCGATGTGAATTAATTAACCAGATCGATCCGAATTAACTTCAATAAACACAGATTTAGAATGCAGGGTAATAAATATTAAACGATCAATGCACGGTGACAGAAAAATGTTAAGATTCATTTTTGTTCTTGGGTTTCACAATTCCCATGATGTTTAAATTATATAATAAAAACATAATATTTATTGAACTTATTCTATTATACAGTGATAACTTGGAGCCTGCCGGTTGCCGGAGTACGAATCACAAGTTCGTATTACATACCTTCGAAAAACCCGCAACATGCCATCACTGCTCTAAATTCCTCAAAGGCAGAATATTTCAGGTAAGTAAAATTAAAATTTTCTGATCATTTTTATCTTAAGTATGTTTTAAGAATACAAAGTAAAGACATTTTTTTTTTCTATGATGGTGATCTTACACCTTCATCGAAGATTTAATTACTTTTGTTAATGTTTGCCTATTGCTGTGGCAGTAGAAGCAATTGGTTTTTGTTTGATTTCAACGACATAAACTGTCATAAATCTTTGTCGAAAACAAATAGTTTTACTAGCATAATATTCATAAATAAATTCGTCCAATTCAATTTTTATTATCAAAATTGATCAGAAATAAAAACCGTTATTAAATTTTTTGACTAATGGCATCACAATGCCAATCAAATCAATATTTATTAATTATGTATATTTATTAATTTCAAGACTATTTACATAAAATTAGCACGGTAATCATAAAAAGTATACGTAATCTATACATATAATAAAATTGTAACTAAACCGAATCTGTACATTAAATATTTTTTGGAAAATCTTATGAAATAGACATTATTATCGATACAGAGGCCGAATCTATAGTTTTTAGATTTTTTTTCTGTCTGTTACCGCATCACAAAAAAACCACTGGAGGAATTTTGATGAAATTTGGTATGGTGATAGCTATTTATTCGGGTCAACATATAGGATACTTTTTACCGCGGGAAGTTGTCTCATTTCTGAAAATAAAATTATAAAAACTGCAATGTAAGAGTATACTAAAATGTAAACCCTAATGATTTGGTGTTTGGTCAATGCTAGTTGATATATATATATATATATATATATATATATATATATATATAATATATATAATATATATCTTAATATATATATTTCTTGTGTGCGTGTGTATGTGACTGAACTCCTCCTAAACGACTGGACCAGTTTTGATGAAATTTTTTGTGTGTGTTCAAGGGGATCTGGGAATGGTTTAGATTCACAATTTGAATAATAATTTTCATCAAAAAAATTATTAAAAAAAGTTTGAAATTTTCAAATTAAAGACGTGTAGACAGGACAACGTCTGTCGGGTCCGCTAGTATATATATATATATATATATATATATATATATATATATATATATATATATATATATATATAATGTTTTCCCATGGTTCGTCCAGGGCTACCTATGCTCGGTGTGCAACGCGTGCGCGCACAAGGACTGCATCGCGCTGTCGGGGCGCTGCGGCGGCGGGCCCGCGCCCGCGCCGCCGCTGCCGCCGCACTCCGCGCAGCCCGACAGCTCGCTGCACTACTACATGTGGTGAGCTGTGTACTCTCTATTCCTGTCATTCTCATCTCTTGTGGGATGGCAATTCGACACGACCGGTCGGCCGGACTCTCGCCGGAGATCCATCATAGGAACGGTGCGACACTTGCTTTCTGAGACACGAGAATGAAACTTTGCAGCCATACGTGCTATATACTTAAAAATATTTTTTAATTAACTAGGTACACAAACTTAAGATTCGATTTTTTCATTAAAATTCTGTCGGTAATAATAAGTACCAACTCGCGTTTGTATGTACGAGTATATTAGTAGTAAGACGAGTTGCTTCCATGCACAGACATTCTTCTGACAGAAAATTTGTTTATTGTCTAGGATCTAGATTGTTTCAATTATTTAAATATTTTTGTATAGCTCTTGAATATTACCTACTCATTATTATTAACTAGCCGAGTGGTAACGCGCTCGCTTGGGAGAACGAGTGAAGTGGGTTCAAATCATTTCCAACGTGATTACACTTGTCTTACGGTGAAGGAAAACATCGTGAGGAAACCTGCATGTTTGAGAGAACCTAGCAAGTTCAAAAGACATGTGGAAGTTCGCCCGCACTTGGCCAGCGTGGTGGACTATAGCCTTATCCCCCTCGTATTGAACGGAGGCCCGTGCCCAGCAGTGGGACGTTAAAAAGTGCTGAATATAATATAATTAATTTGCGTCTATTGAAAGTGAAAGAAAATAGTAACTATTACTACATTTCATATACTATCTATACATATAATAAAATTGTAACTAAGCCGAATCTGTGCATTAGATATTTTTTTGGAAAATTTTATTGTAATAGACAATATTATCGATACCGAGGCCGAATCTATAGTTTTTAGAATTTTTGTTTTTCCGTCTGCCTGTCACAGAAAAAGTACTGGAGGGATTTTGATGAAATTTGGTATGGTTATAGGTGATAATCCGAGTCAACATATAGGATACTTTTACCGCGGGAAAATATCTCATTTCTGGGGAAAAATACAAAAACTGCATTGTAAGAGTAATACTAATCTGTAAAACCTAAGAATTTGGTTTTTGGTCATCTGAACGCGGGCGGAGCCGCGGGCAATGCTAGTATTTTATAATTTTTAATCAAAACCACAAATGAATGTTGTGCGACGCAGGTACGTGGGCGAGATGGGGCGCGAGACGGCGACGGCGCGGCTGGAGCGCCGCGTGGACGGCACCTTCCTGCTGCGCGTGCGGCCGCGCGCCGCGCACTCGCTGCCGCCGCCCGGCCACAACGACACGCACTACGCGCTCTCGCTCAAGTATGCCATCTGTTACGATTTAAATAGAACTATCTATTCATCTATCGTGCGCTCTCCCGTGATCATGATTGCTGTAAAGCATTCGAAACGAATAGTTTTATTAAAAATGTCAAATATATGTAAATCTAAGAAAGTATTATGATCTGTAACACTTCGTGGCGGTCTACAAACGACGATTAGTTTAATTAATTAGAATTTAACTTATTGTCATTTAGTTTAAGAAAAATCTATTATGATAGTACTAGAAAAAATTAAGATAATGCTTATTGGATAATTAGGCCAATCTGTTAAGGCCTTAATTTTTTATTTTAGGTTTTTATTTTATAAATCCATAATATTATCCATTGTTTTCAACAGGAGGCCCATTTACAATTATACCATAAGGGCCCTGGACTGCAGCCCAAAAAGCCTGTAAATCTGCCCCTGTCACATACAGGGGTGGATCTATATATGACTGCCGTTAGGTGTTTAGAACAAAAATGTATATTGCAGGATATATAATAAACTGTTGTACATGTGTATAAAGTAACTAAATCGCAGCTGTCGCAAAACTTTAATAACAGCATATACCTAGGTCTAAATAATAATCCAGGATCCATCCAGCTGACTCTATTCTAAATTGCACTTACCCGTTGCTCTATTACCTGAAGGAGTAACTAATTTACGCTCTGTTCTTTTATATTAATTATGTTAATTTCTTTTAAATAGAACCGACAACACAGTAAAGCACATGCGAGTGTGCCGGAAGCCGATCGATCAAGTGCCGCATTATTTCCTGTCCGAGTCGAGGTTCTTCCGCAGCATTGTTGAGCTCATCTCCTATTACGAAAAGACCAGCTTGTCAGAGAACTTTGTTGGGTGAGTTGTTGTCTCTATTCACTTATTAAAGTGTATAGGTATATAATTATAATATTCAAAAAAAAAGAATGATTTTTACACGATTCCCGTGGGATAGATTTGTTTTTGCTTATCACTAGGGATGAACCCGGACGAAGCGAAAGTGAGCTAAGTTTTGATATATTTTTAAAGGCGTTTCTAAAATGAGTATTCCAAACTGCAATATATTTCTACATGTATATATGTACGATGCAATCATAAAATACAAAAATAAATTGTATTTAATTTTTTTATTTTTCGATATTCATATATCTTACTGTTAAGTATATTTCAACTTCTTTTTAATTATCTTACATATAAAGATAAAGATTCTTATTGAAATATTGTCAATTTATAGATTAAATTCGAACCTGCGTTGGCCGTTCCGTCGAGTGGTGGCCACTGTGGTGCACGACTTCAGGCCGCTAGAGCCGACGCAACTGGCCCTTCGCCCCGGAGCCAAGGTGCTCATCCTCAGCAAAGAGGGAGATGGACGCGGCTGGTGGAAAGGACGCACTATTGATAAGGTATGCATTGTGAGGACCTTAAGTATGATCACTTATTAATATTTTTCTTCCTAAAAATAAGGAGAAAGAGAACGAATCTTTTTAAACAAAGTAACAATTGACTAGTAACTTTGAATATAATAGGCCTAGGTTTGGAAAACCAAGTGGAATGGGTTCAAAACTGGGTCTTCGTACCTCTTATATTTCGTACGAATCAACTTCAACATGCCTCGTGGTGAAGGAAAACATCCCAAGGAAACTTGCATGTCTTACAAAATAGCTAATTTTTAAAAACTCGTAAAGTCAGCCAACCTGTATACGACCAACGCGATGAAGATATCTCATACGGACAGACGGACGTTAAAAGAGCTAAATTTATTTTTTGTTTTATTTATTGAAATTTCAGTACATATATATCAAAAACAAATATAAACGACCCTAATAGCAGAAGTTAAGAAACTGTGTCGCAACTATTAACGCCTTCCACCAGCGAAATTACAGAAAAAATATGTACATATACATTCAAAAACTAATCAAAAATAACATTTATAAAAACAAAAATGTAAATAAACTTTTTAGCTAAATTAAATAAGTTTACAAAAAATTAAATTATTTTAAGTAAAGCAAAAAAAGGAATAATTTATACTAATATTGCAAGGCATTACATTAATTAAATAAGGAGATAATTGATATGTAGTGAATTGGTAAGTCATTATTATTAATCCAATTAATATAATTTGTAGGGTGACAACAGATCAGGCTATTTCCCAAAGGAGTGTGTGCGTGAGGAGCCCGAGTGCATCGGCGCGCTCGACTGATGTTCACTGTGCCTCGTCGAGCGCGAGTTACACTTCTCCTCACTCTCCATATCCAACAACCAGCCATCCACTGCGACCGCCACCGTCACCTCCATGGACGTGTCGCCTGACGACAACGAAGATATGGTGTAAAGTGTTCAGTGCTTACGTGACGAGAGTGTGTGACATACAGACTAGGAAATAGTGTAGAAATAATAAATGAAGCGAGAATGTGTTCCACCTCTGAACATAGGTAATTATAGATTTTGTTGTATACCCTGAATTGCAAACTGCAATGGAAAGTATAACTTATAAGTAATCACTACACAGTTAATATAAAACAATGTCATGGCTAAGGTCACAAGTAAAGGTCTAGTCAAGACTCCATATCTGTATTTGATATGGTCATGTAACAAGAGAATAAATTATGTCAGTGTTTTTATGAATGTTAGTATTTTGTCAAAATGGTTTAAAAATAAAATGAAACAAATCATTTATGTGAGCCAATCATGATAATATGAAGAAATTGGCTGGTAAACAACGGGAATAATGCTTTATGTTGTAACTTAATGGAATTTAGTAGAGACATAGGTTAATTGAATTGAACTTAATAAGTGTTACTTGTTGTGCTGATATGATAAAATGCTTTAAATAGATAATATTGCTTTACTCTACTTGACTATTGCTAGTATAAAAATGACCTTTAATTAAGAAAACAATTTCGTATTGCAATTGGAAAAAAATATATATTATAGACTACTTCAGTGAAATTTTAGTCCATATTTTAGCAGCATATGGTATGTTATACCATTGTTGATGTTTTAGATGCTGATTCAAATGTATATTTATTTTTGTGACATATTATGTAAGTTATTTTTTCAAGTCATAGATAGTGTAGGTAGAATTATAAATGTTATAGGCATATCCTGTCAATGCAATCTCAATGCAATATACTTAGCATAATATAAGGTCTTTTGCTTGATGGATGTAAAAAAATTACCTTACCTTATTAAATAAAATATTAGATGTACGAGAAATTGAAATATTTCGACCGTATTAAATTAAATATTTCGAATAGTGTCTCTATGTTTGTTTGTTTAAAAATAATACTAGACTTCGTATTTGGAAAATGATACCATTACGGCATCATTCTAAAATAGGCAATGTTCCACAAACACCTGTCCAAGAATTTTATATAAAATAAGGTTATAGTTATGCTGATAAAAAAGAAAAAAATATTTACCTTTAAAATACTACACTGTTCTTAACTCCTTCAATATATTTTTTATTTTACTACTATTTACTAGCTGAAATTTATTTATTTGGCTACTACTTGCAAAAAATCTATTCTAATTTTTGTAAGATTCGTTTATTGTGTTCTTTACTCTTTGCTCTCTTGATATTTTACAAAATTTTTATATTTTTTAAATTTTATATCTTTAAATAACAATGTAACAAGGACGCACATTTTTATGAAATATCATATAGGTAGTGTATTTTTTAATACCATGACAAAATATTACGCTCAAAAGTTTACTCAACCAAAATTATTATAATATAAAGGGCCTCCATTTTAATTTAAAAAAAAACATCAGTTAAGATCAAAACCCATTTTTGCACATAAAATGTGTCCTAAACATAATATACTTCTATGTAATTTATATTATATGTTCTTTTCTTTCCAAATCTATAGTGAGATTGAGTGCCAAAACAATTTTTTTTTCAACTATTTTTACAGATTTTTTTACAACAAATTCTTGTAGAAATTTTAAGAAAAAATATATTTACAATGTATTACAAAATATATTTTATTTTTGCTTTACATTCCAGTAATATTACGGATTTACTTCAACAGCAAATCAATAGGTAAATAGTATACTCTTCATTAGAATGAGAATATTAATTATATGAATTATGTAAATTATATGTCAGTGTGTAATATTGAAAACTCATAGTCCAGTCAATATAGAAAAAAATAGCGAAATAAACTTATAATAAAGCAATTTCCACATTATTGCCATATGATAAAAGGGCATTTTCTAATTGTAAGCCTATAAAGCCAAGTTTAAGGGGTCGCTCGATAGGCGCTAGCGCCATTATCGCGAAGAACGCGTCTTATTAAATATCTCCAAAACGACTCATCCTATGTAAAAATCTATAGAAATGTATTCTCTTTTAAATTCGTATCACTTTTATTTAAAACATTTTTTTGTAAATTAACATTTCTCGAGATATCGCGCTCGAAACACAAAATTCGCTACCCTCGTCGATTTTTCGCGATTGCAAAATATAATTCACCTATTGACTAGACTATCATATTTAAAATCAAGTAACTGTGTAATTAGCATAAATAGAAGTGTTTACAGTCATGTGTAAAATAATCTTTTTTTAGATTAAGGGCATATTGACTATAGGACGCTGATTTATTGTGCAGCTTGAATCTTTTATTTCACATTAAAATATACAATAAGTAGATACCTATATATTATTAGGAAAGATATATTTTGTGTAATTGATGTGCTCAATATAACTTATTTGTGTGCTTTACAACTGAATGAGTGACTTGCGCTTTTATTATCCACATAATGATTACCTTTCAAACCCACCAATACTATGTAAAATAAACAAGTGCAAATTATCTATGTATAATAGGGAGTATGCGTGTTTCTTTTTTAATTTTTTATACAATAGCTTACATTGTTATATAATTGTAAAAAAAATATCCAGCTCCAAAAAACTAAAGATTAGTTTTTTTTTAAATATCACCCAGATACTATACTTTAAACGCCCACCATTTTGGTGCGCTTGGTGTGACGTCATAGTCATGAAACATTACGATCAACGAATGAACAGGTCTAAATTGTTAGTATCGCAAGCACTAAACAACAACACTCTATTATAATAGACTATGACGTCACATTCGGTCTGACCAATGGCGTTGCGTTTCATGTGCTTTGAATTTCCCACCTATTTTTGCACTTTTTAATCAATTAGAAATTGCATAAAAAATATTGGTATAGCCTTAATTCAGAAGCAATAAAGATTATAAAAAAAAATTTTCATCTTTATTTAAATCACATGCATATTCCCTATATTGTTATTCAAAATGGTGTCTTAAATGTTGTAAATATTATTGTAGTAGTAGTATGTGTAAGCAAATAATAATAATCTATGGGAATTGCGAATTGAATGACTGTTATTCATTATTTAAATGGATAGGAACTAATATTTTACCGATCGTACCTAAAGGGCTTGTCTTTCACCGTAATATTTCCTAAAATTTAATGTTTCAAAGACTAATTAGATGAAGGTGTTTACAAAATGAAAATTTATACCACCAACTGTCATGAACATGTCATTATAAAAAAGAGTAGTAAATAAAAAAAATATTATAAACAAAGCTCGTTAAATATTTTTCATGAAAGTTAAATATATAATATAATTATGAAAAAATATACTATATTGAATGTTTAAAATTTAATTGAAATAAATATATGCCCGACTCTATTGACTCCGTAAGAATTATCTCCGATATGTGTAAAACTGTTTCTTGTAGCAGTTTTAATATATATGTTGTAATTCATAGATGTATATTTTTAATAATATTCTGTACTTTTTGTTGCAAATGTTTGACAACATATTCAAATTTTAAGACCTTATTAATTTTAAATATTATTTATGTATTTAATTTGCAGTGTAATTTGTAGTTAAATATATATTTCTTTGTATATTAAAACAATATAGTGCCAAAACATTGGGTTTAAAGCAATTACCGTATTGATAAAATAAATAATAATAGTAACCGTTCATGATCTCTGTAAACGTGCTAATACATAATGTATAATAATTATTAATAACCTAATTTTGTACATATATCTTTTTATTGATATTTTTATTTGTTTATTAAAATAAAACGTGTGTGTATACTTATGTACGCACGTAAGAAGTTATACTTCCTTGGCGTAATAGAAGAAAAATAGCTAAAGATTTCATCCCGTATGTCACAATTCTCTGTTTGTAAAAGGAATGATAAATAATAAATTAATCAAATAAGGCATATTACAATCTATCATGTAATATAATTTAAGGAAAGAATAAAATATTATATATCATTTGTCACACAATAACAACGGTTACCATGGCACAAACAGTTATCAACAAAAAGCTAACTTTTTCATGTCGCTTTTTGGCTGTCGGTGTGCGCGCGCATTGTAGAAATTTTACTCTCATATTTTTACAAACGTGCCAGAAGAAGTATAACTTCAAAATACTATAGAGAAATTAATTCATCTATTATATGAAAAATGAAAGGTTAATGTTTACTTAACAGATCAATAAGTCTAAATGTATCGATCATTCATTAATAGTTTGAATTTCACGTTAAAACTGCAAAATTTCTAAATTACCGCTTAAACTCATTCGTCTCTTCCTCACAATACGTCACACTGGCAGAATGTATTGTGTCTGTTAACCAGGGCTGCCAGTAGAGACAACTTATTTTATACCGCAGGGTCACTTAAATTATACCAAATCAAATTTTATTATACAATTTAATGAAACCCTTGAGAAATAGTCTGTGACCAATTAAAAATTTCTATAAAAACACGTAATAATTTAAAATGAAATATACATAAAATAACCATATTTTATAATTTTCGTATCCAATTATATGATCTGGCAGCCCTGCTGATAACGCAACTCTGTGACATTAAATAAAAAAAGTCCAAATATTATTTGTAAAATTATCCATTGGTCAAATAATACAATAGCACAAGCTAGAGCTGAACGTTTGATATTTTAAGCTGTTAGTTGATATTTATCTTCATCACTTATATTTTCTTATAAAATATAATTGTATATTTCTTTTCCATGTTTAGAACGCCACGCTCGAAATAATCGTTGGTGCTAATAATTTTTTGTGTTGCGCTTTTTATATAGTGGTCACGCGCACTCTGGTGGCAGATGTAGTATAAACATATTTTGATATTATTTATGTTGATGTTTGTAAATATATTATGTATACAAAATGGCATATCTCATTGTTCTGTAGTTAGGTATGGACTCCATAATAAATACAAAGTTGGAGATTTATATTTTGTTTTAATCGTTTCATCCTTAAATACTTAATAATTTATAGTTATTAATTTATTATAAAAGATACAAAGTAATTATTGTAAATAAGTTTAAATCTTTCATATATTCTTAAAGTTACAAATATGTGTGGATGAGAAATGGACGTATCTTTATGAGAAAAACAGAATACTCGGAAATGTAAATTGGTCAAAGACCTGAATTTTTTAAATAACTTGGGCTGTTTTAAAAATTCTCATAAAATTCTCTGCGACACTCGATATATATTACCAAAACGTTCGTGGCTTAAGAACTAAAACTCATAGCTTTTATATAAATATTTGTACGAATGATTTCGATGTAATAGTTTTAACCGAAACGTTGTTGTTTGTATACTATTCTTATATTAAAAACACGGAAACTAATATATCTAAAATGCCCAAAAAATTATGGACTTTCATAAAAGATAAACGTAATTGCTTCAGCTCTTATCCCAATAGATTAACGAATGGAATCACTACAGCCACCGATGGGGCCAAAATATGTGATTTGTTTGCAAAATACTTTGCCTCCATTTATGATTTGAATGAAAATCAACAACTAAGCCGTGAGGAAAGCGAATACCACCAAGATATCACCTCTTGCACAGACTCCATCAGTAATATAAGCTTTTCCGCTAACGAAATCTTGCTTAAGCTAAAATACGTCAATAAGGACAAAGGTGCAGGACCAGATGGTATTCCACCAATTTTTATTGCTAACTGTGCTTCATCTTTGAGTGACCCTTTACATATTATTTTTAATAAATCTTTAAAATTAGGTATATTTCCGACCTATTGGAAAAAAGCCAAAGTAGTACCAATTTTCAAAAAAGGTGATAAATCTAGTGTTTCTAATTATAGGCCACAATATCTATTCTGTCAATCTTCGCCAAGATTTTCGAGTCTAATACTTAAGTACATCTGGTCCCACTTTAAGCCTCATCTATCTTTATATCAGCATGGATTTGTTAAATGTAGATCCACTGCTACGAATTTAGTAGAATTCAATGAAACTTTAGCTGCTAACATTGATGCTGGGAAACAAATAGAGGTTGTATAGCATTTAATCTTGTCCCTCATAAACTATTGCTACAAATATTGGAAAATTATGGGTTCACGGGAAGCCTTAGGCAATGGTTTCAAAGTTATCTATCAGCACGAACATTCTATGTGGCTTTAGCAGGTTTCGATTCATCTTTTTTTTAAATCACATCAGGAGTCCCTCAAGGTTCCCATCTAGGCCCGTTTTTATTTAATATTTATGTAAATGACTTACCATACCAATTAAAATATAGTACGCCATATTTATATGCTGATGACCTAAAACTTCTCAAAGTTATGGAATCTACAGTTGATGTAAATTTATTGCAGCATGATCTTAATAGCTTCTGGTGTCAAAAAAATGGTATAATATTAAACGCGGATAAGTGCTATCAAATTACTTTCACTAGAAAGCATCATGTTATTAACGCCGATTGTCAATTGAACGGAAATAGTTTACATATTACGGATTTGGGCGTAATTTTTGACAGTAAGTTAACATTTCAAGACCATTTATCGGGTATTGTTAGTAAAGCCTCAAGAACACTAGGTTTTATCCTACGTAATTGTAAAAAAATTAATTCCTATACAAAAAATCAAATTATATAATAGTTACGTACGAAGTCAACTTGAGTACTGTAGTACAGTTTGGAGACCACACTATTCCACACATTCACTGCGTTTAGATCGAGTTCAGAAAAGATTTCTTTGGCATCGTACTCACTCAGGAGGTATCTTGGACAGAAAGAACTCATATAAAGAAAGGTTGACGCACTTCAAAATGAAATCACTTTCAGAACGTAGAGATGCCTTAGATATTATTTTTGTTTCCAAAATCATAATTCCGCATTTAGTGACTGTCCCAACATATTAGCACAATTACGCATTAACAATCAAAATGTCCTCGTAATTCCATCTCTCCTTTCTCACTTCCCATTCGCAGAACCGTACTTGGAGCTAACTCACCCATTCCGAGACTTAGTCGATTAGCTAATAACTATGCAAGAGAATTCGACATATTTTCCGATCCCCCTAGTAAAATTAAAAAAATATAACTGTTTATGAAGTAGACCCAGCTGTGAGACAAAAATCTTGTATTGTTTGTATTATTTTTTTATTTTATTGTTTTATTTTGTTTCTTTTTTCTATTACTTAGGTGTCATTTTTGTTTTTATTATTTTATTTAAAATTTACCTTTTTTGTCAAACGCCACTTTTCCTGTCATTATGCATGCGGTGTTCATCATTATAAGTTGCAAACTGTAAAATATCATTGTATATGTATGTTATCGTGTATTGTGTACAACTTGATAAACCAAATAAATAAATAAATAAAAAGTTTCAAATATGTCTACAAATGTAACATTATATAAGAAACTAACTTATTACTCAACTTATCAATTTTATTTAACACTTGTAGTATTAGTTATTTGATATTTTGTCATAGATACGTAAAAACATGTGCATTATATATCAATGATTTAATTAGACTTTAATATACTGAAATTTGGGATGTCACTTTTACGAAAACAAACTTTTTTTCAATATAACATACAACACTTTTACTATAGTGATTTATGGATTTATTTAATCTTGATGGAATAATAAACTATGTGGACCTTACTCTAATGCCGCCAGTTAGAACTTAGAATTATTTCTCACTTTCATATAATTAATCATTTTAAATCGGGCGTACTATTTCCAAGATATGTTCTTAAATCCGATACAGTGGACCGCACAAGTTTCGCCGGTATGGTGGGCCGGTTGAGGCGCGTGTATGCCGCGAAGCGGTGGCAACCTCCGAAGCTGTAGTAGTAATCGCCACCCTCCCTGCCTTTGATCCACAACACGTCTATAGGTGGTACTATCCCCTGCTGTTCTTCTTTCTGGAATTATTTAATTTAATAATTTTGTAGAAAAATCGAATTAATTTGATAATTTAAAATGCAGCGCTTTATACGTTATAGTTGATTTTATATGGTTATCATCTACATCTATACATATCTAAAAATGTTTATTTACTCGCTGTCGTTCTGGGTTCTTTACGGTAATCAGATTGCAATCTATACTAATATTATAAAGAGGCAGAGTTTGTTTGTTTGTTTGAACGCAGGAACTACTGATCCGATTTGAAAAAATCTTTTGCATTAGATAGCCCATTTATTAAGGAAGGTTATAGGCTACACAGTCAATAAATCGGGCAGACTTCCATACATTGTTGTAAAACTTTATTATAGACATTTAAAAGAACCCTGATTTATGATTTTTTTTCCTTTTACTTAGCTACATAAACTTATGGAGTATAATATGTATTTAGCGTACCAATAATTACAGTTCGTATTTACAGAATAATATATAAATTATAATTATCCGTGATTATAATACTTTTTAACGTAATCATTCATTTTAAATTAATATTAAGAAAGAAGACTTTGTCTTATACTGCTATATATATTTCTTACAAATAATAAACAGTTGAAATACTGAATTTTCTTCAATCCTTTCCCTCGAATGGAATCAAAATACGAACCCACGATATTCGTCAATTGCATCGTACCTACGTAATTAGAAACAGTCCACACTCCAACTACTAGCTAATTCTTGTTGTTATAATTTCTCTATGAATTAATAATAAAGAAAATTTGATTTTACCGCTTTATTTAAAGCGATTTATAAGTACACTCTTAGAATATCTTACCTGAATAGTTTCTATAAGAGATTGAACCTTATTTTCATCTAACTCGGGTATAAACGGTCGTATAATTACGGACATCGGTACATTGTGTATGTCCTCTTTATACGCACTATGAATACTGGTCATCCTTGTTACTGAAATATAATAATTAGTGTAGGATATTATTATTTTGCCTTACCATTACTAATCTATACTTTATACCTATAATAAAATTGTAACTAAGCCGAATCTGTACCTACATTAAATATTTTTTGGAAAATCTTATTGAAATAGACATTATTATCGATACAGAGGCCGAATCTATAGTTTTAAGAATTTTTGTCTGTCTGTCTGTCTGTTACCGCAGCAGAGAAAAACCACTGAAGGGATTTTGATGAAATTTGGCATGGTGATAACTGGTTCCAGGTCACAATATAGGATACTTTTTATCGCGGGAAAATGTCTCATTTCTGAGAAAAAATACAAAAACTGCAATGTAAGAGTATAGCAATATCTAAAACGTAAGAATTTGGTTTTTGGTTATCTAAACGCGGGCGGAGCCGCGGGCAATGCTAATTATTAGAATAAACCTTTGTGAAGTGTTAGTATGTTGTTACCACATAAAGCACATAAATGAGTCACTGATAAAAATAAAGTCACACAATACAAGTTTCTGTTACATGTATTTAACATTGTAAATATTAATTATTTAAATTAGTACTTATAAATAATAAAAAACTAAACAATACCGATAGATACCTAATCACTCTTATCATTTATTTTTAAAGCGTCTTTTATCTATAGATTAGTAATATTGATTTATGATTCAAGTAATCTTGAATTAATATTATATATTTGGATAAAAACATCAAAATAAATTTGATAAAAGCTATGACGCTAAGTTTAACCATAATATAAATGACTAGTAGAATGCGCGGCTTCGCTCGCGATAAAACTCCAAAAAAGCTCTAAAAATGGCTTTCATATAAACTTTCATCCCCTATTTTACCCTCTTAGGGGTTGAATTTTAGAAAATCCTTCCTTAGTGGATTTCTTCGTCATAGGAGGAATACGTGTGCGAAATTTCAATTTTCTAGCCGTTGATACATCAATCAATCACTACTATAGATAAATATTGTGCAACTCGTCAATGAGACACATATACAACATTAAAAACGATTCAATTATTAGAAGAGAAAAAGCAATTCAATCTATAACAATTTATAATGAACCATCAATTTCTACTCACAATTCTTGGTCGCGGGAACGAAATTCTTAAACGTTGTTAGATATCTAATCATTACTCCACAAGCGTCACCTACTAAGTCTGAGACAGCACTAATAACCACTGATCAGTGACCATGGCCACTGAGTACTGACATACCAAATATGTACCAATAGGCGATACGAACGAAACAGCGAATCGTTTACCGCGATTATATTTTGCGCGCAAAGTACAAATTTAATGTAAACATATCATCACCTCCAGGTAAATTTCTAAGAAATTAAATAAAATTCTAAGAAATCTATTGTTAACTATTGTACTTACCTGTACTGTTCATTAATAAAGTATGTGTACAAATAATATTCGTTTGCGATAACAAATTCGTGTAAATATATTTTGATATATATTGTTAGATCAAGCCTAATACCGAGGAGGTCGCGGGTTCGGATCTCGCACAAGATGAATGATGAATATACATAGATTTGTATACAGATAAAACCGACGTAACGGGTAAACGGTAAAGTGTTCAAACTTTACCATGGTTACTACTTACTGGTGATTTTTTGAGCTATATAATACAGCAATAACTATTAAAAAAAAAATACTCCAAGACAGTATCTTGTAGTGTGAAATACTTAATCTCTCAGTGTGCAGAGTAGAATGGTACACCTTGACCGATAACTAAGACAGTATTGATCATTAAAAATAGCAGACGCGAAGAAAAATGTCAAGGCGGAATGCTATGGAACAGCATTTTGTAGGTATTGTGTGTTCTTCTATCTTTTTTCGGACTAGTTGACTGACACGCGTCCTGTCCAAATTTCGTAAAAATTATAACTCTTCAATTTATATAAAAATTATATAGAAATATCTTTAAATTTTCCCGGATTTCCAAATTTTCTTCTTAGACTGCGTTAAAATTGCATGCATTTACCAACGAATAGTTTATCATTCAATAAGACTTTGCTAATTTCTCTGCAAAAGAATCCAAAGAAATTTAAATATATTATGTATATATTATTACTTAGGCAAATATTGGTTAATGAAATTGGTAAGAACAAGAAAATTATGAATAATCCTTAAATAAAATCGAAAATTTTTTATTTCTTTTAAATAAGTTTAAAAAAAAACATATGCATTTTAATACAATGCCGATGGCCGACGAGGGCGTAACGAAGGTGAAGGATTGCAAGGTAAGAAAAAGTCACGTGTAACTACACAAAAATGTAATTTAATCAATTTGATGGTCGCAATAACATTGAACTCGTCGTCGTATACATGTGTGCACGCCGCTGATTCACATTATAACACTACATCAATCAAATTTCATTAAAATCTATTATTAAAATCGTATAAATAGTCTGCAATAATTACATGAAAAGGACATCAAAGCAGCGGCGTGTCGTATTTAAAGTGTTCCACAGCAAATTTTAACTCCAATTAAATTTCTCTTTTTTTCGTATACTGTTTCAGATATCTTGATTTAGAACACATCAACTTAATTCTAATAATTTTATATCGAAACTATCACTAAGTGGAACTATCCGTATTATAATCGTATATAGGTTATCTGCACGCTTCGTTGAATGAGAACGACGAAAAATAATAATAATAATATAAATCATTAACATTAACTTATCGACTACATACATGAAAAAAATATATATATTTTGTGCTAGTAACATCGTAGCACCGTAAAATATAATATATCGCTCTGATATTCACAACGTACCAAATGTAAAACGAATACATGATTACAATAAAGGCAAAATTACTAATTGATAATAAAAAATCGCGTGTAAAAGAGGATCCGTGTGCGCCGACCACAAACTCTCTAGTTAATAATAACATTGCACACTATCTAGGCAGCGCCGCCAGACGACGGCCGGCGGCGTTCTCACTCGCATACAAATAAATAATAATTAATATTATATAAAATTAATTATTAATATTAATTATTATATAAAATACAGTGTGTTTTAATTTCCAAATCTTCGTTCCAGATATAAGTTGTAAACTACATCTGTTAAATATAAAGCAAATTTAAAAAACGAGCCTTATATCTGGATCAAAGATAAAAAATGTAAATATGATGTAAATAATAAATAATCCAGATGTATGTTGGTATACATGAAGTATTGCCGGAGTGCTGGAGTGAGACGCACCGGCCGACGCCTCGCCTCAGTCAGAATGTTGGCTTACAGATAATTTTATGAATTACATCTATATACTTAGAACTATCGTATATTTATATTCACCGTAAAGATTATTTAGTGAACTTATAAACGAGATCCTGCCACTGTTGTTTCATTAATACTGCCAAATAATGACTTTAGAAATCACTGGGCCAAAAGGAAATAATACTTTTTGAGAGCTGACGTTATAATATAGATTACATACTACTATATTATATAGTAAAATAAAATAAATACTGGACAAATTGTAAATAATACAAAAAATTAAACATTTTCAATGTACGTCGTATAAAGTGGTTACATTCTATAGTATACAACGTCCTATGAGCTATCTCGGTATCGCTTTATAGTAATGGCAATTTTGTGGAAGCTGCACGATTCTGGATCTGGAACAATATAAATATGTTCTTATTTAGTAATTTAATTTATAAGTTATCAGATTTGGCGTCATTTAAATAAGTATGTCCAAGAACACATTATTTAGGTTGCCATCTAAGTTTTAACACAAAATAAAAGTTGTTTTGACAGGTTTTAGTGTACCATTTAAAAAAAAATGTGTAGTATATTTGTATTAATGGACAAAATTTACCACCAACCCCCCCTCCCCGCCCCGCCTACCCCACTTTGTCTTGTATAAAAATAAAATCATGCATATCCGTATAAACCTCTTATACTAATCTATCCTCATTTTCTTCCCCCTACTTTCTTTATTACCCCACTCCAGCATACATCAAGGAATTACTTTCACAAATCTAACACACATTTACTATAAACACAGTAGATACCTGTCCAGGTCGTGTGACCTAGGGCGACAGGTCCTGGTGCATGGGGTCGTACGCCATGGAGGCGTCGTAGGGCGGCTGCGGCTGGTCGTAGGGAGGCGCGGGCAGCGAGTAGCCCATGGAGTCCTGCGTGGGCGCCGGCGACATCATGGGCGTGGCCGTGCCCGACGCCGCGCCCATGGAGTACGGCGACGCGCCCGCTGCTGCACACAAACACCATTACTACCCATTATACTATAAACTATACTAATTTGTATGGGCTTTATTAATTATATATGAACACTGCATAACTTGTTAATTGATGATTGTTTTACTTTGTATAGGGTTTGTTTATTAAATAATATGAACTAATGTATAATTAATTAATTACTATTTTTGATCACATAACTAATTCTTAAAATTTGTTTATTTTATGAGTTATATATAGCCACAAAAACCTATTCATATTTTTATATGTTATGCTCAAAACATACTTATTCATAATGATATATCTTTCAAAATACCATTCAATGAGAACAATATCTCTCCCAGCTCATTAACAATTTGATATCCAATACAAAAATGACACAAAAATTAAAAAAATATAAAAAAACCAACAAATCAGTGATCTATATGTATTATATATAATATAGAATAATATATGATAATTAAACTTGTAGTGTGATGTAATAATAAAGCCTATAGGGCGACATTACTGTTGTATGCGGCGAGGCCGGCCGGCGAGCGCGCCTCGCGCCTTCCCGCGCCCGCCCAAGACAGGTCTGGGGAACACGCGAGCATTCAGTACTGCACCCCGCTTATATATAGCACATCTTAACATATATACAACGGGCACCGTATTTTATTATATTTTCGAATGTTATTTATTACATTACAATATTACTTTTATTTTATTTGCAATATAATTTTTTTTTTTAAATAACTCTGTTATTTTGCTTTAACCACTTGCAAATAAAATAAAAGATTTAATAATAAAAACAGTATATTACTAAGTAATTATCAAAATGATAGTTTACCTGCAGCTTTCTTAGCGGCGTACAGATTGGCTTCCTCTTGAGCTTTGCCGATGTTCTTCTTGTAACGAATGCGCTTGTTTCCGAACCAATTGGAAACCTATGACAAAATGAATTGCTGTATATTTTGCATGTATACCTTTATTTCTAATTGATTAGTTTAATTTTAAGAAGCTGTGAAGATTATATTCGCTTCTGATACATAATCGTTGTAAAATCATTTTATATAATATTTAAATTTGTAGTAAATCTTAATTGAATTTGCGTTCTTTCTATATTTAATACTAACTAAGAACTGAGTCCTTAGACTGATATTATTATCAACGGCATTATACGGTAAACAAAACCGCGACCTGTCATGCATACTGAGATTAAAGAACGTGAGCAAAAAAGGGGGAAATTTTCACAACAACTAAAACAGAACTCACAAAAAGTTATATCAAAATTAACGGATGTTAGTTCGATACTAAATAATTCTTTTTATAACATTTAACATTTATAAAATCATTACCCAAATCCCAACATCACACAATCTCAGTTAAAAAACCTGTGATATAGTGATTCCACAGCGGCGGGCAAGCTCGACCTTCACCTCTTCACTCGGGTAGGGGTTGGCCAAGTGGGAGTAGAAGTAATCGTTGAGCATATCCAGGGCGCGTTTGCTGAAGTTCCTCCTTTTCCTCCTGGCGTCGAGGAAACTGGGGGGAGAGTGGGGAGGTTAGGAGGTGGTACCTGCGAGACGGTGATGCCGCACTTGCGCGCCAGCTCCTCCTTGGCCTCCTCGCTGGGGTACGGGTTCGACAGGTGCGAGTAGAAGTACTCGTTCAGGATCTCTGACGCCTGCTTGCTGAAGTTGCGACGCTTACGGCGCGCGTCCAGGAAACTGCAATCGTTTAAACGCGCCATTTTATATTTATTTTTATTTGTTGCATGTTTTTAATTTTTTTTTTCGAGGCCGAGGCTGAGCTGGATGAGTAATTTTGTATGCGGCATGTATAAGCCAATTGATCTATATGGTAGAAAAATTTGTTTGTCAAGTTTTTAATGTAAATTAAAATATACTATTTTTAAACAATTTTGCAAAACAATTATAATTAAAGTTATGAAAAAAAAACAATAAATACCGTGAGCGTAAGATCATGACAGCCTCGCATGTAGACTGCTTGAGCTGCATCTGGATGGAGCTGAACTTCTTGTGAATGATTTGCACCATGCGCTCTATCTCCTGTTGTGCACAATCATGTATATTATAGATTTTGCCTTAAATCTTATTGAAATAGACTTTAATATCGATACAGAGGCCGAATCTATAGTTTTTAGAATTCTTGTCTGTCTGTCTGTCCGTCTGTTACCGTATCACGGAAAAACCACTGGAGGGATTTTGATGAAAATTGGTACGATGATAGCTGGTTATCCGGGTTGACATATAGGATACTTTTTACTGCGGGAAAATATCTCATCTCTGAGAAATATATACTAAACGTTAAAACGTAAGAACGAACCCGAGCGGAGCGAGGGTGTGTCGCTAGTAGTAAATAAATCTTAGTACGTAAACATTTACGCGGGGCTAAGAACGAAACATGTACTCCATTCAGCCTTACAAATACAATGTACAAAACGTGTACTTCAGTATTTAGAAAAATGTCTATCTTCACATCAAATCCTCAGTGACCATTAGATATAAAAGCTACAAGGATCTTTTTAATAGCAGTTTTGCACCCACTTTGCGCCATACAATATAAGTGATGTAATATTAATACTTTTGTCTATATATCTCAGTGTACACGTCTGTAACTCCCCACTGGAATTGTTTTCATTTGAAAATTAGTCTTATTTGAATGATTACATAATTCGTTGGCTCACAATTACAAGGTTCTATGTTAAAATTTTAGTACTTATTTTAGTTATTAATGCTACAAGGTTTTATGTGTCATTAGCTACAGTTTTGCAAAAACAAACCACTAGATAGCGGCCCTATAACTACAAAATATTCAATTTTACATAGTTCTATGTTTTTTTTTTACGATAACAAAATAACGAAGTTCTTTGTAAAAATTACTAAACTTTATTAAAATTAACATAGAACCTTGTAATTGTGAGCCAACGTATGATAAATGAAGGCTTTAATGAAAACCCATAAAGACATTAAAAAATACAACATTTTATCTGAATTGGAAAAAGGAAGTAGACATAATATTTTCTTATTTTCTCTTTTGAAAGTGATGATGTAACCTGGGTCTGATACTGCTACCAAAATAGCCTACAGATTATATTTATTTATATAGCCTAATTATTTTAAAAATAACATCGTGTTTGAGCTTATTTACTTGTAGAATTTCATTACTTTAAATTGTCCCCATAATGATGATTATTGACTTAAGTAGGAAATGTTTTTTTTTAATAATTGATCTAATCAGAGATATTTTAGTATGTCTTTATAATGGTTCCAAGACCAATAAAATATTATATATTTTTTAATATTATTAAAAATAAAATAATTATTTATAACCATAATACTGGCAACAGCAACACTAATCTATAGCATAATATTTGTCATTATAATAAAAGGACTGAAAAACAATATAGGTCATCTATATAGTTTTGTCATTGGCTGTAAATACATTCCCTTTCCCTTGATCTACATAATCTATTTCTAAAATAGCCTATTTTACTAACCTTAGGCGTAATAGGTCTCGTACGGCTCTGCTCTCTCAGCAGATTCATCACGTGGGTGGTGAACTCGTTACAGGCATTTTCATACTTGTCCAGCTCCTGGTGGTATATCTGACGTATCTGTGCCAGCTTCGCGCGGTAGTCGGAATGCTCGATCGCGTTATCTGCTTGGGCCACAGTGCCTTAAGTTGCAGCAGCGGGACAGAAAGATAACATGCAATTCTGACCCAGTGCATTGTTAATCGCTGTTTGGAGTCATGTTTTATATTTCTGTATGTAATATAATAATATAAATAGTAAATATAAAAAAGATAATATATTTTATTCAGTTTTCCTTCTTTGACAGATTCGAAATTTGTTGATCATTAAAATGTACAAAAATATGATGTACATTTTCTAAAAATCTATCAACAATTTTATGTTCTTATTATTACGAATGCCAAAAGACAAAATTATTAAACCATTTGTACTAAGATGTGTTGTCTTTGTTAGTGTAAATGATTTGCAGTTGAAAAGTTAGTTTATGTGTAAAGTTTGACTTAGTGGCATTCACAAGTTATTAGTTAGTCTTTTCGATCATAAATTATAAAAATGACAATGATTTTATTAATCTTTGACCATTTTAAAATATATGCTTAGATTAATTTATAAAATGATAATATAAAACATACTTCAAACAGCTTTTTTCATGCTTATTTTTTGTTCTAGGTACAATATTAATAAATACAAACTACACACACACACACATAAAACAAAATTAGTAGTAAGCTGTTAGGATTATAACAAAAACCCCAAAGGCCAACCCTTTATTCACTTGTTTAACTATTATTATTTATTATGTATAAAAGTTAATTTGCAAAATAACATTATTTACTTTTATGTTTATTTGTTCTAAAGTCACAACCAAAATTAAAACATTTAATTGTATGTTAAAGATGCTTAAAAATATCTACACACTGTTCATAGTTACCTTCTTCTCAAGCCATGTAAAAAAAATTATGTACTAAGCATTTTACATAAATACTACTTATAAATAAAGAGGTTTTATTTCAGTTAATATAATTAATGTAAGAGATTAATTAAATAATTATAATCCAAAGGGACAGACAGATTTTTAATACCATACTAATTATTATATCTATAAAAGCCAATCACACCAATATTTACAAACTATACATACACCTCTATATCCCCCTACCACATTCTATAATCGAGTTAGTAAATGAAACAAGCAATTACCCCATTCTCCTGCTGCAGCTGAGGCAGACGCAGCGGCCCCCGCACCGCCGCCTTTCTCAGGACCAGCAACACCTTCGGCGATCAGCATGTTGTCTAATCGCATCAGTTGAGGATCTGGGGGCTCCTCCTCTTGTGTGTTCCGAAGAGACAGAACTGGGTACAAGCATACATTTAAAAATTATAATAAGATTTTCACTAAATCTCAATCAAACAATGTATAAATAATTAATCTATATATATAAAAGAAAGTCGTGTTAGTTACTTCGCTTATAACTCAATATGACAAATAAACACTAAATCACATGGAGTCAAAACCATATAGTCACCTGTTTTTTCTTTAATTTCACATAACACAGAAAATAGGGCAGGCTTCATTCTGTGACAATTCAGTGTGTGTTTTCTTGCTTGTGCTTCGTCAAGACTCTGGTCTGTTATATTCATGATTTGCTGCAAGATTTCACCAATGTCCTGTTTGCGGGCTTCGCCGTCGCCTGTAGCTGGAGCACCTTCGCCTCCAGGAAGACCATAGCCTTGAGGTCCCATGAGACCACCGCTATGCGCCATCATTCTATTCGGATCGTCCATTTTTTAATTCTCAATGCATAAATTCTCCTAAAACTTACACTAATTACGTATACTTGTTTGTACGTCAGTATAATGTGTATTTCACAAATAAAAACAATTCAAAAACTAATATAAAGCTTCGCTTGGGAAGCCTTCGCTTCTCCCTCCGTTCTTCAACCAGCAATAAAATGGCCGACTTCTTTGTGCTGTCAAGACTAAAATATTTGCAAAAGAAAACAAATAATTAAACTATTTCCCTCACGCTTCATCTCGTAATCATTTACGCCGTGATTTAAGGTATGAAAGAGATAGTAAGCATAATGTTGCCAAAAATATGAAGTATTGAATTAGCTTTACTAATTTATTACTATACCTTCAATATTATGTATTTCTTATATTATTTTCAATTTGTGCTACATACTTGTGTTCAATGTAATATTTATTTCTGTGTATTTATTTTCCATACGTTTTATAAAGAAACTACATAGTTTTAATAAAAAAAATTCAACTACACAGCCTGCAAATTAATCAAGTTATTTTGAATGCACCTATAGTGAAGCCACGTCGTTTTGACATCTATGATAATTCTAACATTTTAGGATGTCATTACTGGTTAAGTGTCAGTGTCAGATACTAACTTTCGCTGATTCTTTCATTTCCAGGATTTCGTCACCTACCACGTTAGCATTAAGTAATTCACCGGTGAAGAGATGATATATATATAACACTAGAGTTTCATAAATAATTAAATGAGAAACATTTTAACGTTTGTTTATAACTGTACTATTATTAGTAAAAACCTACGAAGTATCGTCTTCACTCAATTTAAACTTTCACATAATCTTCCGAGCTGGGGAAGTAATAAAGTTCATCGAAAAATTAAAATTCCAAACCCGTACCGAGACATAATCATGGCGGATCCAAAAATTGAAGAAATCCTCGCTCCACTTCGTGCACTAGTAAAAGAACAAGGTGATTTAGTTAGAAAATTAAAGGAGGAGAAAGCTCCCGAGATTGATATCAAAAAAGCTGTTGCAGAATTAAAGACTAGGAAAAAGGTACTAGAAGATAAAGAACTTAGTTTAACTCCAGCAGAAGAATTATTTGATCGTGCAAAAATGGAAGATTTAATTAAAAGAAGATTTTTTTATGACCAATCTTTTGCTATTTATGGTGGTATTACAGGTCAGTTTGACTTTGGGCCAATGGGCTGTGCTTTAAAGAGTAATATGATCCAATTATGGAGAAAGTACTTTATTCTTCAGGAACAAATGCTAGAAGTTGATTGTTCAATACTAACTCCTGAACCTGTGCTTAAAGCATCTGGTCATGTGGAAAGATTTGCTGATCTTATGACTAAAGATGTCAAAAGTGGCGAATGCTTCAGGCTTGATCACCTTATTAAAGCACATTTAGAAAAAATAAAAAGTGAAAAAAATACACAAGTAGAGCTTAAAGCAGAGATAGAAGATATTCTAGTAAAGCTAGATGGTATGAATGCTGATGAAATGTCGGCATTGATGAAAAGGTTTGATATGAAGTCTCCTATTAGTGGTAATGACCTTACACCACCAATTGAATTTAATCTTATGTTTAATACTCAAATTGGTCCATCAGGCTTAGTTAAAGGTTTTCTCAGACCTGAAACAGCTCAGGGTATATTTGTCAACTTTAAACGTCTTTTAGAATTTAATCAAGGCCGTCTCCCATTTGCTGCAGCTCAAATTGGTAACTCATTCAGAAATGAAATATCTCCTCGTTCTGGATTGTTAAGAGTAAGAGAATTTACTATGTGTGAAATAGAACATTTCTGTGATTCTAAAGATCACCCTAAATTTGAGTCTGTTAAGGATACTCAAATGCTTCTATATTCTGCAGACAGTCAAGAACAAGGTAAACCAGCTGTAATAATGACTATTGGTGATGCTGTCTCTAAAGGCATTGTTAATAACGAGACTCTGGGATATTTTATGGCTAGAATCCATTTATATATGATAGCTGTTGGTATTGACCCAAAGAAACTTAGATTCAGGCAGCATATGGGCAATGAAATGGCTCACTATGCTTGTGATTGTTGGGATGCTGAGTGTTTGACAAGTTATGGTTGGGTAGAATGTGTAGGCTGCGCTGATAGGTCGGCATATGATCTTACTCAACATACTAAGGCAACTGGTATAAGATTAGCTGCAGAAAAGAAACTTCCTGCCCCTAAACAGATAGAAATTGTAGAAGCTATTCCAAATAAAGCTGCAATTGGTAAGGAATTTAAAAAAGATGCTAAAGCAATAAATGATGCTCTAGCGTCAATGGATTCTAATGCACTTGAAGAACTCCAAAGTAAATTGGAAAGTGATGGAGAGTTTATTCTCTCTACATCAAATGGTGAATTTAAACTCAATCCAAATCTGGTCAGCGTTAAGAAAAGTCAAAAAACAGTTCATGTTGAAGAAATCATACCCAGTGTTATTGAGCCCTCATTTGGTATTGGAAGGATCCTCTATTCTATTTTAGAACATAACTTTAAAATGAGAGATGGTGATGAACAGAGGACTTATTTCTCTTTGCCAGCTGCTGTGGCACCTATGAAGTGTGCTGTTCTACCTCTCAGTGGCAATGCTGAGTTCCAACCATTTGTCAGAGATCTAAATCAAGAATTAACTTCTGTGGATGTTTCTCACAAAGTTGATGACTCCTCTGGATCCATTGGTAGAAGATACGCCAGAACAGATGAACTTGGCGTTCCCTATGCTATCACTGTAGACTTTGATACAATGAAAGAACCCCATAGTGTTACTTTAAGAGAAAGGGACACCATGGGACAAGTAAGACTGCCATTAGCTGAGGTGGCAGCAGTTGTACGAGATTTGGCTAGTAGTAAAATATCATGGAAAAATGTGGAAGAAAAATATCCTAAGTTTGAACAACAAGAAAATGTAAAAGGGGCAGCTGCGTAACGTGTGACGTAGCAATGACAGCTATGTTGGTTCAGTTGCTTTTTTTGAATAATAGCACTTTAATTATATTTATTATTATTGTTAGCCTTAAGCTTAATTGCGGAACTTGATGAAATAAACATCATAAATGCCTAAATACATTGTTTCATTATCCTACTAATATTATAAATGTGAAAGTTTGTGAGGATGGATGGATGAATTTATGTTTGTTACTCTTTAACACCAGAACGGCCTAACTGATCTGGATGAAATTTGGTACAGAGATAAATTATAGTGTGGAATAGCACGTAAGTTACTTTTACTTAGTATAGGTTACTTTTTGACATACTAAGACACTGCGAAAGTGTGTACTGTTACTCATTCACGCTATAACTGCTGGACCGAATTAGATGAGTACATAGTACATACATAGCCTTTGTCCTGGAGCAACTCATATATTACTATTAATGACTTAGGGTTGCATCGTAACGAATGGAACCCAGTCGCTAGTTGCTAATCTATCTATACAGATAAACGAAGTTGAATTGTCTGTTTGTAATGGTCAGAAAACAGCTTTTTACGAAATGCATGTGGAAGTTTATACGGTCCTTATAAAAACAACACAAATTTTAACATTTGTCTGCCTGTCTGTTCCAATTGAACTCCGAAACGACCTACTGAGTACTGATTTTGACAGGACTTTTATTTGCAAATAGCTGATGTTATGAGTAAATAGGCTACTTTTATTTTAGTAAAAGCATCAGAGTTCCGTTCAAAAAAAATAAAACGTACCTAGGGACGCTCACTAATACATTATATAGTTTTACTAATTACTATAGCTTTCTCGTCGAAATTCAGTTTCATTAACGGGGTTTAGGAATCGGGAAATAAACGTGGAATATTTTACATTACCAATAGTATTAGATAATATAATAGTAGTAGATAAGAAAAGTGTACGTGATTTATTAAAATAAAACAAAACGTAACATTATTGCTAATTTTATTCAATTATCAAATACACAATACGTAAACAATTAAAATGAGGTTGAGAATGTCGTGGTATTATCTATAGCGGCGATCCCTCGAGCGGGATCTAACGCGGTGACGATCGCGCGCCCGATCGGCGTTGCGGTCCTTCGAGCGCGAACGATCACGATGGCGATCGCTTTTGTGGTCACGATCGCGATCGCGTCTTTCACGTTCGCGATCACGTTCTCTGTCCCTGTCACGCTCTCTATCTCTCTCGTCACGTCTAGGCGGCCTTTCTTTCGCATATCTGAAAATGAAATCGATAGTGACTTGTTATTTATTATTACTACAATAAATTTATTTATATAACAAGTACCTTTTTCATTCCAAATTAAAATGTTTTTTAATTAATATTGAGAATCACTTTGCATTTTAATTGTAAAGTATCAACCTAAAGTAGTTAGTATCACTTTTTTATTATTTTGCAAAAAATGTATAGTAGCCAGTTCTATGTATTTTATTTTGCCTATTGATCCAACACGTATGCGGCTTGTACAACATACCTATCCCCTTCACCATAATCTCTTCGATCACGGTCGTCGTGCTCACGACGATCTGTATCCATTCGGCCCGGGTTATAGTTGGTGTTGGCATTGGTGTTGCTGTTGCCACTGCGGTAATTTGCAGATTTTGTAGCGTTACTCTGCCTATTGTGTTCTCCTAACCTATGTTAGACGAAATAAAATGATTATTTAACTTAAGTACAATACTTGCACAAAACTGTTAGATCATCAAGCTTCTCTTAGATGTCTCCTCCACATGTGACCTTAAACATGTAAAGTAAAACATATTAAGTTATACCACTAAATATAAGTAAAACAATTCTCACCTTTTTATTCTGAACCTAAATATACTACATATTTTTTGTTCAATTGTATGTATCATTCATTTATTAACAATAATTTTCTAATTGTATAAAATAAACATATAATTGAACATTATAAAAACAAATATAAATTGCATTACAATGCAAAGAATGCACTTGGTAAAAAAATATAAAAGTTAAAGTAATAAGCAAAATTATAATTTTTAATATCATATAAATACCTACTTCTGTTCAATTTGCTTTTGAATAGGTACAGGAATTCTTGGAAAGAGGGTGCTGAACCAGTCCAGCTTGATAAGCATTTGGCGAACTAAGGCGCCCATTGTAGTTGAGCCACCACCACCGGCTCTAGGATCCACTTCCTCTTCATCATCTAAGTAGTCAGCATACCAGTCAAAAAGATCTGCTGGAGGCTGTGTGTATCGGATGTACATGAAACCTGATAGGGATTTAATATTATATATTTTTTTATTTAGCATGTATGTTCAAGAAAAATTAATAATATATTTATTTCATACCTACCAAGTGCTCTAATGTAAGGAGAGTCAGAGTGTTGCAATAAACCATTAACTTGCTTGCGAGTAAGTCTAAGAGTGTATAGCTTATACAAGAGGCAAAATGCTGTAGATACAATACCACCTGCACCTACTCCTCTTACCTGTGACAAGAAAAGGAAATAACAAACACTTTAAATATAATAAATACCTCAAACAGTGTAGTAATAAAATATTTAATTCAACATAAGTAATTGCACTGTGTGTAAAAGACCTAATAATTATTTCAAGCAAAAATCAAATTTTTCAGCATTTATAATGGAGCTTTAATAACATACTCACGCCACCACACATGCCAGTCTGCCCTGCTGTTTTGCGACTGCCACGCTCCCATGGTTCAAGGTGCTTGACCTGGTAGTAGATCTCGTCTACTACCTCATGGTATGTCTTCAATTTGAACAGATGCACTGGAGACAATATAAAACTTTAGTTACCATGACAGCAAATAATGAAACAACAATTTTTTGGAAGAAAATAACTAAACGAAAAAGTAAAACGATAGTGATCCATACTCCTGTGCGATGTTATGTTTGCTTACCTACCTTTGAAGTAGCTAGAACCTTGAATATTGGCTAATATTAAAGGATTCAAGTTCATAGTCTGTTCATTACCCCATATTGGTAATATGTTATGTTGCTTGCTAGTTTTTCCTGGTTTTTGCTGATTGAATTCTGAAAACGCAATCTATTAGTAAATAGGCAAGCAAAGAGTTGACCGCAGCTTGACATAAAACATACCTTCGACATCAGTCATTTCTTAGATACTAATAATACTTATCGTTAAAAATTTAGGAGATATAAGTGCTATTAATATAAACTATATTTAAACAACGTTTGCCTCCAAAAAGAAGCTCAATTAAATCTCATAAGAGTGCAACAAATAGAAGACATGACGTGCAACTTCACAGACTACAAAGACCAAAGATGAAAGACAATAGTTAAATAGATAAAAATAATAGACACAGACCACAGACCAGGAACATGGACACAGATTATATATAGAGACTAGTAACCAAGAGAATTAACGTATGACAGACTTTTAAAAGATTTCTTGAACGGAGGGCGTTACACGTATGATCTATTTACATTCAGTCTGTAGTTTATACTATTCTGAATTAGTGCTTGACTACGTTCCACCTGATGGTAAGTGGTAACGCAGTCGTAGATTGTAAGTCGCACTAATTCAGTAGCCACCTATTCACTCTTGCCTTGAAGACACCCATATTATAGTCGGACGGAAACACCGACGCAGGCAGATTGTTCCAATCCTTAGCCGTACGTATAATAAATGACGTAGTGAAACGCTTCGTGCGAACGGGTGGAATGTCCACGACATAAGGATGGAGACCAGCCGTTAACTTTAAGCAATTTATTATGATATCTCTTTTGTACCTAGTTTTTTTGCTTCTATTGTTTTTGCATTATGTTCTTACCTGTACAATATATTGTATCTGGAAGTTAGACCAACTGAAGGAAGAATTGAGAAGGAGAGATGCATCTTGCGGTGGTCCTGACTTACTGATGGATTAACACAGCCCTAAACCACAGAACACTTTTACTCGGATGGCCTAAACCGTTGGTCGAAGAAACGTGAAATTGGGGGGATGTTCTCCAGATCTGAGTAGGCATCCGATAAGAAAGGATTTTTGAAATTCATTCCCTAAATGGGTAAAATAGAACATTAAAGATTTTATGAAACTTTGTCATTCCTAATGCGAAATATACAGTAAGTGGAGTTTAACTTTAAGATAAAAAATAAGAAATATATTTATTTGTATTTTTTTTCAAATTCATCCCTTAAAGAGGTAAAAGTGTGTAATAAAGATTATATGGGCAAAGAATTATTTATAATTAGAATTACTTAAAATTTCGTATTAATGCTCTTCAATCTACGAATAAATAATAAATTTATCAGTAGTCTTCGATACAATAAAATAAATACGTGTTTTAGCATTTTTTGAAATACAATCCCATAAGAGGCTAAAACGAAGAATGAAAGATTGTATGAAACTCTGTAATTACTCAATATGTAAGAAAGTACAAAAAAACACTTATAGACGATTTAAGAGTTTTAAAATCACTTTCTGTGATGTCCAGCCTTAAATATAAAGATTGCGATTACACCAATTTAGGTTGTCTAGGTTTAGCGAACAATTTGTTCATTTTTTTCTTTTGGGAACAAATGATATCCATTTTCTTTGCATCGTGGCATTGCATAATTTGTTATTTTAATTAAGTTTTCAAATAAAATAAAATCCATCCACGCTATAGAGCTTTATAATAATGGTACAGAGGAGTTGCAATTTGCAATGTCATTGAAGTAACGGGATATCAAATTTCGAATGGATTAGATCTGTGGAAGTTTCTCATATTCTTTTACTGTCTAGAAAAGAGTTGATGTCTAGAAACGGCTGAACGGATTTTCTTGATTTATACTTGCTAAGAATAATCTTGATTAAACTACCTTTAAAACAAAAAAAACTAAATTTAAATACGATGCCACAGACAGACAAACAGATACATAGTACTTTAAACTTATACGAGTATCACCCCTCTTTTGCGTAGGGGTAAAATACGATATTCCATGTTTTCTTAAGGTTTTAATATAATATTTTTACCGGACTTCCGCGATGCCCAAAGGTTGGTTGGTTTGACCTGTATGTATGTCCGATAAGAGTACGTTCCCTCGCAATTACTCAACGACTTAACTGATTTGGATGAATCAGACGTCGTTAGATTCGTTTTGATAACGCCAGTGTGTTAGACTGCTAGGCCATATGCATGGGGTCTCATCACGGAACAAAGAAAAATTAGTTCAAAAAAGTGTCAATAGATGACGTTACATGAATTATTTTGTTATTAATTAAAGTCGTGTTAAATTAACAAAAGATAAAAATTAGCTCCCAAAAAAGTATATTATTGTTTTAAAAAATGTTCAAAGTAAAGGGAATAGAAATAATGCGTCCATTAATCAAATTTGCGTAGTTTTACCGATTATTGAAATATCAGCAATCAGATTATGGGTTTGTCGTGTATATTCACAGATGGCGCTTTTACTTTTAATAAAATGTTTATCACAGTTAAAAAATTGTTAAAATCTGCCAATTTGTGTGCCTTGAGAAAAATAAAATTCAAACCTATATAGAGTGGGGTATCAAAATGAAGGTTATATAAGAGGCCATTACAGAAATAAATACAACTATTGTTATGTTAAATTAATATTATATTAATTAAAATACAACTACATGATAGCTTGAGAATTCATCTTCTAATGTCATTGTTTTATGTTTCATATAATTTATAGTAACATCATAAAGTTTGTATATGTCTTATAAAATTATAAACTAAGCTAATACAACATCTCCCTTTTTAAACTAAATTAAACAACATGTTAAAAACATAAACAAAAAAAACAAAATTAAATAAGTAACTCTATTATATGGAAACAATTAAATTAATTAGGATATCTTACTGGCGGACGAACAGTACGGCCATAAGACGTAGTATAGAAACCCTCTTCTCTATTACTAGTTGTTGGGGCATTCAAATCTACATCATTTGTAGGACAAGTACTGTATTCGGATTCAGAACTATCGTCAGAATCATAATTACAAGGTTTAATATAAAACCTATTTCTTATAAAAAAGTTATCATTACTCTTTATCCTATACGTTCTATTTAATATATCCTTTATCACTCCTTTCCTCCAGAATCTCCCTACCTTAAATAAAACTATCTCTCCATAAGCTAATTTTCTTAATTGAGTTTTGTTCCCATTATAGTAATATTTATCGTTTTCTTGTCGTGTCTGTAATTTTTTTCTTAAGTTTTTATTAACTTTTGGAAAGAACATGTTTTTGCTCATAGGTATAATACCTCTAAGTTTTCTATGAAATAAATTTTCGGCTGGTGAAGGAATGATATTCGAAATTGGAGTATTACGAAACTCTAACAAAACTAAATACGGATCTCTACCATCATGTAATGCTTTCTTAAGAAGTTTTTTTATAGTTTGGATTTCTCGTTCAACCAAACCGTTTGACTGCGGGTACCCTGGACTAGATCGAATATGTTTAAAATGATAATCTCGAGAAAATTTATTAAAAATGTCACTGGTAAATTGTGGGCCCCCGTCACTCATTACTTGTTTGGGTATACCAAACCGACTAAAGATTTGCTTCAATTTATTAATGATTTCATCACTTGTAGTGGATTTCAAGAGGGCAACTTCTGGAAATTTGGATAAATAATCTATTACTAGTATATAAGTATCACCATTCAATTCAAACAGATCAATTCCAACCTTTTCCCAACACAATTCTGGCACCGGATGCGGTATTAGTGTTTCTCTTTTATAATTGTTACTAAAAAGTTTACATGTTTCACATCGAGATATCAAGTCTGTTATTTCATGAATCATACCAGGCCAATACATAGCATCATTTGCCCTTAATAAAGTTTTTGTAATCCCTAAGTGAGGATAGTGTAAACGTCTTAACATTTCTTTTCTTAACTCATAAGGTATTACTATACAATCACCTTTAAATATTAAGTTAGATTTATATGTTAAACTATCTCTAACATGCCAATATTGTCTGATATCTTCAGGTAAAGAATTTTTATGATCAGGCCATCCATTAACAATCACATTCTTAAGTAATCTCATTTCATTATTACTTTCAGTCAAATTTTGAAAGTCACCTAATTGACTCTGACTAATATTTAAAGTAGAAATCATCATATTAATATTAGCCTCAATATTTTTTTATCTAAATCAATTTCTAACATTTCATTTCGTTAAATGACCTTGATAAAGTATCTGCTATATATAACTCTTTACCACGCTTATACACTAAATCAAATTCATATTTAAGTAATTTTATTAACATACGTTGAATTCGTGGTGAACAAGAATTTAATGGCTTTTTAACAATGCCTATTAACGGATTGTGATCCGTTTCAATAATTATTTTCCTGCCAAAGATGAACTGGTTAAACTTTTCACAACCAAATAAAATAGCAAGCAATTCTTTTTCTATTTGTGCATAACGCTTTTGGCATTCGTTTAATGCTTTTGAGGCATAAGCTACCGGTAAACCATTTTGCATTAAAACAGCACCAAGACCATCTTTTGAAGCATCTACGGACAAAACAACCGGGAGCTTTTCATTAAAAAATTGCAATACTGGTTTATTAATTAACTTATTTTTTAATTCATTAAAAATTTTGTCATGTTCATGTAGCCACACAAATTCAAAATCTTTTTTAAGTAAATTTCTTAAAGGTGAAGTTATAGCTGCGAAATTTTTAATAAATTTTGAGACATAATTTACTACTCCTAGAAATCGTTCTAGTTCTTTCCTATCCCTGGGGCGTTTCATTGATATAATTGAAGTAATTCTACTATTATCTAATGTTATACCATTTTTATTTATTATATGACCTAAATATTTTAATTCAGGGACATTAATTTTACATTTTTCTTTATTGAGATTCACATTTTCCAGCCTAAGTCTATCAAATACCTTCCTTAACCTAATATCATGTTCTTCTTTTGTCTTACCCCAAATAAGTATATCATCGATATATACTTCTACGCCTTCTAAATCTTCTATTATTTGACGCATTCTATGCTGATAAACTTCTGAAGCACTACATAACCCAAAGGGCATTCTCAGAAATTTATATCGACCAAATGGTGTATTAAAACAGCATAAATCAGAACTTTCTGACGTTAATTTTATGTTTCAAAAA